TATTATTCAATACCTATTGATATAGTATAGCTATATAATAAAGATTTTCACGAAAATGGGACAAAAGTAGTTTTGAAAATCCGAATTATTCCCTCCCCATCCCTCTTAATGTGGGACGTCTGGTCACACTAATAATATTATAATATACATGTATACGTATTATATTAAATATACTGACGACGACGTCGTACCCGCCAAAAAACATCGCGCGCACACGCGGCATTCCTCGTGGCGGCGGCCCGTCTATTTGTAGATACAAATCGTTGTAAATTACAATCAGACTCTGAGACGGAATAGAGCTTTGTGTCTCACTAAATAACATTTACTGCTTTATTATATACCGCCACCGTCACTACCACACCACATGTTCATTATTAACCCCAATATTTTCGTATTGCGGTGCGCATGCGAACCATTATAATACGTCCTTTTTTAGAAATATACCTACCTAATTAATAATAATAATTTTATTATAATACGTGAACGAGCTTTGATATAAATGCAGAAAAAATGAAATTTCCAGAAAAACTAACTTTCCTAGATGTTTCGTATTCAAAATTTGTCTGAAAATGTGTAATTCGGTACTACCTACCATTCCCCAGAAAACTCCATTTTAATACTGGGTCATCCAACTGAAATATTTAGTGGTATCTATTAGCGTGAAAGCATTGTACACTGGGAACAAAAATTCTACCAAATCTTGATCCGATGTATCATTTTTTCTGAAAGGGAAAATTTAAATCTGAAAGGTTTTTATAAAATTGAATATAATAATATCTGTGAATTGAAATGTGACGGGGTAATATAGCTAGACATAGGTACACAAAAAGTCTCACTATAAAACAAGTTCTTTTGATGTTTTTACGAGGACACAGTTGGTTCGATCCGAGTACTTGGACGCACGTGAACTTAATGTAATATCGTCACGCCCTATAACACAAGTAATATATATGTATTTTAAAGGCCATTACGAAATTGTGTCGCTTTTACCGACACTATAAAATTATTAGCACCTAGTTAAATGGTTATAAATGCTATAATATTTCAATATGTATTCTAACATGCGTAATATACAGTAACACTACAAAAGTTTACACGCACCCGTGTCATTAAAAACAAATAAAAATATCTAATATTGAATGACTCGATGACGTCTCAATGTGGGCAAGTTGAAATATATATATTTTTTAATATTCGTTTTGAAGTATGTTGGTGCCATATCATAGTATATGATAAGTGGATTATTTCATTAAAATATAAAGTGTTTGGCATAAATATACATTTGTTTTGACTACCTACGTATTATTACGTATTAGTATTAATTTACGCATTCAATTTATTAATATATAATAATTTGGATTTTTAAAATAATATTATTCATAAAAATATTTAATAGAAAAATATCACATTTAAACAAAATTTACAATAACACTAAAGACTTTATTAACTAATTAGTAATTAGTTATTACTAATTAGTAATTACCTATATCTACATTAGTATATACATTTTGTCTCTTAACTATTTGATTAAAACTTTTATCAGAATACCTAAAGGTATTTTATATGTAATAATTTAAAAACAATAATAATAAATTGGCCGAATATTTAACAGTCGTTATTATTTATATTTTAGAATCTAGTTAAACAAAAATACACCGGAGTTGACGGTTGACATACTACGTTAGATCATTATTTATATAATAAGGCAAGATTATACTATTATTATTATGAATAGGTACTGCAATTTGCAAGGTTTCGGACTATGTTTTTCCAGACATTTGGATAGAATTTATTATAATACGAAGAAAATAAACATGTTTAAAACAAAAATATAGTCGACCGAGACTATATTTGAGACTTGGTTCTTCGGCGACGACCTCGATAATGATTGAATATTAGTGAAATGAAACCAAAACTGTCGTCTTGTAAAAATCGTTTAGACGACGAGGGGCCGAATAAGAGTGATTTCGTTGCTTAACTACTTAATGGACTACGCGGGAAACGCGCGGGTGGTATCACGGGAACGCAGCCACACGCGACCTCTGCACCTACCCTCAATCAGTCATTGCAACACCACACATACGACATTCGTGAAAGATGTTAGGGGTGCTCGAGGCTTGTCACGTGTCTCGTATAATAGTTTGTATTTCAAAGGTATACAATCTATAACACAGAGAAAACATCTCAACTCGCGCACACATACGCTAATGGATTTTTGCAGTGTACAGTATTTTCTAAGAAATTAAAATATTGTTCAATGCTATTTAAATCATGTTTTCATATAACATTTAAATTACCTGTTTAAATTAGTGTCTAATGTCTATCTTATATTCTTCATGGGCACCGAGTTTTTTCAATTCCATGGGATTCTCAAAATCCAAAGTCGTATTTAGAGGGGGGATCATAGACAGGGGCACCATCGCCCAAACTATTTACTTTTTCTTTTGATTGCATACAAATAGGCGATGACATTTTTTTGATCATTATCTAAAATATAAGCGAAAATTGTCTCAATTGTGTTTTGGGGCGGTAAAATGTTAAAACTATAATGCAAACTCGCAAGCAAAATAAAAACAAAATAATTTCATCATATCATTATTTTGTCGGTATCGTGTAATTATTAAAAAGCTTTACAGGAGGTATATATTTCTACATTTGTCAACAAATTACAAATGTATTTTGCCTCCCTTGGGTTGTATTAATAAATGTCAGCTATTTTCAATATCACGAGATAATCATTAATACTTAGTTCTTAAAACCTAAAATTTTAATGTGCACGTAAAATAAATAATTGTTGAATGTTTGAGTGCATGTCAACGTGGTCACGCATTGTTAAATAACCTTACCTCAACAAATAAAAAAGAGATGAAATAATTTTTAAAAGAGCGGATTTAGTGTCTTCCATTTTTTTAGTTTTAGAAATACTCAAAGAAGCACTTAAGTTAGATAATTTTTTATGCTATAGTAGATAAGATAACAGTTAAAAAACAATAAAAATGTTCATAGGTACGGATCGTTATAATACGATAAATATTAGTTGATATTGGGTGTTTTTGCAATATTTAGAATTGGGATAATTTTTATTTTCATAATTATTAAAATAATAATTTAAATGTTAACATACTTACGATTGTTTGTAGTATTTGTGTATTTAAAATTTTTGAGAAGTAGCAAATTTTAATAAAAAAAAAAAAAATTAATAATAACTTGAGATAACTTAAGATCAAAATTGTTTAAATAAAAATGTATTCAAATAATGATCATCTCTGGAATAACTAAATAATCATAACGCCACTGTTATAACGTCCACTGCAATATATAATATATAATCAGTAAATGGTAAACATATTGTGGGCAAATAATTATATTATACTAAATAATGTATAATTTATTATTTGTTGTTGTTTATAATATATTTAATCTTACCCTTCTATGCAGTGTGAATATTGTGCTAATTAATAATAATTGTATGTCTTTTTTCATAACGTGAGAGTTCATACACTGAAAAGTTAAACTATACATCTTTGAATGCACTTTAAATCGGAGAGTTAGAATTGTACTTAATGTCATATATTTATAGACTATATTTTAAGTAAATAGGTATAGGCTAGGTTAGATTAAGTAAAAAATACTATATTACAATCAATTTTATTTTTGTTTACCACTTAGTACGACATTAATGAGCTTCCTGTCAAATATTCAAACATTTCTGTTTAGTTTAACAATTTTATCCACGGGTTACCTACTAAATAAAAATTACATAAAAAAACATGCAAAATTAAAATGTTTATAAATAACTCAAAAATAGTTCAAATGTTTTGAAAGTGTAACCCCAACTAAAAAAAAGCAGCTACAAGTTTTATGTTAAAATTTCAAGTCTTTGTGAATATTTGAAACTGAATTACATTAAAACAAAAAAAATTATAAATTATAAAAACAGTAAATTTTCAGTTCTTTTTAGGTATTTTTCGGTTTTGCTCAATTTTTAAATAAACTACCAAGAATATCAAAAAATGAATTACTTACTCTCGAATTAGATTAAAAATACAATAAAAAAAAATCTCATGTTATTTTTCTATTGGAGTATTATTTATGGTATAAAACTTCTGCCGTAAAAATTTTTCAATTATAAAATCTTTGCACTGTAATTTAAAAAAAATCGTATTTTTGATCTTTTTTGGTTTTTCCCAATTGTTATGAAAAATACTTTAGTTATCAAGAAACGAATTTTCTAGTCAGTGGATATATATTAAAAGGAACAAAAGCAATTTTCTATTTTTAATTGAAGCAATATTTCTGGTAGAAAACATAAGTTGAAAAAATTAAAACAGTAAGGCCACGTCGCGGCACGCCATGAATATTTGCCGTTTTACCTATAATTTTCTATCGGGTTTTTTCCAAATTATTTTGAAAACCCTTTGGAAAATCGGAAATGACTTTCTTAAAGCACCAACTAGAGAAAATTACTTTTAAAAAAAGGTGTTACACTTAACACTTTGGAGCAAGATTTTTGATAGAAAAATTGTGAACAGAAAAAAAAAATAAAAATTACGCATCATAGTTAAATCAATAGATCCCTGGCTACCTTCCGAATCTATAAAAGGTTTTTATTTTTTATATATATTTCGGATATTTATTTCTTTGGGCTATGTTTGCTTCGAAATGATATAGAATTCGGATATTTTGAATCCACGTACCTATGATTTTTATCTAGATTTATCACGAAAGAAGGTTAACCGACTCGATTCGTCAATAGTATCTACAATAGTATTATTAAAACTATTTCATGTATATTTCTCATGCAGATTAGTAAAAAGTGTAGTTTTATATATTATTATATTGGATCTTATTATAATCATATTTACATTTTCATATTTAACATTTTACGTAACTACGTAATTAAATTATAAACTTTTTCTTTATACTTACAGTATACGAGCATATAGTTAATTAATTTTAAAACAAAAATAATAAAATGTTTTAAATTGTATAATAATTGGCTAAAACTAATTACAAAAGTATGCAATCCCGTAAAACGAATATTTATAAATTAACTAATATTATTATTTATTTATATAGTGTGATTTTCTGAATGTATTATAAATATATTTATTAATTTAATTTATGTACAATCAAAATATAATAATTACATAAGTATATTATATACAATTTAGGATAAATTATTAGTTAGGATACTATATTTTGTAATAATAACGCGTGGTCTACCTGGGCGAGTAATCGTTTTGTAAGAATGTATTAGATGTTTTTTGAGTCCCGTGAAACGTGGAAGGTCTGTGATGGTAATGATGCTGGTAAGACATGTGGTATCCGGTTGCTACGTCTGTGTTAGAATTCTTCTGGTGTAATCTAAGTACAGAAATTGAAAATAATATTTGTTAAAAGTAGGTAGGTATATAAATATATTTTCTAAAAAAATTATTATTGATTTGAATTAAATACATCTGTATGCGTAGATACTATGCAGAGCTATATACATTTACGTATAAAAACCATTTTAACTGGTACCTATTATTAATTGATTACCTAGTTAATTAATTACGATCTAATGAATTTGTAATTACTAGTTTTATACTCGGCTAATTATTAATTTATATGCACATTAAACACATTAAATATGCAATTTAATTATAATCTATTCGTTATTTATACGTACATGTTTATAACTATTATATAAAACAATATTTCTTATTTATGAATGATAATCTCAATATTTAATGAATATATTTTTTTTTAAATGTTAAAAAACATGAAAAGCCTAAATAGTTAAATACATAAATATAAATTTTACGTAGTCCTATATAAATATATTACTGCTGCTCCAACTATGTATGTACTAGTTGAGGCAATTAATTGTTTCACCCGGTACATTTGACTCGTGATGTGTATTTACAGTTCATATGTTAGCCCGACAGCAACAATAATAATGCAGTGTATATACGTTTATTATATTTAGACAATCGGCGGGCGCCACCGTTAAGCTCTTCTTCACCGCATCTATATACTTGCAAGTAATTTCGATGACGCTATATCTATTAGGTACTCCCCCATCTAAATCAACCAAGATTGTTAATTTGAATGCTTATTATTATCACTATATAAAACGTCTAAATGTACTGTATTATTTTAACAAACGCCTATTAAAATCAAAGTTGGACAGTAATTATAGTTAAAAGATATAAGATACTTTTTTTTTAAATTTTTAACTTGACTAGTCAAACAAAACAGAATGTTAGAAAATAACTTAGTAATTTCTTATAATAACTAATTTTAACCTAACTTAGTAACTTAGTTAACATTTTGTTTATATTTAAATAGCTTATTACGCAGTTTTTTTAAAAAAAAATTTAGTACCTTCTCTTTTACATTTATTTTTCGACGAAAATATTATTATCACATAACTAGACGGGTATACGACCTATGCAAGGATATTCACACGATTACTGATAAAGTATAAACATTGGTGTACAAAATATGTATATGAGTGTTTAGTGAAGGGTAATTATAAAAAAGTAACTTTCAACTTAACTAAAGTTATCATTTTGCTGAAATGTATAACTGAACTAAATAATTTAAAATTATTTATATTTTAAAATTAACTTCAACTTATCTAGCTTTGATTAAAATAACGACCTATTAACGATTGTATTATAGATTAAATCAAAATATCATACATGCATATAATTTGTGATTATATCTTGACGCAACGCGAATACATTATCGCAGGTCCGCGGACGACGGTTTTGTCCTCCCTACCCATTAACAATTCAATCGAATTAATTAACCATTTACATGAAAATACATTTTTAATAAAAAAAAAAAATTCAGTCGACATATTATAATACAATAATATTCTGTGATATATCTAACCATCATACACGTATACAATAGTATTATGTAAATTATTGACGCATATTAAAATTATGGTTGTTACGACAAAATTGAATAATATATAATTTATGCAATATATTACACAGCCATTTATCGATATTTATGTATACCTGCTATTTTTTTTACAAAAAAAGAAAAAAAGAGAGTTTGCAATGTTGAAGAGATGATAGTAAAACCAGATCCCATCATATAATTTAGGACATATAGAGTGTGATGATCAAAATTCCATTAATACTTTAGGCATTGGGTATACATATTAGAAATACATTATGAATAATTTTTTTATATTTACCTGTCGTATCCGTGAAATGGCGAATAGTTGTGATGATGTGCGTATGCAGATGACGCGAATATCGGTCCGTAGTTACACACCTGGCTAAGATAAGGTGTGACAGGTACGGTCGTTGCAGTCGCTGAACTCGGAGGCGCTTGATGCTGCTGCTGTCCATGCGCTATCGTAGTCTGTAAGTGAGGCGGTGACGACGAGGATGAGCTGTCACTGTTGTACATGTTCTCCGCTCCTGTCAATCACATAAAATATCATCTTATTAAAGTTATTACTTGTTATTATTTGCACTATTTACGATATATATGTGTAGTAAGTATACGTAACATAAAAAGGTGATTTGTGGGACGGATGATAATGTGATTAAAAACGCTCTTCAGTGAAGATTAGAATTTTAACACTGGCTTAGTAATTCTTTTTTGTTTTTTTTTTTGTTAGAGTTTCATTGAACAAAAAAATGACAAATATTTGTCATATTTGTATAGGCAGTATTTTTTTGTTTAAATTTATATTTTTGTATTATAAAGAATAAAAAAATAATTAAGCTAGGCAGATCAAGAAATTACAATTTATGTATTTAATATTTGTTCATTAAATAAACTATTTAATTATAACTTAAGAAGTACAAGAATGCATATTTCATTTAGAAACTAATTTACACATAATTTGTGTATGTATGCGTGCGTTTGAGTGTGTGTGATAGTGAGAGTTTATGTAGATTTTCGTAATAATTTCGGTTTTTTTTTTATTTCGACCTGAATTGCGTTTAGTATAGACCCTTGCTGCCACCCTAACTTGTAGCACTATTATAAAATTATTTAGTTTTTTTAATTTTATGTTTCATTATTAATCCACATCATACAACTATGTTGAAATCAGTTTTTATCTGGATATTATTTTCAATAATACATATTTTTATCCACTTTAGTCTTCACTATATAGGTAACGGTTAAAAAATATATACAAGGGTAGCGCATTCTGTTGATGTGTTTACTATTTAGCGATTTAAAATCGGTACCCACGGTTAGAAATACCTCTTGAAACCGCTTTAATCTCATGGGAAAAAATAGGTTGTTATCCAAGTTACATAATAAGTTGGTCGAAAAAATGTTTACTATGTACCTATTACGAGTTCACCGTTCCCGCGACAAACCTGTCCGCAGATTAAAAACAAATTGGATCTTTTTTAAACACTATTAACTCAAGTCTCACAATGCCACTGAGTATATACATTCCCACCCCTGTCCACTTAAATATTTATTAATATTTGTGTTATAGAAACAACAAATTTTACCAATTCTGAGGGATTGGTGAGAATATATATATATAGCTGTATTACTCATTTTCTAGAAAAAACAGACACATAATTTTACCGGTTTCTATTGATCACATAATTAAACTTAGCTATATAATCAATAGTTAAAGAATTTTAACGTTAAAGTTACCAGAAAAATACAATAAACATATAATTAAAGTATAATCGTAGTTTTATTAAAAATTATAACACGGGTTTTATTATGGGTTACTTTTGTTTGCTATTTTTTCATTTAAGATACAGTTATTCAATTCTAGTTTCTTTATTAGACAAATGCTATTTTGTAAATTAAAATATTGTTAAGATATACGGAAAATATGCACCACTTAGAATATGAAATAATATAATAGATTAATATTTATATACTTGCACCGTATTAAGGGAAAAAATTATGCATATTGTATACTATAATTCTTATTTTATACCTACCTATATGTTAAATTATTTTATTAAAAATTCAATTTTATTTTTAGGTTAACGACTATTAATTAAAATGTCTAGATGTTTTATGGGTAGTCTTTTTTTTTTTTTTTTTTTTTAAACGTTAGTTGATCCAGTAGGATTTGCGTCTACGTGACCTCGAAGATTTGTGAGGCGGTATGATACACATTTATCATTATAATAGGGACTATATACTCATTCGTTTGAACGAATGTAAAATTAAGACAAACTGGTGTATGCATATAACTTATTTATATTAGATGATGAAAAAAAGGACTGTACCCAAAATGTAATTGAATTTTAGTATTTGATTAATAACATATACTAGGTATTATACATAAATAAATATAAAACTGCACAAATTTATTATAGACTATGAAGCATAATAACATTATTGTCCATGCAGAAAGATTTGTAATTCGTATTACAACTGATTGCGTAATAAAATATCATTATATGAATAAACACGTACTACATATTTTATTTTTTTTTTTAAACAAAATTGATCTATAATTTAAAGTATATTTATGTACTAAATTTATTACTTATAGTTATTGTATATATTAATGTTTTTATTCTTTCATTTATTATGATGGATTATTGTCAACATAGAAAAATTGCAATATAACTGTAAAATTTATTAGTTTTAGACAAATGTTTTTTATATTTTGTATTATGAACGATTTTTTTTTTTTTTTGTTACGTATATGTTCTGTTAATTAGACAAATAACTTTTTAAGACTTTTGACAGTGAGTTGGTTTAAATACAAATTACTTTTATAGCCAAGGTCCAAAGTGGTGTAGGATTAAGCAATGCGATTGATAGGCTTTTTTCAAATCAAGGAGTAAAAAAACGTTATTTTTAACTGGTAGATATACATTTTATTGGCATAAATTTAGGCTGAAAAAAATGAACAGAGGGATGTGGTGAGGTCTGCTGTCGGAAACGGTACAGGACGTCACACATATTTTGACATAGACGTCGCTACTCAGTTTACAAAGATATTTATATTTATATACGTTATGTATATGATATTACGTTTATTTTGTTCAGATAAACGTTTGGGTGGCATAGTAATAAATTAATTGGAATACCCGTTACTGTTTTGAAATTTAAATTTATTTGTCGTGTATAATTTTATCTTGGCACCTGCCATTGGTAGTTACGAGACAAAGTAAAATAATGTGACAATACGTATTAAAAATTAGAAAAATAAATGCATATTTATTAAACAATCAAAAATGTTCCAACTTTAAATTTGTATTGCTTCAAATTAAAACACTAGTACCTTTTAAATTTTGTATTATTTGTTTTTCGATCAAAGTTGGGTATTTAAAAATACTTTTAATTTAACGCTGTTGTACATTAAGTTTGTAATGTTATATTTTATTCTACTTTCTGTTCGTTATATAATATGCTTATTTAGTATAAGTATCATCAACATTTACATTTTTAATAAAATAATACTGTTATACTAATGATAAACATAGATGCCGAGGGTTTTATTGTTTTAATAAAAAAAATATAATATTAATACATTATACAACACTAAAATTTAATTTAAATATATTATAGGTAGCTAACCTAACCTTAGTATTGTTTAAAAGTAGAAAAAAAACATGACAGATTTCTTTTTAAAAATAATAATAAACAACAATTCATATAAATTGTGTTTAAAATATTTAAAGAAATTTAAATAAATTTGGTAATGGTTTCAAAATCAATAATAATTATTCTACTACGTTAACCTAAATATTAACTTGAGTTATTACTTAAGTTATGATATTGTATTAGAAACAAGTCTAACTATATAAAATATTTATTTTATGTAGTTAGACTTGTTTCTATAATATATAGGTTTTTATTATATTATCATGAACTTTTCAAAATATTCGTTTATTTTTTAAATTATTCCGGTGTAAGTGTACTTATATCGGCATGAGATAGTTTTTAATTTTTTTAATTGTCGTTTAGAAATGGACGAGAGACCGCTAATGTGACGGAACGTCAGCGGTGGAGTGCCTATTTAACGTTTCCCGAAAATATGATGAATGACTCCATGGACAACTCTGATAATTAATGACAGTTTCGGGTGCTGCAAGCAGCGTAATTTTGTGTACTACGACACTGTTTGCATACCTACGTAGGTTTAGGTTTTTTCTTCATTTATAATTTTAATTTTTTATGTTTTTAAGCGACGGACAAGATTTAAATAGTAACTAGAAGTAAAAAACTGCAAAACCCATCAAAATACAAAACCGTTGAGCATGGAACGATTAAAAGTATTTTGAAAAGAAGTTGAATAGGTACACCGTATAACGTTGTACTCGTATCTTATAATTATAATATCACTAATATTTTAATTTTCTTACAATATTAAAAAATCTTTTTGTTCAAGATTTAAAATGCCATTGAATTAAATGCTTTACAGAAAATATCGTTATATTTACGAAAAACGGAAAATAGATTGTCTATTTTTTCGTAGAAAACAAATTTCATAAATCTATTAATAAAATAAAATTTAATTTAGAAAAAATAAAGTAATCATTGCTCGGAATATTAAAACAAAAAATACTACATACACAACACACATACCAGAGAAGGCTCTTCTATAAATTATATCACCTCTAGCCAAGAGGTGATATAATTTATAATTGCATACAATAATATATACTTAATATGTTTATATTACGTAATATTTTTATTATAAATGATAACTATTTATTACTTGAAAATCAAAATTCGGTGATTATCTAACTGAAATAAAAAAAAAACTTCAAGAAATATTTATATTTAAAAAAATAAACTTATCACTCTGTCAATTTCAGATTTCATTTTATAGTAATTATTTGTTTAGAATTATATGAATAAGTTATACTGAAAATTGCTAGATACTGTTTTAGACTTTAAAAATTAATGGATTTATATAAGTGTCATAAAAGTATATACAAATTGAATATAATGTATAAGTAACTTTCATATCGTGTTTATATTTGGTTATGTATCTAGATAAGTTTAAAGATCGAGTAATATTTTGTCACTTGTAATAAAAATATACACATGGAACCTATTAAATATGCCATAATAAATATTATTTAATTTTTTTGCTTATACAACATTAATCTAAATAAATATTGTATGTTCTTATAAAATGTAAAAAAAAAACTTACCCATACTTCCTGTTGATTCTTTATTTGGGAACTGTACACAATTATTATTGTTGTTATGGATTCCAGCCGTGACACTTTTTTTGCATTGCGATTTATTATTGGCGGCTTGTGGTTCACTGTCAATAGACATTGAGCCACTGTAAGATAAAACAAAAAAACATATTTTAACTTCCCTTCAGAAAAAAATACAATCAAACACAAATACACTAACCCACACACATGTTTCACATATTTAAAGCAACGTGTCAAGTATAAAAAAAGAACGAAATTTTCTTTCCAAAAATCATATAAACCGACATTTATTGTAATTTATGTGCCAATTTACATGAGCATACCAACAATGATTGCCAGCAACACGGGTTTTTTAATTGACTTGTGTATTATGTAATATATAAATATACACCTTTTTTTTCGGTAAATGTATTTCTAATTTACTAGTGCATATATAATAATAATAATATGTATATTTAAGATCGGTATAGTATACCGGTGTCAATTAGTAACGCTTGGGCTCATTCCAAGTAGTGGCACCCAAACTATACTTCGAGTGTAGTGGTTACTACATATCATATTTTTGGTGAGTGAATGTTCCCAGTAACTGGGATTTGGAATAGTCGGGTAGAATGTGTATAAATATTTAAGGTAGTAGGTTGTAAGGACTGGAAAGTATATATTTATATGGGTAACGTATAAAGAGGCGGGCGGTGATTTTGAATTTCAAATTCTGCTTCATCATACAAATATAATTTGGGCACCACTGATTCCAAGAGGGTGAAATAAAGAATGAAAAAACAAATATGTGTACTTCAAGATTTATAATCCCTTGTGACTTCTCTGCAGGTCTAATAAATATATCAAGCGTGTATTAAAAATTATTTTAGGTACGTATAATGTTCCGTTTAATTTATTTATTGAAAATGATGTATAAATAAAACTAGGTAGTATCTATAAAAGCGTATATATTACCATTCTTCTGTTTCGCAGTCTCTAAAACCTTTTGCAAATGGATTACTGGCAATTTTTAATTGTGTAATCTAGAAAAAAAAACATATTTTTCTTATAAATTACAATACAATTTTATAAATATATTGTTATTTATTGAATAATATACAAATTAGTTATACACGATTTTCATTTATATTAAATACATTCTACATATAAATACACCTAATCGTAATAAGTTATAATATATATTTATATATATAAAAAAAAAAACAGAAATTAATTTGCATATTTCCCCGTTTCAGCTCTCAAGACTTCAGCCCTAGGCTTCAGTAAATCTCGGCTAATCTCAGTTAATGACGGCTCGATATAATAATTATATGCACTCTAAATTGAAGTTTTTTTTCAAATGTTAATGATTTTTTAAACTAGAGTAATAATAAAACATAATAATACATAGTAAAATGCACTTGTGTGTATGAATAAAAATTGTGCATATTCACATTAAATAAAAAAAATAAAAAACATTAAAAACCAAATATAATAGATTGATGCTTACTTTCCCTATGAAAAATGTTGAATAATATGTTCCTGTATATATGAGTTGACGGTTGTAGTCATACACCTTACACTTATAGACGAACTAAGCATGTTTATGCCGCAATTAAACATAGAGAGCGCTTTTTAGTAATTGAGTGACTCATATACAATAATAAAATTACCGGTGTTCTTATCATTTCATAAAATATCCAATGTCTAATAAATTATCATACACCTTATAAATGATCAGTTAATGTAATTTTTATTATTTATAAACCTTACCTTAAATTATTTGGAATAATATAAATGAATTACAATTTATGTTGTTTGTTTTAGTAAACAGAACTAATTAACATATTTGAAGTAAACAAGTATGTTAATATAGATAATGTCAAAAATGTGGATAAATTAAAAAGAAAAAAATATCGTAACAAGTTTAAAGTACAAATCTATAAATTACATTGCAGATATCAAAAAATTGTTGATACTATGCAATTTAATTATTTCCTGATTCTATTACAATATTATTTTGTACAATAATAATTGTGTACCTAACGTCAAATTTTGCTGCTTCACTATATTAATATGTTTGACCGCAGCTCATAATGTATGCAATATACGAAAAGCTCGCCTATCAGTATAAGATCTATGATTATACCTACCCTTATATATACCTATTGTGACATCAGATATGAATAAATACTACATTGATATAAAATATACTTATATGAAGTTTATATTAGTCAATTTTTTACTCACAAATTGTATTAGTTGAAATAGTTTAAACATTTATTAGTTAGTTTATTACATTAAGTGCTATATTTCTATACGAAAATTATATCAACTGATTGTTCACAGTTCATAGAATTTTATGTAGTTTATGTTAATTTATCATCGAATCTTACTCTATGGTTTTGGTAAGCAGTGACAGCCGTGAATTTAGTCTCTGGAAACATAAACGTTTTAAAATTGTTTGTGGAATGTGAAGGACCTTCTTCTCTTCCGGGAATGTAGAGTACATGAAATCTGGGTTGATATCGATGCATTGAATTGAGGATTATCTGACAAATAAGAGAAAATCAATTTATTTAAATACATTTTTATACTATTCCAATGAAAAAAAATGTATTTAAAAACGGCGTGAAGTGTAGGCAATTATTATGCTCCATAGACAAAAATAATCTCATGGTAGTTAAACGTTTTCAATGATTATAACTAAATTTAATTTTCATACATACATGCCCATTATCGTCCATCTGGTTATTGGTCAACTTAAGTTTATCGAATGACACAACTTGTTTTAACCACTGTCCTCCAGACGCCGGTGAATCTGGATGGATATGTACTCTTGGGGGTGAAATAGGATCCGATTTACCGGCGACCACCCAACTCGAACTAAAATATACAAAATATATTTCTATAACACACATAAATTATTGGCTAAAAATCTTATTAGTTAACTAAAAATGTAATTTATATATAAATACAAAAATTGTTTTCATTAGTTTTGAATTGGCAAGTCATTATGTATAGATATATTGAAAATACACATATATGGCACATATATTTAGGTATCTATTAATATTTTGAATTAATTATTATAATTTTTAAAAGTTAAATATTTAAAATAACTGTATATTTACCTATGAAATGCGTATCTATATCTTTTATCATCTACGGGAACAAAATCCATCATAAGCATATATTCGGCTACTGGATCTAAACCATACAATCGAACTTGGAATGTAGGAAACATTCTTCTGTAAGAGGTAATGAACTCATTAGTTTATATAGTTGAATATTATAAAACAATATTACAATTATTACAAGATTTAACCATTGCTTTGATCGTCAACCCCAATAACAAAATAAAATACTTGGAAAATATACATGTCAAAAAGTATCTATTTCATCACACTATTAACCGAACTCCAGTCAAAATCGTTTTTCATTATCAATGGTTAATCTTTGCGTACAGATATACATTTAATTTAATTTCCCCTCTACCTTCCCAACTTCTCACATACAACAGTAGCCACCCATCGTGAGAAGTATGTCCGTCTTTTTAATATATAATATTTATTATGATGTAGTCCAGGAAAGAACTTTTCTCCCGTTTCCTCTTGAGCGTAAATATTTTATCAGTAATAATAACATTATAATATTATCTTATATATATGTATTAGATTATATACTAATTATTTAATAATTATTATAATATAATTAATATATTATGATATCGAAATAAAACCTTAATATACAAGTAGGAACAAGTATATATGAATATATAGGTAAATGTTTATTAAGTATCCGGAGGGAAATTATAAAAAAATAAATCGAAGCTTTTATGAAAAACAAAATGTTTAATAATTCCCATCATAAAATTTAAATTCACACTATATGCACCGAGTTTTTTTAGTTTACCTGCCAGCTTTGGTGACAATCATTTCTGTACCAAGTTCGTTAAATTCTTCCCATAAGTGTTTCATTTCTAATGCAGCGCCGACACCAGAAAGTTTCGGATGTTCTTGACTATTAGCAACGGTATCTAATCTTTTTCTGTCAGACGATAAATACGATTGATGAGAAGTCGATTTTATGGCTTGTATATTCGTACTGGATACGGTTTCTAAACACGCTATTCACACATAAAAAAAAAAAAAAATTAGTATCAACAAAATTTATCTGTCCGTATAATGTTTCAAATATTATATTTTTTTTTTTTTTTTTGGTGATATTATTAAAATAAAAAAATAATTATTTTAAATTTTTAAATTAATTTCATAACTATATTATACGACAGAAGAGTAATTTGTATAAGTTTAATTAAAATTGAAAACTGTATTACGACTTTTTGCAGTATTATGTACGTTTAGATAACATGGGAATTATACTAATTAATTTATACATAATATATAACATTTAGAATTTGGATGAATAAATAAATTTGATTTTCAATACTCAGATACGGTAACTATAAACTTCTCATTTGATACTCCCTTCATACAGTTCATAATAATATGTATATTATTTATATTCCTGTTTATTGAATACATTGAATAAGTACTCCATACTCCACTTCTAACTATTTTAAACATAAATATTAGACTTAGACAATTGTTAAATACGAGGCATAAGTAAATTTTTAGCAAAATATCTTTCAAAATTATTAGTACAAAAGATGAATATTTAAGTCGTCGATTATCAATTTTTGTGTACCTAATAAATTATTTTAGAGATAAAAAGTACTATTATAATTAATATAGACAAAAAATAATTTGATTATCTGAATTTGTATTAAACTCGAGTTTGCGTGGAGACAAGAGAACAAGATAATAAGTTATAATAATATGTTCTATTTTTCACTTTTTTTATAATATAAGCAAGTTTCAAATATTTTAACGAAAAATAAAATGTATTTTTTTAAAAAGTAAATAAAAATAGTCAAATATTATACATATTTAATTTTATAAATGTTTATAATTTAATATAGTATGTATATATATACAAATGTCACACGAAGATGATATATCCATTGTAATATTATCTCTTGAGGTAATAAAGATATCCATATTCTGTTTTTTTAATGTTACTCACAGGGATAAGGACTAAAAATATTTATATTTTAATTAAATTTGTATGTTTTGGTAAAATATTAAAAAGTTACATTATATCTAATTATTTTTGAAAAATTTGAACATTTTTTTTCTGAACTGGAAATTATTATGTATCACAAATTTAAGTTAATATATACGTCAATATTGTTAGAAAAATAAACTCTATAAAATGGCTACCTTCAATTTTGTTTTAAAAATAATAAAATAAAAAGTTTTTTATTATGTTTATATTAAAACAAAAAAATAATTGAATATAAATATTTGTAGTTCTCATCCCTGTGAGTAAAATAAAAAAAATATGATTTGACTATCTTTATTATCTCAATGATATTAAAATGGATATATTTTCGTGGGTCACCCCGTATAGCGTATATATAACGTTTAAATTTACTTATGTATATATTTTTCATTTTCGAGTAATAGTTTTTGGCAGCTATTTTGTTATGACTATTAGATCCAGTTAATCATATTTTTAAATTTATCACTAAAATTAATTTTCAAGCCCAAAACTTGCTCAAATAATTTAGCTGAATGTATATCAAAAAAATGAAAATAAATTTAAATAATTTAAAAAAAAAGATTTTTGGTAGAAAATTAGTTTATAAGCAGAAAAAACAGAAATACACATCATGGTAAAACTATTAAATCTTTTTTTACGCTAAAACTACTATATTATGATAACCTTTTTTTTACTAGTAAAAATTACTTATAATGGACCTCATCTTAAATTTCCAAACATTTCTGTTTTCTAAAAATTTTAAATATTGGAGTCATTAACTACAGCCGCAGAGCCGTAAAAATGTGTCCGGATTGGTTTTGGTTTTTCTTATATATTATGAAAAGTGCTGGAAAGAATCAAAAATTGGCATTTATAATACACCATATAAATCCAAAATGCAACAAAAAATGGTTCGTGGCAACTTTTGATTAGAAAAAAATTGTTACTAAATAAGTTGATTACAGACAGAAAAAAAACACATCATAGTAAAACTAATACATTCTTTGTTTCGTCCATAGTCTAATATATATATATATATATATAAATGTACCAGATCTTAAATATAAAACATAAAAATAATCTAAAAAATCTCTTCAAAAAATTTTTCTCTAATTTATAATTATCTAAGGAAATCGATAAACATTTATTTATACTAATTGATTTGTTATAGTAATTTGAGTACATTTGACTAGTGGTTGGAAAAACGATAAAATAGCCTAGGTATATATATATATATATATATATATATAACAAATCAATTAGTATAAATAAATGTTTATCGATTTCCTTAGATAATTATAAATTAGAGAAAAACTTTTTGAAGAGATTTTTTAGATTATTTCTATGTTTTATATTTAAGATATGGTACATTTTTATGTAAACACTACAGTTTATAATTCAATTCAAAAAATTATAAAGCTACCTTCTTTGATAATTTGTCAACTATTTTGAGACACTTGAAGGGGTTGACCTCTCATTACCAAATTTTACCAAAATTACTCTCTAATATTGAGAAACAAAATGGGCAGGAAGAGGGGTGTGTGTTAGATCAAAAGCACTTAACTTTTTTACAGCAGTTATAGTTTTGTATCTTGTATAATACTTATATAATATTTTAGTGAGATTTAGATATGAAGTACATTGATTGAACTTGAATCTAAAAAACCAATTGGAAAGTTACCAATTATTTTTATTTGAAGGTGCAATATAAAAAATTGGCACACCTAAATTTTAAGAAATGTTAAATCGCTTTATTATTTTAGTATAAAATTGATAGCTGTGATAAATTATTGCATTATGAAATGATTATGAATTCACGTCACCATAATTAATATTTTAACAGGTAGTTTTAACCTAACCAATACATTTTATCTTAAATTATAATATAAAGGTTATATAAGCAAGCTATAATATATATATATATATTATGGACTATAGGTACATATTAAAACTTGGCCAATTTTGATCAAATTTCGATGATTATAAATGTGTATTTATTATGAGAAAAATTGCTAGTCACTAGGTAGGTGCTATTTCAGAATATCAAATCAAATTTTCAAAATAAAAAAAAATTGATAATACTGCTGATGGGTGCATCACTATTGAATGTGGGAAGTAATCAGTTGGGAATGTAAGATACATAAAGTTGTATAATTTATATCTGTAAAGCAATATCTGTTAACAACGATAAACCATTGCAAACGAAAAACGATTCAGAGCGAAGTTTGGTTATACACGTTTTAAAATATTATAACATATGCGATTTTTATTACTATTCGACAACCATTATAAAAAAAAAAAATTCTACTACATTACGCATAACTTTTTTCACAATTAATTACAGCCTTGCATAATGAGCCTTATATTAAATTTCCAAACATTTCTGTTTGGTGAAATAATTTTATCAACATAGTACCTACCAAAGAAAAACTACGTACTGAAACTAGAAAATTTAAAATACTGATAAATACACTAAAATATTTATAATACTACATTTAGGAAAGAACAATTTAAGTTTTTTGTCCAAATTTCAAGCCTCTATAAATACTTTTTAACTGAATTACAACGAAAACAACAAAATTGAAAATAATTCCGTAAAATTGTCCGTTCTTTCTACGTTTTTTCTCGGTTTTGTTCAAATATCATGGAAACTACACGGAAAATAAAAAAAACTACTTATTTATTTACCAATTAGATATAAAATGCAACAAAAAGTGGCTCTGGTAATTGTTCGATCTCTGGTCGAAAAGTTGTTTACCGATAGAAAAAAAATATACATCATAGTAAAATAAAACATTGTCAGGGAAAAAATATGAAAAAACTGTCCTAGGATAATGGAGACAGGTGCAGCTACTATTATAGGTAATTTTAATGTATACCTAAAAGCAAGGGTCAAAAATTACTAACGAAAAAACAATTTTGAGCGGAGGTCAGTTAATAGTGATGCTTTGTCAACAATATATATATCATATTGTGGTAAAATAATTAAATAGTTATTATGTATTTTGTTTAATGATATTTGTTTAATATACTGATTTTCCCGTTTTCTCCCGGTTTTTCACATTTGCTGGGAAAACTTTTCGAAAAATAACCTCCTTAAAGTAACTTCCTCGTCAGATTTTCTTCCGGAAAAAGTGCTTTTATTTTAAATTGGAGCGATAAAGGTAGTAGAAAAGTGGAACACAGGAAAAAAAATTCCGAAATATTTGTCAACTATAATACCTAAATTTCGTAATTTTCACGTTTTTTTCCATTAATTGATAAAAATCTTGGAAAAATCGAAAAATGACCTCTTTAGAGTACCTCACCAGTCCGATTTCTTTTTAGAAAAGTTGCTACACTTAAAAATCAGAACAAAAAGAAAAAAAATGTATTTCAAAATCGCTCACCGTTCATTGCGAAGTATTAAACATGTAAATATGTTTAATTCCCAATCGCATATATTTTAAATGCATCAATACATAACTTATATAATATAAGGATACAATATTTATGTGGTGCGATAATGAAAACAAAACCAATTATAAAACATATTAGTCAAACTATATATTACAATGTAAAAGACCAGACGTATTTCGCACCATAAGCAGGCCACTGAAATAGGTGAAAAGTTTGAAAAGTTTAGGATACAGGGTAATTTAACTTATTTAACATAAGTATTGATAAATCATTGCAACCAAAATGTTATTCTAAGCTGTCAGTGAAGAAGCATTTTTACTAAGCAAAAAACTGTTTTTCAAGAAAAGAACCCGAGTGATGAATTTTAAAAATTTCAAAACATTTCAAATATAGACCCCCCTCCCCGAGTAAAATTCTACATCTTTTAGGATAGTGTGTGCGTGAAAAAAATCAGATCATCCCATTCATCTAAAAATGTATTGTCTATAATTGATTTTAGATTTCAAGTTATTAAATACATAATTATATTTTATATTTTTTTTAAATCCCTTTAATTATCATAATTAGGTTATCAGTTATTCAAAAGTTTACTATAAAAATGATCTCCGTAATTTTATTGCATAATATTAAAATATTTTTATTTTAGCAGTGGTTAAATAAAAAACAAAAATTGCATTTTATCTATATAAATAATAAATGCTGAAAACCAGAAACAATAAGATTTTAATATAGGAAATAATCAATAATTAATGATAATGAACATTTCTATAGACTCGAATAAAACATTAGGTATTTTAAAAGTTATAAAAGTACTATCGTACGACAATACTCCCATAATCATTTTATTCTATTAAGTGTATAATATTTTGTTACTTCTATACCAAAAGTATCAATGAAATGCTTGAATTTAATGTCATATTAAATTTGAATTCAAACTTTTAAAAACATATAAGTATAAATATATGTGTACCTAAAACAAATAACTAATTTGTTTTCTTCATAAGATTCAAAATCATGTATAATATAATATTAATATACCTTCATATTAATGAAGGTCATTTACCTATATACTATTACTAAGTACAATACTTTATTTCACTGTTTAAAAAAAAGTATATATATATATATTTAATTTGATTTTTAATCAATTTATACATTTCGACTTTTTTTTATGCGTATTTATAATGTAAATTATATTGATTCAATATATAGTGCTTATACTATAGTGTATAACACAATATATATTATATATTATTATTATGTAAGATTTCATGAAATTGTAAATTAAAAAAAAAAAATTAAACGTATAAATCTATTGTTTGTCCTTAATAATAGTTATAGGTAATAAGTATGATTATATCTAAGCTATATATAAAATTTCGTATATTTTATTTCTGTGTATTTTTAAAATTGTGTTTGTTTAAGATTGTACAGATTATTGCGTTAATATGAATACATAATAGCCTTGATAATTCGATATAATACAGTAAGAACCTATTCAAGATCGGAAATCAATACATAATGTACTTATTTGTTACATATAATAGACGTTAAGAAGATATTTAGCACGGAAGAAAAACGAATAATTTTAGCGTCTACCTTCAATATCCTTCATCGGCGTGTTGGACTGTGGCGCTACCCAATTGTCGTCGTACAGGTGTTCGACGTTCCCGCCGCTGGTTCCATAAGCATTATAAAACGGATGCATGCTACCACGATGACCACGCTCGGTCACTTATTTTGTCGACACGAGTTTTTTTTAATTTTTTTTTTTTAAGGTCAGTTTCTTGATATATTTACTAAAGCCGAAAGACGAATGTTTTTCAAAAAGTGATATCCATTATTGTTCATACACGTGTAAATACAAGAATATTATGCATACGTAAAATATAATAATATTATGTATCTACGATATAACGATGGAGTGTGCGGTATATTATTTATTAAGACGTGTTCGCGACTGATTTACGCACACGACGATATTATAATATTGTGAAACGCGGACGATGATTTTTTTATTAGGTATACCGGGGAAAAAAAAATTTTAAATAGATATATTATGACTCAAAGGCGAAACAAACGAATATTAACACTGTCAACACGCGCAGGCGGGCGAGAGGTTTTAACACCGAGACGGGTTTTAAAAGGTGGCGAAAAAACAACACCGAAACCCGCGGACCTTTCACCAATACTGGTCTATTTCTCTGTCATCCCGTTTTCTCCCGTCGCTTAAAACGTTTTATTTTTAACAACGTCGCGTAGCGCTCTTTTTTGTTCTCCCCGCACGTCTCAATGCTGCGGCCCACCGGCGAAGGGATTGGCCGTCGTTCCGGATTGGTCGTGTAATCTGGGCGTGCGCTGCACAATTCCCCTACTATCTCCTCGACCCAACCCATCATAATCGCCCCCCCTTTAGTACACACCTTCCTAACTGTATAATATTAATTATTATTATACCTTTAATATCGCATTATAGTTATATCCCCGTAATTTTATTCACTTACAAGTACGATAAATACTATATATGTATACGTTGTCATTATAACTAAGTTACCTATAGTAACTATAGTAATATAGGTAGCTAAATATTAACCGAATTAAAAATATAAAATATTTGTACTTATATGATAATTATATGACAGGAATTAAATAAAAATTCCAAAAATTGATTGATTTCTTCCGTCCCTGAAACCCAAGTTATAATAATATTTATCCTATAATATTATGTACCTATATTATTAGTATTTTATAAGTATACTTAGTAATTTAATAATATTAAAAATAGGTTGGTAATATATATTTAGGAGTTTAGGACATAAGTACATGCAAATAGTAAATATCAACTAACCCCAATATTTGTATTCTTTTGATAAAATTATATTTTTTTAATTTAATATTTTAACCTATATTCAAGTTATTTCGATCGTTTTTATGTATGCATTGTGTTTATAATAATATGTAGAAAATGCACGTATATAATTATATATTATATTAATAACTATTACTAACAAATTTCAAGAAGCCACCCACATATTTGGTAACATTTGGCACAGTTTTGAAATTATATTCATAGATATAAAAAAATTGTGTAACATTTAAATAAATTACCAAAATATTTTAAAACTTAAAAAATTCCTATAGGTACACAGTGGCATACATAGAGAAGTGCACACAAGGGCAGCTTAAAAAAACAAAACTATGATCGAGTATTCATTCATTAATTTAATTTATAAATTTTTTTTAATTTTAAATTTAAATTATATGTTTAAGACAATTTACAAGAAAAAAGAGCTTGATTTATTGAACTCATATTGACTATTTTGGACCCGATTTTTAAACTTTATTGTCGAGCTAGGTAAAACGGAAGAAATTTTTACCATGTATTCAGAAGTCGTAAATATTATTTAACACGTACCTTCACATTGAAAATTCCCCACGCCACTGTATGCTTGCATATTATACATAAATGAAATTGAACAACTAAGTATATGAATCAAACATTTAAACGAGTTAGGTAAGCTTCATTAATTTATAATTTATATAGCGTTTAATTTATAGTACAATATATTTGTATTTAAAAACTATATCCAGAAATTATAATAGATTATAATGATAATTGGTAACTGCTTCCCATTTGGTGCTTATAGCATTATATATATATATATATATATATATATAACTAGGTGTATATATATTGTATATATATAGCAATTATTAAAAATTCTGCTTATTTATGATAAATACAATAATACCTATATTAATTTTGTTATCATATTATTTACGAGTATAATCCTTATTAGAGTTAGAATGGTTTTTAAAGTAAATTATTTTAAACATTACATCTTGATAATAATACCTACTATTTTTTCTTTTAAAACATTTTACTCTACTTTTTTAACTAAAATATTATTACTGAAAACTGAATTTTGTTTTGTATTCCAGTTCCACATAAAAAGCATATTATACAAATTATTGGTAACAAATACGTTATTATTTTAGCCAGTGACGCACAGAGAGGAGGGTCAACTCTCCTACAAAATCTCTTCCTTCACTATCTTTTTTAAATCAAGTTTTACGCTCAACAGCATAATATCTTATATTATAGAATAAAATAAAATTTCATTTATCAAAAAGTATTTATTAAATAATAATAGTGACAGAACTGTACTGATAATGTGTGCGATCATCTCTCTGGGAAATTATTATTAGCATAACCCCCCCCCCCTCACAAAAAAAAATCGTGTGTGAACTACTAATTTTAGCGTATTTAGAGTATTATGAAGTTAATATTTTTCTTGACTTAGCAACTGAAAATATTTGCTGTCATTTTGATTACACAAATTGCAAAAACATTGTGACTATTATATGAAATATATATATATTGTATATTTTCTATGTTTTATCGATTATTTCGTCATTTTATTAGACGAAAGTACACATTTCAATATTTTGAATTCATATTTTGCTATTTTAACATCATAAAATACATACATGTTCAACCATTTGTAATGCTTCTATAAGCACTGCAATATAGGATAGCGTAAACATCCGAATCCTATATAGGCTATAAGTAATCACACACTATATCTTATATTGTCTCCTAAAATATATACCGTTTTTACGTCCGAATAATATTCTATTTTAAAATAACCGAAATAATAAAAATTACCCCGGTGTCTGCAGTTGGGTTGTGTGTGTATGACCACGAAGTTTTTTTTAATATTTATTTTATGCACCTAATTTTTATTACACTGTTGAAATATCTACGATGGCTTCCACATCGAACAGGCGTACTTGTATATTATAAACTTCACATATTTCCCTCTCGGTTCCACGTCCTCTCTTTCTATCTTTACATTTTTACTATCCGTACAGGAAATAGGGCCAATGTAAGTTGTCATCACCTCGCCGTCGTGGTGTATACATATATGTGATGTAAGAATTAATAACTCGAAGTGTGCAATAGGCAGCGAGCGGAGTATAGTAAGTTCTTCGTATACGATTTTTATATAAGTGCGTATATAATATTATAATAGCAGGAATGAATACCATATCGTCATTTCTAAAAGTGATACTGAAAGAGTGTTCAAGTGTTTGTATATAGCGGTTCTTTTAAAGTATAACTTTAATCTACTTATTGATAAAATTGTTGTATTTCCATTATAGGTAATTACTAAGATTATTTTGAATTATTCAAAACGAAATATATATGTATATTATTTTAATAAACGTATCTTAATATAATATTATTAAAAATGTAATCACTGTTTTGGTAGTTATGAAGGTAGGATGCATATACATTATGCACAGTTATTTAATTTATATATATGCAATAAAAAATCATTGACAGTGGAGTAGCCAGTATTTATCAATGAGAGAGTTTCTGTGATGTTGTTATTTGTTGTAATTCAGTTAAAAATATTGAAATCTTTAAATTTAAAACAAATATTTGCCAGTTCGAGATATAGTGAAATGTTAAAAATATTTTAGCAATTTTGATCTATTTAAAGGCATTTTATACCAGCGAATTTTTTACGTAGTTTTTATTTATTTAGTAGCATATAATTGCATGACACAACAGAAATATTTGAAATAGTAGAAGATTCATTATAGATTGTACTTAGTAGAAAAAAAAAAAAGTAAAATGCAGTAATTTTTTTTATAAAGTTTAAAAATCAAATTTTGATGAAAAATTCAAAAATATGATCAATATTACCTTTAAATCATGCATAATCGAAATTTTTTCAGAATAGTAAAGTTTATCATTGCTCACAAATACAAGTTTTCTGTCAACATTTCAAATCTCTACAAACGTTATAACAATGAATTGAATAATTGAATAAAAAAAGTGCTCATACTGGGGACGGATACAGCCACTGTTGTAGGTAGAAAGTTGGGAATATAGGATACATAAAGTTATTTAATTTATATCTATACATAAAAATAAATCATTGCTAACGAATAACGATTCGGAGCAAAGTTCGGTTATACATGTATTTAAAGACCATAATATTTACGATTTTCATACTTAAATTCTGTCAAAAATTGTCCACGAATAGTTCTAATTGAATTATAACAAAAAACAAAATTTAAAATAGTAAAAGTATTATTTTTGTAAATTGTTCCGTTCTTTCTATGTTTTTTTCGGTTTTTATCTAGGTACTATGAAATGAAAAACTACACTAAGAAAATAAAAAAAAAAAAACGATTTCTTTACTCACAAACGAGATTAAAAATGCAACTAAAAAGTCACTTGTTTTTCTATTGGAGCAATATTTATTTTAAAAAAACATGAACTGTGAAAATTTTAAATAATGTAATCGTTGTGCTGTTATTTTAAAAAATCATCTTTTTTGGTTTTTCACAATTATTATGAAAATACTTTGAATGTAAATAAAAACGACTTTCTTTTTCGGTGGCTGTATAATAAAAGGAATAAAATCAATTTCTTGTAATTTTTCAATTGGCGTTATATTTCTAGTAGGAAACATAAGTTGCAAAAATTAAAACATTAAAACATTATTTCTGATAGAAGAAATACAATTTTAAAATTTTAAATAATGAAATCATACAAAGTAAATTTGTTCCTTTTCATTTTTCCGGTTTTACTCAATTATTATATATTCCAAGTAGCTAACTAATTGGAACATGGAAAAGCTAATTACTTCGTGATCAACTAGATCCAAAATGAAACAAAACGGTATTTTTTGATTAAAGTAATATTTCTCATAGAAAACACAATTTGTGAAAATTAAAAACAATGAAATCGGTAATTCGCTACATTTTGAATATAAAGTAACCCACACAATGATTTTCATAGAACAGAGAAAATTGTAGTTTTATGTTTTCTTAGAATACGGTTTTAAATAATTCCATATGGCCCATGGTCCATTTTATTTTGAATTCATTGGTCATTAAATCGTTTAATAAACAAGATTATGAATTTAAAATACTATTAATTGTATAAACAAACTAATAACAGTATAATTTCTATGCAAATCTATGCAGTATATTATAATAAGTTATAGTAAACAAATAACCAGCGATATTAAAATAAATGAATTCACAAGAATTATAAGTAATATCTTCAGATTATATATTATACGAGTACACGAAACATTAATTTGTTCTAATTTCTAAGCAGAGCAAAGGAGTTTTGTTAGTTTTTGAAATATTATTAAATGTTGAATTTTTTTTTTATCGATTCTTTATTGAAAGTACTAAGTAAATAAAAAAATAGGACAAAAACAAAAAAAATACTTTGTGTTTATCAAGAAAAAAGCTAAATTTTTCATTTTCAAAAGGTTATTCAAATCATATGGCAGGCAAAGGGATTATTATTCTAACGTTGCGGTCTAATGCCCTGTCAAAAACTCAAGAAACCGAATAAACGTAATAAAAAAATAAATATCAATTGGCACTATTAAAAATAGTTCGTCTAACCATTATACGTGGTATACGTTCAAAAATTTAAAAAAAAACTTAATTCCATTTACCTATAGGGTACTTCAAAAAAAAAACAATAAAAATATCACATACCAAATATATAGATAGGTATAGTATGTAGATACATTTTTTTTCATGATGGTTGGATTAATAAAGTCAAATAATTAAAAAAAAAATGGAAACGTGCAAATAATAAAAAGGTGTTGTTTAAATAATTTATTATTACCACGATATGTTATAAAATAATAAATAATAACCTAATACAAATGTATCAACTTAAATTGGTACTACTTTGTTTACCTATAGTTAAAAGTATTTTAATGAAAATTCAGAATTTACATTTTGAATAATTGTATCTATATGTTATAAAACATATGATCAATGGGAAACTGTAATGATCTAACATTTGTAAATTAGAATCCCACAACCGTGAGCTTCTCTTACAGTCCTACCTACATCAATGTTAAAACCCGAACAATTCAGAACGCTATGGTCACTCCTATCATTACGCAATATAATATAGGTATTGAATTTCAAAATATGTTGAGCATTATAATAATATGTGTACGTCTTAATATATTATAATATTTATTATGTTCATGTGGCTGCGTGTTTGCTAGTTTTTAAACGACTTTAGGTGAAAACGTACGTATCCAAGATCATCCGATTTTTGTTACAGCCTTACAGGAAACGGGTAGGTAGGTATATATTATATTAATGCGCGTGTGTGGTTTCTGTAAATAATTGCACCCGTACGGAATACGCGCTTATATTATATATATTATAAATATTACACAACGACCGCTACTCGATGACAAACGCAGAGTAAACATTGACTTGATTTGTTGACACAGGCTGTATAATAATAATAATAATAATAATCACAAATAAATATAATAAAAACCTACAATGCATTATCATGTGTGAAATGATATTATTGCCAACTGCTGACAGATCCAAGATCACATGCGACACAACCACTTGGCATTTTTGGGAGGTTTATCGGCTACGGAGGAACTAAAATGTATACAATTTCTACAATTATATAAATAGATTTGATGTAATGCATTGATATTATTACTAACGTGAAACGTCTATTTCAATATTATATTGAATACAAATAAATTATATACCTGTAATTGCATATATTATAATATTATATTTGCCTTTTCCAGACGTGATACAATTTTCAAAACATTTCAGCCACTTTAGGGCTATTTATAAATATTTATTTTTTCCGAGTTTTTTACGTAATTTTTATTTAATAGATACTATCTGTAAATAAAATTGTTAAACCAAATATAAATGCTTGAAATAGTAACAGGAAGTTCATTATAAGTCGTACTTCGTGGTCAGGAATAAAACAATTTAGTGTAATGTAGAGTTTTTTTTTTTTTACCCAATTCAAATATTGGATTTCCCAAGGAAATCTGACTTATACAATTACTATTTTTCTGTTCAATAAACGTTTAAGTTTTAGATTCTCAACGGAGCGAAGAATGTATTAGTGTCACTGTGATTATACATGTGTGATTTTTTTTTTTTTATTGATTTTTTTGATATTTTATTTAAATAAAATGACTCTAAATGAGAAATGGATTCGTTATTTCACATAATGTGTTTTTACTTTTATTTTTGTTAGTCTGGGATCAACTTTCTACCAAAAAAACTTGCTCCAATCAAAAAATTTCATTAAAGAACCCTTTTTTTTTTTTATTGAATTTTGAATCTTATAATATTGGTGCATAAATAAATTAAAGAAAATCGTTTTTTGATTTTCTTTATATGTTTTTTTAATAATTGAGAAAAATCTAAAAAAAAAAAAATACAGAAAATATGGAAACATTTATGAACATAATAATACTGTATTATTACATTCAATTTTATTTTTTTAATGTAATTTAGTTTAATATTTTTATAAAGACTTGACATTTTGACTGAAAACTTATATTTTCTCTTGAAGACGTAGTCAATTTTTCAAAACATTTAATCTATTTTTGAGCTATTCATAAACAATTTAATTTTACGAGTTCTTTACATAATTTTTATTCTGTATTTTGATCTATTTAAAAGTATTTTATTATATTTGTGAGATTTTTATTTGGTAGGTACTCTGTAGACAAAATTGTTAGACTAAACAGAAATTATTGAAAATTTAACAGGAGATTCTTTAAATGTTATACTTTATAGTAAAATAAAAAAGAGCTGATACTGGGGACGGGTGCAGTCACTGTTGTAGGTGGGAAGTTGGTAAGGTAGGATACGTAACGTTATTTAATTTATATCAGTAATAAACGATAAACCATTGCTGATGAAAAACGATTCCAAGCCCAGTTCGGTAATATACAATTTGAAGTGCCACAATTTTTTTTGCAACTTTCGCTTAAATTTGATTACAAAACGCTTATTAAAAAAAATTCAGCAAAAATATGATCTCTTGTCGTTTTTCAATTGAAGCCATATTTGTGTTAGAAAACGTGGTAGATACTTATTTAAAATAACGAAATCATGAACAAATCATATTTTCCCCCGGATAATCATTTTAATTTCAAATACCGTTTCGAAAATCAAAAAATGACCTAAGTATTTACCAAATAGATAAAATTGTCTTTCACAGAAAGTGCTACACTTATACATCGGAACAAATTTCTAGTGAAATACGTGTCTACAGTCTAAAAGAAGAAGAAAAAGAAATAAAAAACATTGTAAAACCAGTAGCTCCCTTCCTACGCTTAGAATCATGAGTTTTATGTAGTGGTTTTTTCTATAAAGGAATTTTAATATCAACTTTTGACGAAAATCGTATGAGTAAAACATTATGTGGAACCAGTGGCGCAACTATGGGGAAGAAGAGTTGTGATCCCCTCCCCGAAATATGTCTGTAAGTTTTTTACGAATTTTACGTAGTACGTAGTTGTATGATTTTCATACCGATTTAAAACACAATGTTTTAACATCGTTTATGAAAAAGTGATAACAACTATGATGATGAAGATCATTTTCTACATTTAGGAGGCTAAAAACGTATTTAAGAAACACTACAAAACAGCAGAAAGGCCACTTTAAATATACACCGGGTGAATCATTTTGTGAGTACACTCATTATCTCGGAGAGTATTTTTTTTTTCGGAATTTATTTTTTAACTAACTCTAAAATTTTATATTTTTGTTATTTTTTGTAAATCTTATTTTTGGGGGGTATAACCACTACCTACTTATGATTTTCAAATGGCAACCAATATTAAAAATTCCATAAATAGACGGAGTATTAGCTTAAACAAATTTGAGTGTTAAATTTTTTTATTTCTGTCATGCCGTTGACGAGATATTCCACTTTTGATTTTAGTACGCTTACATTTCTAAAAAAATAGTTAAGGTACTCCGTCCCTTGCGTCCCTCCACAATTCAAACAGTGTATTGAAGTTAAACCAGATTCAGTGCTTAATGTTCAGGCACTCTATTCGAAGAATTAATCTTAGACTTTAAATTATTATTTTACAGGCTGGCTCATTTAAACCTTTGGGATGTTTTTTGGTAATAATTTTATAAAAAAAAAAAACACAAATTATTAATTTTGGATAATTTTTCGTTTATTTTGGAAATTGGTTCTGATTACTTTTTAAAAATAATATTGCCTAAATAATTGCCTTTAGAGCAAATGGCATTTCTCGTTTTTTTGGAATTTCCCATCACTTTTCGAAGTGTTTAAGGTTGAATGGGGCTATAAAAACACAAAAGTGTTGCTTCTACGTCAATGAAAATCCTTAATTAATCCATGAACAATCAACGCGTGACTTTATGGGCCGGAATTTTTGCTAAAACAATCATTGGATCGTTATTTTTGAAGGAGATGCTGGAGCAGCCTTATCCATCAATGGAGAGCGTTATTGGGCCATGATAACGGATATTTTGATTCTATTTCTGACTGATAACGACATGAACAACTGTTGGTTTTTAACAAGCCAGCGCCACAGCTCATACAGCCACAATCACTCTGTTGCGTCTTTTGTTCCTCGGACGCTGAATTTCAAAAAATGGTGATTTCGACTAGCCTCCGTAATCACCCGTCTTAACGCCTCCAGACTTTTTCCTGTTGGGCTATTTGAAGTCTGGATTTTATGTTGAGAAGCCATGGATCCTCGAAGCGTTGAAAGATAATATATGACAAAATGGAAATGGCCGTTTTTCAGCAGGAAACACTTCGAAAAATGATGAAATACCAAAAAATAAGCACATTACACCATTCGTTCTGAAGGAGAAATTTACGTGATATTATTTTTAAAAAGTTTCCAAAACAAATTTCCATGTCTAAAATAAACGAAAAATTTTTCAAAATTAATAATTTTTTTCTTCTAAATTATTACCAAAAAACATTCCGATGCTTCAAACGACCCACCATGTACTTATTAGTAAAGTATATTTAAATACATAATTAATATGGGTTTAAATTGCATTAAAATATGCGTTGTCTTTAAATGAAAATTAAACAATTTAAAGATTTACTCATAAATTTAATTAAACCTTACCCCTTCCACCTCACCAAACACCATCCGAAATTAATTTTTTTTAATATGCTGATAACTGAATATAATTAATTTCACAATGCTAATTATTAATTTAATTTGTTTTTTATGAATAATTGAATTTATTTTATTCGATTTCATAATACATACCTAATCAAATAGAATAAAAAATGTTTACTCCGATTATTGAGTGTTAATTGACATTTTAAGTTTTATTAGTAACTTTAGTAACTTTAAGCGACCATTGATTGAAGGTATGCAAATAATGAAATGTAACCACATTGCTGAATTTAGATGTGTGGAAAATTATAACAATATATTAAGAATCGTTGCTATATGTCTAAACCCTTTATTTTTTAGGTATTTTAGTATGATAGTGAAACCACTTGAATTTGTTTTTTTTTTTATATGTTATATGAGTGCTAACTTTTAATATTTTCTTAGAAAAAAAATTTTCAAAAACAAAGTGTGCCCCAAAGGGTTAAAACTAGTGATATCAGTGGAAAACCTCTCTTTCTATATTTCTATAAAGTTTATGGAATTATTATAATCACATCCATTGCATTACAACCATATTAAAGTACCTAAATTGTTTACCCTAATATATTAATTTAACAGTTGGTAGGTATTCTATATAATTTGAGCATTATTTATAAATTATAATAATAACTTGTAAATTATAAAAAATCGTATTTAATAAAATGTTTGCTGTACACATTAATATTATTTGAGGGAGAATTAGTAATATTCATTTTTAAACCATGCTCCCATTCCTTTTTTAGGATAACATTTTTAGGAAAAGTGTGGAAAGTCACATCCTTTTTGTATTGACTGTTGAATGATAATCAAATAATTATTTTGCATATGTTTACATAGAAAATATTGTTTTACATTGTGGAACACGACAATATTTATGTTTATTACGAGTTTTTGGTGTTGTGGCACAATAAGCATGACCCATGATTATGAGTTGGCAGCTACCAAATGCGAAAGTGTAATTAAAATTAAAACACAACGTGTGGTTAATAAATTATGATAAATCAGGTAAATCAATTCTCAATATTTTGTATTTTATATGTTCATCAATAATTTAGTTTTCATGTCGGCCCCGTTACGTTTCATACCACCACCACCAGATGTCAGCCACTTCGCTTTTTATCGCGAATGTCGCGCTGACGAAGACCGACGGTCAGGCTCGTCCGTCGGTCAACCAACAGGCCATATAGGTAAATACTGGCGTATAGTTTGACTATTAATGACGCTGAGCAGAGCGACCGATCGTACGCGCGTACGCATATTTATATTATTATGATAATTTATAATATTATTTTATTATGTGCCGTCGGCTAAGCATTAAACGCTCGTTGACAACCAATAATCAGTGCGTACCGTCGGTCGTGCACTAGTTCCAGCCTTAACGAGTATTAATACAGTATTTATATATAGACCATAGACTAATGAAGTAATATTGTGACAGTTTATAGCCTATAATAATACCTGTATTAGTTAATTAGTTATTATTACTTTGGCATGCGGACTACGAGTGTCAGCGGTGCTACACTGCAATATTATTAATAATCAGTTAAAAATAATTCAATCAGTACCTGTAATCACTTTTCACCTTGTTTAAAATTTCAAATGATCGCAGATTTGATTTGAATCCATTGCGTTGAAAATATCTTCTCAGTTTACAACTAACGGGTCCCGATGTTGTTCATGTAGGCATGTTGTCGTCATCCACCCCGGTTATTGCGCCACTGCCTACAGTTGCCGCACCTGTCCACAGTGCCTATCGGCTTTTTTTTTTGTCTTTGTAAACAACGTTTCCACCAGGAATCTTACTCCTATAGGTCCGATGTATAGAGTTCAGCACCTTTTCTGAAAGGAAATTCTGCCTAGTTGGTGCATTAAAAAGTTTTAATTTTCCAAAGGATTTTCAAAATAGTTAGGAAAAATCGGAAAGAAAGTAATAGGTAAAACGGCAAATATTTATGACACGCGGCGTCATTACCAATTTCATTGTTTTTAATGTTTGCAAACTATCATAATAATTGAGAATACTGTAAAAAGTTGAAAAATGATACAAATTTACGGCGTACGATTTCATTATTTTACACGTTTACGGTTTTTATGTTTTCTATCAGAAGTCCAGAAATATTTCTCCTATAGAAAAACAACAAGATACGTTTTTTTTTTTACTTTTTCAACTACATATTATTACAAAGAAAATCGTTTTTTTGATTTTCCTTGTTTTCTGTTTAATAAATAAGCAAAACCAAAAATAAAACTTAGAAATAAAGGTCAAATTTACAAAAATAATTATTTATTATTTTAAATTTTGTAATTTTTATTAATTTGCATTAATTATTTTAAGAATCAAGACTATATATAAATCTTATTGGACTAAATATATAGTTTCAATTGTAAATTTCCTTTTTATTTTGGATTTCTTATTTCTAAAGTTGGTAAATAAATAGACAATAGTCGTTAGGTTCATTTAGTTCATATGTCGTTTCGAAAAATATGTCAGAATTTAATAAAATTCTAAATGCCATACCACGGTATACATTTCGATTTATTGTCGCGTCAATAGGAGAAAAATTAAATTGCTCGATGTGGACAGTTATGTAAAAATAAGAATTATAAAATCGTCTTCTATAACTAACTCAACTATGAAAATTTATACCTAATTTAAAAGCTGAATCATAAAAAAAGCTAATTAATTAAAGCTAAAAAAAGGTAATTAAAATTCGAATTAATACATCAAGCTTTTTCTCGTAACTTGGCTCGATATTAAATTACTTTTACTTTTTTGTATTTTTAGGCCAGCGGGAGGGATATATCCCCAACCCAAGGATGCACACAGAAATATACACCAGTGGGGGGGGGGCAAAGTCAGAAGTATAAGACAGTTTTACAACTTACAAGTAAACTTGGCTTAAGTATTTAAGCCATGCAAATAATAAAAGAATTAATATTTAATATTAACTAAAATAGCAGGGGGATCCATGGCACACATTAGCATCCCTCTGCAAACGCTCTTGCCCTAACCTATTCCCCCTGCGAACTGGTTGCTGTTGATTACAAAATTTTTTCGAATATCTGAACTATCTAATTAAGTATCATAATACATATAATTTAATTTAATTTATATCTGTATTTTATTATATCATTCATCGTTATGAATCAGTGGAAAATGAAAACAACTCTGAAAAAAGATAAGTTCAACATGTTTTGGCAAATTTTAATTTGTATATTATTTTGTAACAAAATAAATAACAATTGTTTGTTTTTTAAAAACAAATTTCAATACAAAATGTTGATAGAAATAAATTTCAAAATCTATTGTCATTTACATAAAAAGAAAAAAATGCAATTTCAAAAAGGCCTGGAATATTTTTAAAACAACAGCACGTCTAGAAAATACTAATATATTAAATAATGCAAAACAATCAATGATAGTTAATAGAATTCTTGTAAACAAATTATTTTTAACCTATTATTTATATATATTTATTATATTATCAGGGATTTATAACATTCTTAATAAAAATACAATATATTAATTTTAAGTTGATTAAGGTGAATTCATACCAATTGGAACAAACAAATTATAAAGCTTGGGTGCTGTAGCATACTAGTACCCAGTCAATCTCTGCCTATAGATAAACAAAATGACAAAATAATTGAAAAGTAAGTTTCTTTTTTTTAAATTTTTGATCAGTTAATATATTGACTTACTTTAAATCTAATTAAATAAGTGTAACATTAAGAGCTACTTTCACCGATGTGAATGAAAACATATTTTTAAATTAATATAATGGCTGTTAACTAACAGCGATTGGTCAGTTATTTTATAAACTCTGTTTAAATATTAATGTACTTTTAATTTTGAGAAAATATAATGCATAATTATTATTTTGGTAGACTAAAATTAACAATGTAAATATATATATATAAGAACAGAAGACACTTTATTTATAAAGTTTTAACTATTTAATTCTTCAAAATTAACATAATATGTTGAAATTTAAATATATATTCAATTACTACTAATTATTTTAGTTTGATAAAATTCCAAATGTTTAGACTGAGGTGATAATTTCATCTGCGACCACTCATTTACAGACAAATTTTTGGTATTACTTGCACACAAATTTTCCAATTCTATATTGAATGGAAGTAAAATAGTATCTGATAAACCAAATAGCTGTCGCAAACCATCCCTTGCTGCCATTTCATGTGCAATATCTACAGTTTCCCCAAAACCTATTTAAAACAAATATATATATATATTCATATTAAGTGATTAGAATCATTATAGAAATATCAACATTTATAATATTTTATTAGAATACACACCAAGACCAATCATTTGTTTATTATGAGGAGTATATAAGCCCACTCGAAAACATGCTAATAATGTATTCTTGCCAGAGCATCCAATAAGTCTAGGTTCAGGAGACTGGACATTGTCTCTAGCTAAAATGTCTGATAAAAGTTTAATCGGTTCTTCAGGCTTCCAAAATTGGTGCAAATCTTTATCGGCTATCTGTGTTAAAATAAAATCACGTACAAATGCTGTTGCTCGGCCATTACCAGAACTTTCAACTAGTGCTGCAGTTATTGATTTGAGAACATTGGCCAAAGTTAATTTTTCTACAGGAAAGTCCTTAAAACAAAATATTAAACATTATTTAACAGAATATCTATAATAAATGTGTATACCAATTTACTTACAGCACAGAGAATTAATTCAGATGTACCAATATGAAAAGAAATATGAGAAAGTGTTTCAGTACTTGTTAAATACTTTTGAATTTCTCTAAAAAAAAATATAGATAGATAATAAATAAAGAATTATTAAATAATTGTTGAAGTGTACATACATGATTCCTTCTTCTGGTAATCTAGGTAATACAGTATGTAAATAACGATTTACTATATCATCAATAAAATTTGAACCTTTAGTAACTAGTTTACTATTATCAGCTAAATCTAATAGAGGTTGATCAATGCCAACACTCTTTTGTTTCTCTTCTTCAGACACTATATATGAACGTTCAGTTAATGCTTGTTGTAACAAATTATTATTAAATTCTTCACCTAAACGCTTACTAAACGCATAGAGTTCAGTATCATAGTTCCTAAAAAATGAAAAACAATATTTTAAAGTATAATTTAAATATATAGTAAATGTAATAAACCAAAATGTATATTCTTACCACTCAATATATGTTTTACGATGAACTGGTTTTTCTGGGCCTAAAGCATCTTTTCTCCGTTTCAATTCTCTCAATGTCGGAGCCAACCACCTATGAAATGATTGTTCACATCCTAAGTAAAAATTAAAAAAATAATTTTAATAAAAAATTTGTTTTTTCTTTATGATTAATAATTTAAGTACAAAATATGTGTTTTGTGTGTTGAATTCAATTGTTTAATTTTTTTATTACCATTGTTAAAAAAGTTGTGACAAAAATCTCCAAAAACTTTGAAATCAAGATTTATTTATTTTTAATTAATTAGAGTAATTTTTGAACTATACATATAGGTAGGTGAATTCTATTTATTTTTTCTTATCATATACCTAGATCAAACAAGTAAGGCAAATTCATGAAGATCATCAAAGGCCTGGTCAAATGTAGCGAGATTTAGGTTTACATTTAGAACACTATCCTACTTACAGCAAAATCAATTTTAGACTTGCAAGTAGTAGGTTGCCTGATTTATTTATTTGATTAAATGAAATTAAAATTGTACGACAAAATTAGTTTGTAAGAAACGGAATGATAGTTATTTTGATAGCTCTTAAGACGAATGAGAATCAACAGACATGAATTCAGGCATGAGTTCAGGAGAGATAGGTCATAATTATGATTTTGTAAATAAATGTACTTATCGAAAGAAATATTGTTAGATACAACTGATTTTAGTACGAGAGCTACTCAAATTAATGTCAGGAAAGTTTTAGGACTAAAATAGGACAAATAGTTGAAAAGAAACGCAAATTTGAAGGAGACTTTTAATATTGATATAAGTTAATTATTTATACAAGTACATTTATAACTTACTTTGGTTAGTTTTTACAACTTTTAGAATACGATTAATTGTTCTTAAAGTCAACATAGTATCTCTAATCGTTTGTATTTTATTATAATATTAAATTCATACAAATTTAGATTTTTGAATTTTAAAAAACAATAATATTAAAGATTAAATTAATACAAATAATACGATACCAACATTTAATACTTAAAGAAAATGCTTATACTGATTATTACTGAATGCCAATATAAAAGAAAATATTATCTACCATGCATAATGTTATCATGATATTCTGTTTTAGCTTATCAGATACTAATTGCAACCGTGTGCATTCAAAAGGATACATACTGTTTGTTTCACAAAATACTTATTCCAAAATATTTTCGTTCCACATTTACCATTTCTTCGTTCCTCCATAAACATTTTGACTATCCATTACAAAACTGCAATTAAAAAGAAAAAATTAAAAATTAGTAAGCTATACCATTTTTTTCTCTTTTTTCAAAACAATTTCAATTAGTTAAATTATTAAGCACTAGAGAGCTCTTACACCGTTTTAAAATAATATAATATTATTTTAATCTATCATATTAAGTTCTAAAGTGGATCAATTATTACAATTATAATATATATATAGTTTTTTTTATAGTTCATGTATTGATATAATATTAGTTATTACTAAGGCCAGGTTATGTGAGGTTTTTTACCCAGAATTGTATTCATTCCTAATTTATTACATGTTTTATATTTGATTAAATAATAAAAATAATTCCATACAATTTAAAAATTCTTTTAATATAGCAGCGTTTATTTGGTCTTCTCTCAAATCATTACATGCTCTACTCGTCATTTTTTTTTCAATCTGACATTATTAAAAGGATCCATATATACAATATTTTTCAAATGCCCCCATAAAAAGAACTGAAGTGTTTATTTGTGTCTTATCTGTCTACAAACAGGTATTTCACAATATCGGAGATATCATTCTGCTACAATGCACGGGGTTACTTCACGACAACAACTGACAAAAATTGTTACAACGAAAAATTATAGTATAGTTTTCATTTAAACCAGTCGATTTTAGCATATTTATTAGCTTAATGTGTAGAAATTTGACATGGTGATGGGAATTTCCCTAAGATTTATGATTATAAATTTACAATAGTTAATACAATTTAATTGTATGACGATAAAATATGGTTGTTACTTATTGCTTACATGCAACAGTATGTATATAATACGCGTACCTATATTAAAGTAGTTCTAGTCGGTCAAAAATTGTTAGACCTTTCGCATTGATAAAATTGTGAGACTTAGGATGGTCCGATTTTAATTCTGTAAAAATTATAACGTTTCTTAATATCTCCTCTAGAGAATGGTCGGAGCATTTTTTAAGGTTCGAAATTTTGACAATACTATAATATTGTACAAATTTCAGTTATTAAAATTTGTTGTACATGTCATATCTATTGAATTAATTCATATTTCTAAAAAACTCTTTGACCATTCTCTAGAGGAAATGTTAAGAAATATTAGGATTTTTACAGAATTAAAATCGCATCAACTCAAGTCACAACGTACCTATTTACCTAATGTCGGAATTTCAATGGGAAACAAACGTCTTAACCTAGGATGAAAATATCAATATAGAAAAACCGGCTATCTACGTTCCATGTACACCTGATTTGAGTAATCAATACCAGATTGAAAACTGGAAGGCAAAAGGATTATGGTTTGGTGCTTGGGGAACAGCTTCGCCTTTCCTCCTGAACTTCTTCAAAACTCACGATCTTCCTAAACCAAAACTGGTGGAGACTGGAGATGTGTCTGACGGTGCTTAAGGGCACATTGGAAATAATTCAGTACTATCTATATTCTTAATTTTTTTCTGTGTAATATCAATAAGGTACTACATAGTTATACTAATTAGAATATTCAGAGCAGTTGTAATTTTTATTTCACTCTATTTTATTTTATCTGTACCTCTTTATTTTAATGATTACGATTCATTATGTATTATCTTAAAAATAGCTATATACTCATTGTACTGAATAGTAAACTGAGTCTAATTGGCAGCTGACACGGTAAGCACTCCACTTTATATTTATTTAATAAAGTTGTTTGTATATATATGTGTGTGTGTGTAGGTAGTAATAGTAATTAATAGTATTTATACTAAAGACAAAAAAAAAACCATGCATTGTATGGTTAATACTTAATATACATTAAATTAAATAGCATTTTGACTTAATTATCATGAGTTTAACATAGATATTGTGCTAAATAATATAGCATTAGTCATGATTCGTGAGACTATATTATTTTAGTATAAAAAAATATGTATGAATTATATACGAATGCGTAATTTTACGGGCTATACCATTCATAATGGGTCATGGTTCAAAATAATGCATATATTTCCAAAAAACGCAAAAAAAAAAAAAATGAATAATCCCTATACTACGCAACCCTAGAGCACGCAGCGCATAACCTGGGGCCGTTTAATCATACATTCGTCGTACTAGTAATAGGAACAATCTAGAGAAATTACTCAAAATACTGTTAGCTTTACTCGATTAATTCGATTGTTTAGAAAATTCTGGAGTGATTCTCTCTATATCGAAATCAACCGAACCTGAGTGATAAATTAATCGGCGAGTGATTCTCACGAAATTAAATCGACTGATGTCTTAATCTTAAACATTTGAAAACAATTAAATGAAAATTAATAATGTTAGTTGTTGTACACGTTATTATATTAATTTTCTAAAATGTTTAATATGTAATAATAATTAATTGAAGAGTTAATAAAATTGTAGCGAGTATTGAATAATGCGAGTTGTACAGAGTATTGAGAAGTTGAGTGTAATGAAATAGTAAAATGACCGAAAGCTTTTTCGAGTGAATCTCTCGATTGTTATAACCTCTCGATTACTCATTTCTCGATGGTTGAAATCACCCGATTGTTCAAAATATTCCCATACGACTTGTTCGTACGACTTGTCATTTCGGGACGTTATCAGAAGCGGACTTTGGTGATATTATCTAATATCAATGATGAGTATATGAGCAGTTATCAACTACCTATCAAGAATTATTTTATATTTTGTAATTATTAAACATAAACAATTATTAATTAGTAACTAGTATGGATTTACTTTAATTTACTACTTTAAATATGAATTAATTTAATCAATATTTAATGAACATTTTAAGTTTACGTTTTAGAAGTATTAATGGAGACATAGGTAATTTAATTTATTATTATTGGGAACCAATACTCCTAAACCTATTTAATAAGTATTGATTTAAAGTTTATTATTTTACTTTAAAACAATTGAACTTTTGATATAAACTACATTTTTTTTTTTTAAAAAATATATAATATCAACTTTACAGTTTTATAAAATGTAATTATAGAGCTAACAACTAAGCTAACAACCTATTTAATTTAAATTTACTTATTTTAATAAAATAAAAAGCAATATGTTATGTAATATAATATGTTTTGACCATTATCATTAACAAATTATATGTGTTTTAGCTAAACACTGTTGTAAACTAAAATGGCTGCAATACAAAAACAGGATGGAAAACATTCTACTAAATATTTGAACTTAACTGATTATGAACGCCTTGATAGCTACGTTGAATCTGAAGGCGATTTATTAATAAAAAATTTAGCTTTAAAACAAGCTGATACTCATTTAACTTTAGAAAAGTATATTTTATCTTTAAAATATTTATAATTATTTATGCTTATCTGTATAGTATTATAATACATTTTATTTTTCACTATTAGACACTTGAATCAAGAGCGTGAGTTTATTACCAGTCATGAGTATGTTTCCATAACTGAGTATACTAAAGGAGAAATTACATTACCAGCATTTTGTCTTAAAGCTGAGGAAGCATCTTCTGATCAAATAAGTTCTAATGCTCATCATGAACCTGCTTTGACAATTGCAGAGTAATAATAATATTTATTATAATTTATAATATTACAAAAAATAATTAAAACAATTTGTAATTTCGTACAAAATTATTTTTAGTTGTTTGAGTCGACATGAACGTGAATTAGCATTATGTGTCAAGCCTAATAGTACCGAAACTAAACTTTTAGCATTTGCTTTATCATGTAAAGCTAATGAAAGGCTTAAACCAGACTCACGTCCAATTGATCATCCAATTAACAATCTGCCGCAAATATATGATGGTCAATTTTCACATCTTAATGCTTCACCAATTAAAACCTCAAAAATGATACAACGAAAACGAAGACAGTTACTTCAATCATTAAAAAAACCAATTGAGGTAATTTTATCTGCTAACTTATTACTGATTTATTTTCTTCCTGCTGTGTTTTCCTATTCAAATTGATTTAAGTATTTAATCTTATAGGTTTCTTCATTATGTATAAAATTATAGTTTATAACAATTTGTGCATTGTGATATTTCATGTCTGTCTATTCCCTAGTAGGTAGTTGATAATACAATTATTTTACACTTATATAACTGTTATTACTAGTGCTGAACTAATCAGATATTCTGATATATAACTAATCCATTATTTGAAACTAAAAACCATGAGTTGTTATTGAATAAATAACTTATATATATCAGTTGAAAACTAGATTTTTGTATCACTTTTTTCACATTTCAGAAACATAATCGATATTTGTCTCTGAAAATATCATTATAACGTATTAAAAAAAAATATTGACTGATCTACAATTTTTACTCATGTTGATACTTACTACTAGTTATTACAATATTAAAAAAAAAAAAAATCTTTTTCATATAGGTATAAATTTGGAAAATAGTTTAAACAACTAAAGTAAACTAGGAGCATAGTTTTTTGATAAGTAAATAAAATTGTCCTTTGTGTTTTTTTAAATGTATCATTTTTGATTAACTGTTGACTATTTAGATACACAATATATTTGTCCACTTATATTTATTGAAATTTTCATCATATTAAAAATTATGGTTCCATTCATAAAAATATTACATTTACTTTATTTTGAAATAATAGTGGACTTCCACTACTCAATTGGATCTCACCATTATTGTTAAATTTCCCTTTGTACTATATCTTACAGCTTACAGTTTGTTAGATTTTTTTCTTATTTTTAGATATCTGAAAAACCAATTAAACATTTTACTAGACCAAAATCTCTCTGGGATGTACAAGATAATATGAGTTCTGGGCTGAAAACATATACATGTGAAACATCTAGGCTTGCAGACCAATGTATTGGTGTATTAAAAATAAAAAAACCATCATCACAATTTTCAAATTATATTGATGGTCAGCGGTTTGTTGCTAGTGGAACACAAATTTTAACAAATAATTATATTAAAATGAATGAAGATGAATTAAAAAATCTGCCATTCTTTAAAAATTATCAAAAAGGAATCCCATCAAAAGTAAGTATCGCCATAGTCTATTAAAATTATTAATAGTGCACCTATATTGAATTTATTTATTTTTTATTTATATATATATATATAAATTTATAATTGTGTATATAATTTTGCTTAGACTTTATATGTGAAAAATGTTGCAAAAAATGTTACCGAAAAACATTTAATATCTGTATTTGAAAAGTACAAAGAATTACAAAATTCAAATATAGTTTATAGATATATGAAAAAAGGAAAAATGAAAGGTCAAGCCTTTATTGAATTTGAAAGTACGTATTGTTTGTATTTTAATTTAATTCTAATAAGTTGTTCCAAAATACATTCATATAAATTTCAAATGTACATCTGAAACTTCAATTAAAGAAAAAAAAAAAGGAGCAAAGACAATAAGGTTGAACTTATTTTTTTTTATAATTTTTATTCAGCAAAAAACATGTAATAGTAGGAGAGATTAATAATTTAGAAACAGTTTTATCCCAAAATTTAAACCACTTACAAATTTTACCCCGTCATTACGGATTAATGAGAGGTAGCAACTGTTACCTCCACCATTTTTTCAGAGTTACAGATTAATAGCTACGCTACCCTATGAGTAATTTTTTTTAAAAAAGTATAATTTTCTTGTTTTTTTTCATAATAGATAACACAAGTCATGAATATAAATATTATACTATCAACTATATTGAATTTGAATGTATATAAAAATAAGTCAAATGATTACCTATATTTCCAAATTTATTTGATATTTGTATACCTAATTCTAATAAATAATCGACTAGGATATGGTTGATGATCCACTGACTAATGAAATAAAAGACACTTTATTGAACCACAACTGAATTAAAAATATTATTCAAGATATTTGCTACTCCACAATTTTACTTCAAATGACACCTATGAAACCAGTATTCTTTTCAACCATGAGTTACTAATTTAACTTTCTACTTTTCAATAAAGGTAATAAATTCAATACATATCAAACATTAAACTTTCAGTCAATTAAAAACAATTAATACAATTTGAATCTGTTATAAATTATACACAATTTCAAAATCAAAATCATACAAGATTACTTAATAAACAGCACCAATAAAAACTATAAAAATAAACCTGATAAAATATTTAAAAAAAATAGTATAGTTAAACGATAAAATACAATTATTAACAACATGGTAAATAAATTAAAAACAAATAATTCAGAAATAGTTACGGTAGATAAAGCTAATGCTATTGTTATCATTTACACTAATGGAATTCATAAATAGAACTGTAGATTTTATAAATAATAATGATATTTAAAACCTAACATATGACCAACTATAGTTTACGCTAAACAAATTAATAAACTGATAACAAATTTGAAAGAAATCATACCTAAAGTCTAAAAGAAAATATTATTCAAATCTGATTACAAAGTAGAGGCACCATACTTACATCCATTGACAAAATTGCATAAACAAGATAATTTGATTTGTCCATTAATTATTTTTAAAACTGCTCTAGCTTATAACCTTGTAAAATATTTAGATTCTCTCTTAAAAGAAAAATTAAAAATGAATACTGATATTTCTATAAAAAAAAACAATAATGATTTTATTGATTTTATTGATAAAATTATTATTTAACCAGGTTTCAAAATGATTTCTCTTGGCGTTAAAAATTTATATACATCCATTCCTAAACACAAAATAGTACATTTTTTTAAAAATTAAACTTATACATTGTAATGATTGTATACAAACGAAGCACAAGAAATTATTCAATCAATAAATGTAATTATTAATCAAAACCCATTTCTAATATAATAATAAATTATAATTGCGAAAAGAAGGTTTAGATATGGGTGGTCCTTAAGTGTTCTTTTATTTGAAATTTACATGCAAAATTATGAAACTAATAATATTATTAACAACCAAATATCAGTCCATGTATAAAAGCATATTATAGATTTGTTGATGATACTTTTATTTTATTTAGAGGTTCAAATAGACAAGCAGAAAATTTAGTTAACTACTTAAATAAAATAAATAAAAACATTAAATTTACACTCAAAATACAATAAATAATAAATTAAATTTTTTAGATCTTACAGTTTCCATAATAAATAATTAATTTGATTTTAGTATTTACAGGAAACCTACACAAACTGATGCTATAATACCACATGATTCTAATTGCCCTTATTCTCAAAAAATATCATTTTTTAATTCAATATTCTATAGGTTTGACCGTATTCCATTAAATAAACATAATTATCAACATGAGCTCAATATTATCTATAATATAGCCCATAGAAATAATTTCAATTTAAATACTATTAAAAAAAATTCATAAACGTATAAAAGAAAAAATAATACATAACTCACCAAATAATGTTGTTAATTATTGTAGTATGAAATATCAAAATAATATGTCTAACAAATTTGCTAAAATTGTGAACAATAATACAAATAATGTAAAAATTGCTTTTAAGACTAAAAATAATTTGATCAAATATATAAACAATAGAATTAAAAAATTCACAAAAAATGGAAATGCTTTTGAAAATGCTAGTATATATAAACTTAAATGTAATTTCAATAAATATTATATAGGTAAAACAAATAGAAATATTAAAATAAGATATAAAGAACACATTTCTGAAATAAAATTAAAAAGGTCTACCCCTAATTCAAATTTCGCTAAACACGTTTTAAAAAGTAACCATAATATAAACTTTGATATTAATACAGACTTAGAGATATTAAATATCCAAAATAACATTTACATTAATTCAGTTTTAGAAAAATTACATACATACAAGAAAAATAATTTGAATATTTTAAATGTACAAACTGACTTTAAAAAAAATATCTTACATCAATACAATTTAGACAATAAATAATAACCAAATAATTTATGTTTCTTAATACATCTATGTCTAATAATAACCCATTTTAAATAATCTCTCCTATTAAAATATATTATTTCTATGTAAAACGACCAATTTGTATAATTTTTTTTCTATGTATACCTATATTTAATTTTTATATTCAGTCACATTTTACATTTTGACTTGATGATGAATTTTTAATTTGGAACTTGTTTTATAATACATTTATCATAATATTCCAGATGACATATAGATTGATTCATTTATTTTATTCTTATGTATACATTTTTTATTAATATATTTATTTACTTTATATTATAATAGTATAATAAAAGAATTACCTAAGAGACATTCATTCATTCATTTATTTATTCTTATTTTTATGTATACATTTTTATTTATATATTTATTTACAAGTATTAACCATTTTAATAATTTTGTTTTTACTTTATTATTTTATTATTAATAATAATTATAATATTTCATCTATACCTTGATATATAGAAATACATGTCAGTAATTTAATATAAAATATTTAGGTATTGAAATAGCAGAGAAAGCATTAAAAGAGAACATTGGACTAATAATTGAAGGAAAGCCATTAATTATTCAGTTTGGAAACAGATAATTATTATTAATTAAAGGTAAATAAAAACTTTGTATAAACATATTTGATATTATTTTATAAGTTATAATATTACTATTGTTCCATAAATTGTTGCTAAATATTCTGAAGCCCCAGGAAAAAAAAATATTAATTTCTTGAATTGTTATTATTTTATTCTTCCAAAGTAGAATTATAAAACATTTGTTTGTTTGCATTAAATGTAAATAGTTTTTATATAATACACATTTTTAAAATTATTATGTATGTAATCCATTAAGAGACAATAGTGTACTTATTTTTTTTTTTTAAGTAGGATTAACTTAAAACTTGTCATTAATATAGATATAAAGTAATTTAAATTTCACCTATCCTAATAAATTATGCATTATCAATATTATTACTAATTTAGTATTATACTTTCCATGGTATTTAAAATTTGCATAATGTTGATATGTATAATAAAAATAAATAAAATAATCACACAAAAATTTGTTTAAAATTTTTTAAAGAACTTAAATTAAGCATATTCACCATTTATATTAATGTATAACGGACAAAATCCATGAAAATTTTTATAAAAATATTAAAAAGGTGATCTGAGGAGAGTATTTCCAAACTTCTGCCTCGTGGGTGGTAATTTGGTATTATTTCAAACGTTTGAAAACACCCTCTAAAAAAATATAATAAAACAAATAATTAATTAATTTATAGTAATTCAGGGTTTTATTATGAATATTATAAACACTGTAAATATAGGTATTATTCATATTATATTATATTAAATTGTATAGTAATTATTTAGAATGTGAAATGGGAACAATTTGCACTAAATAATTTCATTAGTTTTTCATTGAAGACATACAACATTTTCATCTGATGATTTTATTTTTAAATTTTCTATCGAATAGAAATAAACAGATTTTAATTTCACTATTTGGTTTTAGTAAAAGACATACCAAATTAGACCAATTAGATATTTCTTTAACAATCTTTATTAAACAATTACAAACAGTAATAAAATACACCAATGCACAAAAACTATTGGGACTATATAAGTGAAATAATAGAACATAGAAGTACTAAGTACTAACTATATTATTTAAAAATATAATATATTTTTGTGTATTACCCAAAAAGACATTCTTCTTTAAAGCACATGACTTTAACTATATTGAAAAATATAATACCCAATGTATGAGCAGTAGATGTGTTGACTTTATTTAAACATTTTTGAAACTTCTTATCACATTCACAATGAGATCTGAAAAAGTCACAGATTATTATTGATGTACAAATTGAATATTTAATACCTATAAAATACCATTTTTTTCACATTATAATTAGTAATATAATATAACATTTATAGGATGGTCAAAACGTTATATTGAAAATACTCATATTTTTAAAAAATTGAAGAAATAATCAGCTCTACAATGTTACATTACTCCTATTTTTGGGAGTGAAACCACTTCACTTTTAATTTTTAAATAGCAACCTGTATTGAAAATTCCATAATTGGATGATTTAGTTTAAATAAATTTTGTTGTTGAAATTATGAAAGGCATTAAAATGCTTCACGCTGCACTGCCACACAAATGATGCTCTATTACCCTCCTCCTACCAACAAAATAACAAATTTTAGAGTGGAATATCTCATCAAGAATTGATGGAAATTAAAAATTTAATCATCAAAGTTTAATTAAAGTATTATATTATGTATTTATGAAATATTTAAAGTGTAGGTTGACTTTCGAAAATTAAAAGTGAGTAGTGGTTTCACCCCAAAAATAAGGATGAGTGACAAAAAAATAACGGTAATTTAACATTGTAGAGCTATTTGTTTCTTAAATTTTCTAAAAAAAAAAGTTAATATCTGAACTAACGAATGTTTTACATTATGTTGATTACCCTTTATAATAAATCAAAATAAATAAAATTAACTATTTACCTAGTATACGGGGAGGTATTACAGAGATTAAAATAACATTGACCCGTTTCCAAAGTTCTGGTGCAATGATCATGTTCTCGACAACAAATATCTTCTTCTCGGTAAACACCCAAATCTGAATAATTCTTAGCAACATTACCAGGTCCACACCATTTTGTGCCTATTACATATGAAACATTTTTAAATTGCGATATAAATAATATTTTATACTTTTCAATATATTTTCTACCTGGATATATGAAGTCAATATTTTGACATGGGCCTCTTAGAGCTCCTCGGCAGATTTTATAAAACAAATCTACAGATTCAACGGACATTGATTCATAAACAAACAACGAATTTTCTTTCAATAACTTTTGTATTTCATTCCTTAAACAAATATTAGATATTACTTTTATGGATTCTCTATTTATTTATTTGTTAAGAAAATAGAAAACTAAAAATCTAATTTCAATTTTATTAAATATCAAATAATTTATTTGAACAGATCTGTAAATAATATTTACAGTATTTAGTGTGCTACTACTATCTAAATACCTGATGATATTTTTGTGATGATACTTCAAATGAAAAATTAATAATTCTGAAGTGCAATTTGATGGGTCTTGGTAGTAATTAAATATATGAGAATACAAATAAAAATCAATTTTGTGTGTTTATATTAGGTATTTTCAGTTATATGTAGTAAATAACAGTTCCATTATATGTATAAGTGATACACAAAATTAAAAATTTGAGAACTAGGTACTTCTGTAAGTACTATGAAATTAATTAATGACCTTTTGACCTAATGCTGGCTCAGTATGACAAAGAGCATCTGCAGCCAGAAGTCATATTTAAATCCCTTAAATGTAACATAAAAACATAAAAACATTTTAGACGCGAAAATAACTTTGAAAAGTATGCTACAATTTGTATTGACAGACGATAAAAAAACAATACCCATGGAATGTCACATGTACAGTTGCACTTGCACCAAGTTTACAAATAATATTATTTATACTATTATCATAAGTGCAACTCAGAGGGATCTAGAGGGTCGTCTTTAGCACCACAAAGTTAGCACACCCAAAAAAAAACAAAAACTTTTTCTATATTAAATTGCATAATTAATGAGCAGAACAAAATAATTATGATAAATTTTAGATTCTAAGTGTAGCGAAGAGTATATTTGTTTTACAAAGATATTTATTTATTTATTTATTTTATTAATACTTTTTCTACCAGAAAACTTATTCCAATGTATATGATGTAAGCCCTTTTCTGAAAGTATATTTTCTTGGAGTGGTACTTTAAGGAGGTTATTTTTTGTTTTTTTTCTAAGTTTTCCCAACAAATGTGGAACAACGGGAAAATCAGTACAATGTTAAATTATTTTTCTATTAAAGAAAATATATAATGACCATTTAGTTAATTTACCATAATAGAACAAATATGTTACAATAAAAGTACAAATACCGGTAAAACCTAGGATACAAAAAATAGATTGATCAAACCCCAAATGATTTTTGTAGTTTGGAATACAAAAGTCCGAAATTGTTTACCAATTATGTGATATTTTTTATGGTCGTATTTTACTATTATTATTTAAGCATATTAGGTAGATAGGCACACAGACACATTTATGTTATTATAAATTATTATAATATATTGTGACAACAAATTTATATTATCAATTATTATTATATAGGTATTATTTATTTGTCCAGGCTTGAATACTGTGACATCTCTAGTTGCACAATACATATTTAGATCGACACTTACACCGATTCGATTTGTGATGAATTAATTTAAAAAAATCTATGATTTAAAAGTTGGTATTTTCACAATAATCATACTTATTTACCCATAGAATTTTATCACGGGTGATTAGATTAGAAACATTGAACTCACTACCCCACGTTCATTAATCCAAGCTAATAATACGTCATGACAACACACGAGTTTCAGTTATAAAATATTTTAAATATTTTTTGGGCTCTTTATAATTTTAATTTCATAAAATAAAATATAGATCAGGTATGATTCTAATTCTTAAAAAATTAAGATTCAGAATTTATGGCTGTTTTATGCAAATTGTATGTATTTATGTAAAACATATATAGAAGTTTTCAAATAAAAATTAACATTTAGAGATTTAATTGTGTTCCGTGATTGATCTGACTTTTATTAATACATATTTAGAAGCAGTAGGTATTTTCGTTGATGATGGATGAAAATTTCATTTTTTGCCCGTTTTGATTCATTTATTTTTAAAAACTCATTGAAAGCCCTAAATATTGAAAAATTTGTAATTATAATTTTTATCTGTTTTATAATTTTCGAAGTTATAACAATTTTAAGTTAAACTTTTTGAATATTATTACATTATACTAATTAATTTGTGAGTAATAAATTTGAATCTCCTATACTTTCTTAAATAATGTTTCAATTTTTTTCTGAGAACAAATTAATTTTACTGGTTGACTAATATTTGTTGAACACATTTGTTAGTGTAGTCAATTCTTGTTTATATGTAATTTAATGTAATATAATTTTTCTTGGTATCTACAGGGTGTCCCACAAGAATTCGACAAATTCAATAACTTTGTTCTATTCAATATTTTTGATATATATTAATGTTGATGATGATGGTAATTTATGTTGGTAAACAATATTGTTAGGATTGAAAGAAAGTTATTCAAATTTTCAAAAAATCGTAGAAAATAAAGGACCATACTTTAACAAACGTTCCAACCACCAATATTTTTTTAAAAAAATTATAGTAAAATTTAAAATTTTTATTTTAAGCCCTCCTCTCCCAAAAAAAAAAAAAAAATTTCATATATAAATTATAGCGCTGAGGCATACTAATTATTTAAAAAAAATGTATATCAAAAATATTGAATAGAACAAAAGTTATAGCATTTGTCGAATCCTCGTGGGACACTCTGTATATATTAATCTAGATACAAATGATAATATCTTATTTATGACAAACAAATTAACCAAAAATTACAAAACCAGATAGACGCATTGCAAGAGGAAATAGAAAAAAAGACAGGATCTAGTCATAATTCGTAGAAACTGCAAATTTCGCGAATAATTAGCTGTTTTCAATCTGAATATATGACACTGTGGGAAAAAGCACACCGTATGGAAGAATAATATATTAAATTTATTTACTTTCATAAAACATGCTCATTGCAATACTTATATCTTAGCTCCATATCATTAGATATAGCTTTTATGAGTTTTTCACTTGATTCAATAATCTTGCCCCACTGTGAGTCGCACCTAATCAAGCCTTGTCCAACAGTCAAAGAAAATTGCAATACTGCTTGACGAATACCAATTTCATTCTCTGAAATTGCCGATTCTAAAAAATTGTCTTCACATAAAGTGAACTGATTCATTCCGAGTGAAAAGTGAATCACAGGAGGAAGAAAAGAAGACAATTTTTTATCATCAATTAATCATTTAATTCGTCAAGCAGTATCTCAACTTTGTTTAACTGATGGACAAGGCTTAATAAGGTGTCATTGTTTAAAAATGTATCACAAATTGATGTAAGTACCGATCCAACAATGTATTGTATAGCCAAGCCTGCACAAATAAATAATTAATAAGATAAATGCGTGTACACATTAGAATCGTTTTTTTCGTTAGCAATGGTCTATCATTGTTTACAGTTATACATAAAACTCCCTTTTGCATCCTACTTTCCACCTTCAACAGTGGCTGCACCTGTCCCCATTATCCTAGGATAGCTTTTTATAAACAAAATTGTAAATATTGAAAATAAAAGGCGTAGTTGATTATTGTAAAAGTTGTGAAATGGGATTGTGGGAGCATAACCCTCGTGAGTCTTTAACGTATTTATAATTTTAGCACCCTCAAAGTAGATGGTCTTTGTAGTTCATGGACACTTTAATAAATTGACTCCGTTTAGAAAAGGAAACGTGAAACCTATATTGAGTAAGAGAGATAGTGATAGTTAAAGGCAGTCGTTGAAAGAATTATTAGTTTAAAAAATCAGCTATTCATATAAAATTACTCCATCCAAATTTAATCTTAAAACATATCTACAGAAACAATAATCCCATGATTTAACAAAGTGTACAATATGAAAATATATATAACTAGTGCAATTGTTAATATTATTATATGTCTTCTTGCAGAATGAACATTTTTTTATAATTTTTTTTTTAAATATTTATTTACTTAATAATAATAATACATAATAGTAATAATAGTTAAAATAATGATCAAAAACAAAATATACATGTCATAAACTTGATTTTATCTCTAATTTGTCCATTGATGACGTTTTACAATAATTGTACAATAATTTCCAAATGATTAAGTAGTAACACTGTATTTGCATTCCTTTCTGGTCCGATTAATCATTATAAATATCTTAGTAAAAATACTGTATGCAACAATAAACCATTGCTAACAAAGAACGATTTTTAATAGAGTAGTATTATTATTAATATTGGTCATGGTTTTAGTTGTCCTTGTTGCCAAGACCACCCAAAAATTCAAAAACTACTAAAGGACTTAGGGGTGAACTGTCAGTTTTGATAAATGTTTAATTAAATTAAAGTGTCAGAAATTTTGCACATTTTTTGGTACTATATATGCCAATACTACTTACCAATGTAGTATTTAAAAAAAATGAAGTAGATAACTATTTTTTTTTTGTAATTTCAAAGATTGTTTTAAATAATATGAATCTTGTGAAACATCGTGTGAATAAAACAGATCATTTATACTAACCCAAATATAACATCTTTATAAAACTAATAACTTCTTTCTTATATTCAAAATCTATACTGATACAAACGTACTTGCATTGTGTATTCTATATATCTAGTAGAATACAATTATTCCTTGTATTATTTATATTATTGCCCTACATATTATAATAGGTAGCTATATATTATATTAATCATAGGTAAATATTTAATTCACTTAACAATATTACTATGTACATACTATATCTAAATATTATACAAAGTGTTAATTAGTCTGTGCCTACTTAACTGTGAGTTATATTAGATATAACATACGTGTTGTACCTATGTTTAAAAAAATAATGTGTAGGAAATGTCATATTACAAAAAAATAATCTAATAAATAACAAATAATTATTTGTAATTTAAAATGTTTAAATTAAGAGCAGTTCACCGAAAGATAAATTGTTAATTATACTTGTTGTTAAACTGTAAAAATCCTTGGGTCAAATTCATTATTTTTTTCATTTTGTGTACCTATATTTATCTATTTACTTTTGCCCCCTCTTAAAATAGGAATACATTGTTTTTGTTCATCATGATCAAATCTAATGAAAATGCATATCTTGTCCTCGTAAAATGGTTTCACCTGATGAGGTATTATTATACTCTTTGTCAACAACCATTAATATTAATTAGTAATTGCTCGTAGTTTACCGGATGTATGATTGGTATCTTTTTCAGTGCATATATTATATAGGTAATTTGTCTTTTATTTATTGCTTTATGAGTTATTAATATTGCTGACAAAAATCATATGGATTTATTCTTTATTTTTTCTTGTACAAAATATTATATATAAGTATTATAATAAACATTAATTAAGTAGGATTACCATTTTAATTGGATGACATATTAGTTGAACTTTTTATATTTTTGACATATAATTCAACAAAATAACGTATTATAATGATTTTTAGATTGCATAAGTATATTATTCTAGACATAATAATAAATCAGTATTTAATGTTATTTCTATATCATATTTTACCTGTTATTGTAAATCCGGCATATTGGAAGTTTGTGTGTTATTATTAATGCTCTTTTCCGCAATTTGTCAATTATAATAAACGACCCATAGTTTGGTGACGTTACAAAAAACAACAATGTAACAATAAACGTAATCTACAACATTTATAATAAATCCAAATTATTAATAAAGTGTTATGTAAAAGTATATAGGTACACTATTACTGTGAATATAATTTAGAACAGAGAGATTATATAAGTAATTATCATAAATTAATATTTTATTTATTTTATTTGCTACACCCCAAACGACATATACAGAATAGTTTCACAGGCTATGGATATAATAAATACAGAAAAAATGGTACATAAGTATTATCTAAAATTTACTAAAATTATTGTATAGTATTTGTGTGATTTTTAGTACAGAAAATAGATCTTTACTATTTTACAAAGGTAAAAAGTATAAAAAAAATCAAATTTTATTAAATTTTCAATTATATTAAAACATGCGAATTTTGCAATTATTAATTGTCTTTACAGCCTTTAAACTCGAATTATTTTATTTCAAGATTTAAAGTTTTAAAAATGTCTGTATTATTATTATCTTACCTTCATTACTCTAGTAAATTCATTTGCGTTTTTCCCATTTCCTTTATCGCTTAGAATTTTTTTTTCTTGTAGTTGTAGATGTATAAAAGCTTTTGAGCTTTACGATTTTAAATCATGGATGAATTAGGTAATAAACAATAAAATTTAAATAAAATATAAATTTTTAACAGAAAAAAAAAAAGCAATTGTAATTATTTTGGGATCCTTGTGCCATTGCAGTGTAGATACTGGATAGATATCTATAGAGATTTTCGGACACGACACACTCGCGATACCTCAGCTAAACTGCATATTGCTTAGAGTATTTGTTGACCTCTTGGTGCGTTTTGTTTTGCTGTAAACAAAATTCAAGGATGTAAAGAAGCACCTCCCTCCGGTTTTTGGTCTTAGCTGTATCACAAAGTCCTGTAGACATGGTGACTGTATATGGTCACTGCAACACGTGCATACTATAATAATATGTGTAAAATTGTTATATTTATTTTGAGTTCTATTCAAATACATTTAATAATATAACAAAATTAACGTTTAGAATAATGTATCTGTCTTAATAAAATGTTTTAATATTTGCTGTATGACGCTGTGACCAATTGATATTATTTGACTGCATAGATTTTGTGTAGGTATTTTTGTTGTAGTATTCGAAAAATTTGAATACTCACCCCGTTTAAAATAAGTATTTATTTGAAAAATTTGAAATCGTCTATATTATATAATACCTGTACCACACATCCACGCATAACATTGTTAAATTTATGACCATCCATTAGTTATATTGTCTTTCATTTACTGGCTGGTTATCTACCAAAGTCACGTGGCGTTTTTTATTGATGTTCATTCTGTAAGTTAGAAACTTATATACAATTTTTAGCATTAAGAGGACATTATACGCGCATCTATTGTCTTAGTCCAACTTTTGGGTAACATGCAAAAACAATACTTACGTAGAATAAGTAAAACTAGCTTAATTTTGATTTTAGAATAAAAGTACCTTTTCTGAAATGTATAGAGAAAAATATTTTGGAAGGAATTCCATAAGGTTTTCGTATCATTTAAAATATACAGTTCGATATAAAAGATACAAAAACCTTTTTTATTTTTGTTTTTTAAAACTTTTTTAATAGTTCATAATTCAAAAAACACCTATGACATTCCTTTCAAAATATTGTTCTCTATACATTTCATAATAGGTATTTTTACTCTAAAATTAATATTATGCTAGTTTTATTTATTCTGCGTAAACATTCTTTTTGCGTGTTACTTGGTAGTTGGACTGAGACAGTAGATGCGGGTATAACGTCCTCTTAAACATAGTTATTATAATTATAATAACAATATTTTTGTTTGTAGAATTGATGAACTTTTAATATTTATTGCAATATTAATTTATAATAATAAGTTAAAATCGTGGGTTACTATTTACTGCAGATAAGGAAAGTAATCTTAGCTGTTAGTTCATAGAATGTATTTAAATTTAAATATTAATATAATATATCAAATATAGATTGTTACGACTACAATAATTCTAAAATCTATTTTTACACAATATATGTTTATTAGGTGATCTATTTAAGTGGGTGCACTCATTATTTCGAAAAGTATTAACTTTTTCCGGAATTTGTTTTCTAGAACATTTAAGAAACAAGCTGCTCTACAATTTTATATTTTTTTATTTTTTGTCACCTTTTTTTTGGGGGGGGGGGGTAAAACCACTACTTACTTTTAATTTCCAAATGGCAACCTATATTAAAAATTGCATAAATAGATGGGATATTAGTTAAAATAAATTTTAATGTTGAAATTTTTAAGTTTACGTAGTGGTTTTACCCCCAAAAATAAAGGTGACAAAAAATAACAAAAATATAAAATTGTAGAGCAGCTTGTTTCTTAAATGTTCTAGAAAACAAATTCCGGAAAAAGTTAATACTTTCCGAGATAATGAATGTATCCACAAATGGATCACCTGGTATATTTGTAATAGGTACAAAAATAACTTCAAGTATGCACACCTTAAACAGTTTAAGCTAATAACTTCCTCGTTCTGCTAATAATCTAAAATAGTTGATGATTATTGACGTTTACACTTTTTAACTCGTTAATTTATTTTTTTTCAAAGAACTTAATTAACTTACATACTATTTGTAACCATACCTAACAATACCAAATATTAATTATTTAATCTAATCTGTCTGAATTATTATAAAATTAACAAATTAAGTAATAAAAATTAATTTTATATTGTGCAATAAATACAATTATGAAGCATTCAGTTTAGCAATTATATACAAGTAATAGCTGTGTTATTACGCACTATTAAATATACAGTTTTACTTCCTTAAAAATATTAGGTATTGTATGTATACACTAATAAAAACCTTTGTTAGACACAAGTCAATAAAATTTGTCAATGAGACACTGAAGTATTAATTTAACATGCAACTTAAGTCTTTAGTGTGCTATTATTTCAAAACGGCCATGAATAAAATTAGTTCATAATATGCTAGATTATAAAAAATAGGTAGAAATATGTAATACTGGATTAAAATACTACCTTCATTGTTCTACAGTATTTATTTGTATTATTCTATTTACAGATGTTATTTTTAAATAAACAATGATGCCTTGACAAACTTTTATAACATAAACACACTTTTAAACAAGTATTTTTATACAGGATGGTGCAATATGGTTATTTAAATACCATTAAATATGAAATAGGCATTTATAGTGTACATTGTACACTCACCTACTGATTAAAATATCGTAATCATTTTTGTGAAATTTTAGTAGACATCTTTTTGGTTTATTTTCATATACATACAGTTCTCAAACTTTATTAGTTCTCACATCCCTAAAAGTAAAAAAAAAAAAATTGTACCTCATGAATAAATTAATTAAAAATTAGTTTTATTTAAGCATTCAATTTCAATTTAAAAAATTTAAATTTTTACAAAGAAATAAAAAAATGGCTATTAGTATTTAATCTTAATGCAAACAATGTGCTTGTTTTTAGTTTAACAAGATGACTGCCGTGAGTACTTTATTTGGTACTCACACGGTCATTCACTCACCCTAGTCATTCATATTTTAGATTCTGAGCGGAGTGAGAAATGTTTTGGATTTACAATGTTTTAAATCGGAAAGTAGTAATCAATAGATTACTACTTTCCTACTTTCCTACTTACTTAGGTTATACTATGTGTTGTTTTTTACTATTTTTTTTTTTTTGTGTCTGAACAACTTTTCTACCAGAATATTTGCTCCGAAGTAAAGATTATAGCACCTTTTCTGAAAGGTAATTTTCACTTGTTGTTGCATTGGAGAGATCAATTTTTATTTTCCAATAGGTTTTCGAAATAATTGAGAAAACCCCGAAAGAAAATTATAGGTAAAACGGCAAATATTTACGATGTGTCGCGAAGCTACAGTTTTCATTGTTCGCATTATGTTCACACGATATTTTCTACTAAAAATATTGGTCCAAGTCAAAAATGACAAAAAATTGATTTTGTTCCTTTAAATATTTCACAAATATTTCACAAGTAAATCGTTTTTCGATATGCAAAGTATTTGTGGTAATAATTGGGAAAAACCAAAAAAAAAGGATTATACTATTTTTTTTTAAATTACGGCATAACGATTTCATTATTTTGAATTTGTGCGGATTATGATTAGTGCCATAAATGTTGCTCCAATAAAAAAATATGCAAAGATCTTTTTGTTAAATTTTTAATCTCAATCGTGACTAAGTTTTTTGATATTTTCATTGTAATCCAGATTAAATTATTAGTAGAAACTTGACATTTTGACGAAAAATTTATATTTACGGACTTTCAAAACATATGAATTATTTTTGAACTATTTATAGATATTTGAGTTTTGCGAGTTTTTAGGTAATTTTTATTTGGTTTATTTTGGGATATTTTATTAGCTTAAAGATTCGATTCATTAAAAGTCGTACTTAGTGGTCAAAAAGAAAACTATCCTAGGATAATGGGGTCGGGTGCGCAGCTACTGTTATAAGTAATTTAATATTTATCTGTAAGCGCAACCATTGCTAACGAAAAAACGATTTTAAGCCGAGTTTGATTGATATTGTTGCTTTGTCAGCAATGTATAATATATCATATTATGGAAAATAATTACATATGTTTTCGTTAATAATATTTGTTTAATATCGTACCTGTTGTCTCGTTTTCCTCATTTAGTGAGAAAACTTCTGGGAAAATCAAAAATTGACCTCCCTAAAGTACAACCGCAGTCAAATTTCCTTTCAGAAAAGTTTTACATTTGCCAATCGAATCAAGGTTTCTGGTAGAAAAGTTATTCACAGTTAAAAAAAAGAAAAAAATATATATAACATAAACATTAGTATTGTAAAACCAAAATATTCTTCGCTCAGCTCAGAATCTAAAATTTAGTTAAATGTAGTAATTTTTTTTTTTAATAGTTTTAAAATAAAATTTTGACAAAAATCGTAAATATTATGATTTTTCAAAACATGTAAAACCAAACTTTGCTCTGAATTGTTTTTCGTTATCAATGGTTTATCGTTGGTTATAGGTATAAATTAAATAACTTTATGTATCCCACCTTCCCCACTACCCTTCTACAATACTGGCCGCATCCGTTCCCAGTATCAGCAATATTTTTTTTTTATGAACAATTTTTCTACCAGAAATTTTTCTTCGATTTTCAAGTGTTTTCTTTCCGAAAGAAAATTTTAACGGGGTGGTATTTTAGGAAGGTTATTTTTTAATTTCTCCAGCTTTGTTTATAATAAATGGTAAAATACATGCTTAATTTTATTGGCGACTTCAGGGTATTCGTCTTCAATATTATTCCAAAATCTTTAAATTGACATTAAAGAAAATGTTATTTATAACATAAAATCAGATGAAATGTCGATTAATAATAATTATTTCTTCTCTGTTGTTGTTAAATTTGATTATAGTTTTTCAGTAAATGGATCTTTGTTGTGATACCATTTTCAATATTAGGTTATTTTTTATTATTCTAAAATGTTGTAATATTTTAATAACTACGTATATAGGTACCTAATATAATGTACCTAGTACCTACTGATTAACTATTGTTAAAACAATTTCGGACTTTAATCTGTTATAAAGTTAAATAAAAAGGTTATCTGTGTTTATAATGGAGTTCAAATCTCTTACATTTTTTTTTATTTGCATACCTAAGTACTTAATAAGCCATAAATAATAATATAATATACCTAATATACATAATGTTGTTATTAAATATTTAATACTACCTACAACATAATTATCTTGTAATTATTTAAAAACTATTTAGTACATACTGTTATAATGATTAGCAATTTCAGTTTACATATTGCAAAAAATTAACAGTTAACTCGTAAATTATAATAAAATCTTATCAGTTTAATCTAATCAGTACCTATATATTTTAATATACAATGCAGACATGTAGCACGATTATAATGAGAATTTCCTGTTGGAGGAGGTTATCAAATTAGAGGTTTATCGATCTTAAAAAACATTGTATTCCACAATTTTTTTAAGGAAAGTTCAAAAACTCAAGGGGGGTTATGACCCGATTACCCTCTCAGAAAAAAATTACATAACCATATTATGTATATATTAACAGTTTATTTTATTTTATTTTGACTAAGAGCGGCTTATTTTGAATAAATTTAGTATCAAACAAAAAAAGCATTAATACAGCATACAATATTTTAAAGTCATAATGTGTGATAAATGTGTCTCATATAAAATTATTATCTAGGCACATGATTCTGTACTTATATTAACAATTAACTTTTAGTCGGGTAAAAATTAAATCTCCTTGAGGCGCCTCAAATTATTTTATTTTCGTATTCCTAGAAATACTAGATTTCAGAGTTCTTTCTATCCCCCTAATAACAAATCTAACTTCTCCAGAAATGATTCACTTTCAAAAATGATACGTTATAAAAACTTAATATAATACCTTTAGTGCATAGGCAAATATTTTTTTTTACAATGTTACACCACATTTATTCGTTTTTAATACTCTAGTTTATTAAGTTTAGGTTTTAAGTTACTATTATCATATTGTTACCATTGTATTTTCTTCCATTATGTAATATTTTAAAAAACCGATAGCTGTTAATTCTAATAATTAAATAAAAAAGGACGGACATACTTCGCATGTGGGTGCAGCCACTTTGTAGGTGGGAAGTTGGAAAGGTAGGATACAGACCGAAATTTAATGTATATCTTTAAGCAACGATAAGCCATTGCTTACGAAAAAACGATTCTGAGTGGAGTACAGTTGATATTGATGCTTTGTCAACAATATAAATGTCATATTATAGTAAAATAATTAAATAGGCTCTATATATTTTCTTTAATAATATTTGTTTAATGTACTGATTTTCAGTTTTCCTACGTTTATCCCGGTTTTTCACATTTTCTTGGAAAACTTATGAGGAATTCAAAAAATGACCTCTCTTGAGTGCACAGAAAAAAAGAAGGCCCTAATATTTATAAACTAATACTTAAATGTCTTATATTTTCGTGGTTTTTTTCGGTTTTTCAAATTTGATGAGTAAACTTTTGAGAAAATCGAAAAATGATTTCTTTAAAGTATCTCCCTAGTGAAATTTCTTTTTAGAAACATTGCAATCATTAAGAGTTGGAGCAAAATTGCTGGTTGAAAAGTTGTGCATAGGAAAAAAAGATAATATATAGTAATATTTAGTATATTTATATAGTAATATTTTAGTAATATATTTCATATATTTTTCTGTTTTTTTTTCGATTTTTCAAATTTCATGAGAAAATCCAAAAATGACCTCCTTAAAGTACCTTCCCACAACGATTACCTTTCAGAAAAAGTACTAAACTTAGAAATCCGAGCAAGTCTTCTGGTAGAAAAGTTGTTTACAAATAAAAAAAAAACATCTTTATAAAATCATAAACTCCTTCGCTCCATTCAGAATCTAAAAAGGGACAATTGTTAAATCTGTTTTTTAAAAAATGTTAGAAAAGTAAATCTGACTTCATGGCAATTAAATTCAATTTTATTAATGTATATGTTTTTAATTATTAATCTTCAATTTATTTAATATTTCCTTACCTATTGACTACACCATTTGTATTATTTATTGGAATACTGAGTATTTTTTATTCACAATACAGATATTATATTGTAATATTCATTATATAATTATAATATAAATTCATTATATAAATTCAATTTATAAGCACTTTAAATTTCTATTTTTGGCAATAATAATGTAAATTAGATTAATTTTATTTATTGTATTTAATAAAAGGTACTTGCCGATGAAATTGTGAACTTAACCACGCAGAGCAGGTTAAAGTCTTATGGAATATAGTGTACCAAAAATAAACATCTTTGTAAAACCATTAGCTTCATAGCTCCACTCAGAATCTAAAATCTAAATTTCTATATACAATTTTGAAAATTTATACCCAATAATTATATAAATAAATAAAATAATTAATTAATTAATTAATGCGTCGCCTGGAGTATTATGAAATATGTATTGTACGATCGGTTTCGAATTAACAATTCATCATCAGGTAAAATCACAAGGTCAAAAAGTAAAACGCCACTGAATATAAAAAAATAAATGAAGGAATACATAGCAAAAAAATTGTACAAATTGGTCGTTTTACATATAAATAATTTATTTTAATAGGATAGATTATTTAAAATGAGTTATTATTAGACATAGATATGTTAAGAAATATTAATTGTTTGTTTGTTATTTATTATCTAAAATGTATTAATATAAGATATTATTCTTAAAATCGGTTTGAACATTTAAAACATTCAAATTTTTTTTCTTTATTTCATCGTGTATTTATGTGTAATTCTTCTAAAACTGAATTAATGTAAATGTTATTTTGGGTATTTTATATTTCTAAGTCTGTATTAATAAACTTGAGAAATTGTATTAAATTAATGTCCCAGTCGTAACAATAAAACCTAATACCTATTCTAGTGTAAATTAAGGTAGGATTAATATGTTGTTTTTGTTTATTATTTTTTAAATAACTGCTTTTGAGTTTTGGTCACGGACGTAGATGTTTTGGCCCAAAAGTTAGTTACACTGGATTAATAGAAAAATTATTTTCAAGATTTGTACATTCCAGGTTTTTACTTTCCAGACAGGGCCGACGAAAGCTATGGGCGATGTGGGCGACTGCTCAGGGTGCCAGTGCGTAAGGGGCGACAAACTGGATATTATTTCAATTTAATTTATCTTTTGATACACATAAACGAATAAAATCATCAATAATTTACATAATTTAAAATATTATGTATTATCCAATATAGCTTTAGCTGAAGAAACATGCTGGTTTAAATTTAAAAATAATAAAGGTGGTTATTATACCACCTCCTTTGTGCGTGTAAAAGTCGCGAGTGGTTCACCGATTATTTTTTGATAATATTTACGTATTTACTATTACGATTTACCTATTTATAAATAAATTCATTACTGAGCGGCGTATGATAACACACCACTTACAAGTTCATTCTAAATGAACTTATATATCTAATGGCTTCCAAAGTTTTAAAAATTATTCAGCAAAAAATACAGAACGCAAAATGTTTTTCTGTGTTATTAGATTGTACTCCTGATGAAAAAATGCCCTTTACAATCAGATTTGTGGATGAAGATAATGAAAATGTACAAGTAACTTAGCATTTTATTGATTTTAGAAAAGTTAATGAATCTACTGAAGAAAATCTTACTGATTTATTGCCGAAAACGCTAAAAGAAAACAAACTTGATATAATGAACTATCGTGATTAAGGGTTACGACAATCACGCAAATATGAAAGGTAGTAAAAATAGAGTTCAAGCCAGAATTTTAGCTTTAAACCTTAAAGCAGCATTTATGCCCTGTGGTTATCATTTTCTTAATCTTGTTACATCTGATGCTTCACAATCCAAATAATCTATCGTTCTTTTTGAAATTTTACAACGGATAATTATTTTGTTTTTGCCTTCTGTTTACCGTTGGCAAGTAGGTACTAAAATCGCATTTACCAAACTTGACGGTTAAGCCATTGTGTACAACCCGTTGGGAAGTTCGCATAGACAGCAAGTCGATATCAAACCAAAGAAGTGTACGATACATTAATTGAAGTTGCGGAATCATCAAGGTGGCAGATGTTGGTATAAGAAATGAAGCGAATAGTTTAGCAAATCAATTACTCGACTTTAAAATATTGATTTAATTAAATGTTTTGTACCTACGATTTATTATTTCAAGTTAATATCGTAAGTAAATATACGCAAGGGTTTACATTGGATATAGAAATGGTTTCTACACTATTGAGAAACAAGATATGCAGTTATATCTAATTTTTCAAAAGAAATAGCAGTCTAGATATAAAACCAATTATAATAGAACCACGAGTACGATGTAGAAAAACTTTTTTTGATAAAATAAAAATCAAGATTTTTTATTGGCGCTGAAGAACGTTTTAAAAGATAATTTGTTTACACTCTTTTAGATACAATCAGTTCTATAAAAGAAATATTTAATAATTTTGAAAATCATTAGCAATTGGAGAGGTTTCTATATAATCTGGAACAATAACCCTTTTCTGAACATCTTTTGGCATTCCTCGATGACAGATAATAAACTCAATTGAAAATGATTTAGCCAAAAAAGTAAATTATATAGAAGCAATCAAACAATTTCTGAATTAAAAGATAGAAAAGTGAAGTTCTAATATTATTAATATTAATTATAGTAGTTATAAGTATTAAATTAAATATTATTTTTATTTTTATTAAACAGCTATTTTATAAGTAAATTATTTTAAATTAATTATTTTATGATCATGTATTTAAGTTATAATACAAAATACATAATATTTTTATTTAATCTTACTAAAAAACTAAATTTTACTTTTCTTTTTTTTTTTTGGAAGGGGGGGTGAAGGATGCCAATACTCTTAGCGCCAGCCTTGTTTCAAGATTTGTACATTCCAAATTTGGACACGCTCCTCAATTTTACTCTAGTCATCCTAAATCACTACTCACCCTACTACAACATTGTCTCACTACTAAGTCTAAGTTTAAATTTGTTTAAATTATTTATTGAAAATATTATCACAAGTAGTATTAAATAATCTCAAATGTTTTTAAATTAATAAAACCAAACAAAACAGAATAAAAATAAACAGAAACCCCGATATTGTGTTTATATACCCATTTTCTGATGTTTTATTGCAATTATTAAGTAGTCAATGAAAATCAAAAAATGACAAAATAACTTATAGAAAAAAAAAAAGACTATTTATTTTAGATGGCATGAATTTTGAATTTATAAAAAGTATAAAGCTTAACTTTAATGTATAAATTTATTTTCTATACTAATTAAACCAGTAACATGAAATCATATTTTTTATTATCATGTGCCTTAATATTTTATTAACTAACATCAAATATAATAAATATATTTAATATATAAAATGGCATAGTAAGGTAGGATTTCTGTAATCATTTTAGAAACTATTTTTTGAACCACACAGTACCCTAGTTAAAGACACTAAAATATTCTTAACTAATTTAATTACGTTTTTCATATTAATAATGTTATATTATTATTACTATATTATTTATAAAATTATAAGCTAATTGAAAAGAGTCTGTTTGTGGATCTGACAACAAGACCCTACTCAAAAGTATGTCCTAAGTATAATTAATAGAAAATAAACTTTATAAATTATAACATCTACGGCATCCATTCAGCTTCAGCATCAGGTACGCCTCTCGTTTCCGATCCAAGTGATGTTTTTTTCAACAACTTTTTGCCACCTTCGATTACATATTCAACTCCATCCCCAATTTTTGATCCTATTTTGCGCACTGTGTGTCCAATGTTTTTTGAGCTGAACGTTTTTTGGTTGATTTCCACATACATAGTTTCATTTAGTTTTGAACAGTTGTTCTGATCAATAATAGTTAAGTCAAACGGGTTAATGTTGCTCGATGCTATACGGTTACGCACCTATAACAAAACAAATAATTTACGGCATTAATATAGTTTTATTGATTTGTATATTTACGTTGTATTCTGTAAAATTCTTTATTTAAATGAGAGGTTTATAATATTCCTATAACATTTAAACAAATATATTTTAGACATATAATTAAACATGTCTTAACAATATTATTTGTTATTATAGTTAGACAAAAATAAATAATTAGCATCACTAATTACCATGATTTAAGATATACTCCTGTAATTGTGAAATCATTAATTTTACTTATCAATCAAAACTTTTTTTAATGTAAATTTGTCATGGATTGAAGGACATTAAATAATTATTTTTATTTTTATCACTTATCTAGTTGTGACTATAACAGCACAAACAATTACTATATATAGATTTAATTTAGAAATTGTCATACATTAATAATTTTAAATCAATTATATATTTAACTAACCTTATCCAAATATGGTTTATCCAAGGTTCTAGATCTAGATAAAATTGTAACTGAATGTCTATTACCAAAAGGTATTTTTTGACAAGAGTATATTGCACCGTATTGTTTATAGTCTGTAGAAAATACAACAAATGATGATTTACCTGCTATACCTATAAATGAAACATTGTTTATTAGTTAAAATGTTAAAAAGTATGGCTAAAAAACAAATATCAATAAATAAGTATTTATTAATATTTTTTATTATGTTTATTGGATGAAAGCAGCAATATAAAATATTTATAAATAAAAAGTTTAATATTTTATGTGAGTGCATCTAAATACTAAATATAAAGCTTCCCAAATGTAAATCCTGAACCAAAAACAAATATATACTAATTTTATTATTTGATCAATGGATAAAATCTGAATATTTTTAAATATAATTAAGTATATACAGTGCATAGATAAACAATTACTAAATTTAATTTGTAGTTCATTTGGCGATTTTTTTAATTTTGTATTTATATAATATGAAATTATATAATTAGTAGTTATATTACACTTATTTACCAAATTACTTACTTAATGGAAAATCAGCTATCATTTTAGAAGGCATGGTATTATCAGCTTTTAAACTGCCAACATAGTGGTAATTATTTGATTTTGCAACTCCAATTATTGAGTTTTCACTTATTTGTTCTATTTTATATGTATAAGGCTCCTCTGTTTTTTCAAAATTATATTCAAGACATCGACTTGATGTTGATGTTTTTTGTATAGCATACCATTTTCCTAAAAACTGAAAAATATAGTTCAATTAAGTAATTAAACAATTTTTACAATTTATAAAAATATATTAATTTATTTTATATATTATGTATTAATAAGTATATCCTTATACAGAATGATCAATCTATCGTAAGACGCTCATTATTTCGAAAGGTATTACCTTTGTTTTATAAAATATTTAAGAAACGAGCAGCTTTACAATTATACATTTATATTATTTCTTGTCACTCTTATTTTAGGTGGTAAAACGACTACCTACTTTTGATTTTCAAACGGCACAACCTATATTAAAAATTATATAAATCGATGTAATTTGTAAATAACATATAGATATTCAAATATACAATTTATTGAATTAAAAAAAAGTATTTGTTAAAGTATTTTGAATATTTTTAAAAATATCAGTGTGTATGTTTAAATACTTTTAAAAGAAAGTTTCAAATACGATTTTGAATACAAATGGCACTAAGGTTTTAGATCAGCAATTTCCACTACACAGCCCTTAACAAATTTTGTGAGGCTACACTAAAACTAAATTGTACATTCTAAAATTCAATACTATTGTAAATAAAATAAAATATGTATTCTTTGATTTAGGTATAATGTTATGTTACTTGCTTTTATTAATCTAATCTTATTATTTTTGTTTATTTTATCGTTTCTACTTTTATTGAATCGTCGGTTTGACAGATATGTAGGTACAATAAGCATTTAAAAATTATTATTTAACCCACGTTGATTATTTATTTACATCACGCAGCATAGTGTTGCCGCATAGTCTTGTCGCATCCATTGTTTCGTCTATATTGTTAATTTGTAATTTATTACATTTTTTTAAAAAATATATTTCTGTTTTTAATTAAGGTTTTAATTTCTAATAGTCTATAATGGAACAATTTAAAATAGAAGAACACAAAATATTTTAAGATAGTTGGAAAATGGAATTTTTTTGTATTTCTGATAATAAACCTGATGCTTTGTGTTTAATTTGTTGTAAAATTATAAATATTTCAAAAAGTTATAATATTAATGATCACTATACAGCTCAACATACTGAATTTTCGAAAACTTACCCTCTCCTATCTAGTAAGTTCATATTAATTAGATAATTATTAATGAATTATTAATTTTTTTACTAGTCAAAAAAGGTATGCAGATAGCAAATAATTTTAAATATCATTGACTTGGCACTGCAGGGACTGCCATTTTAAATACATTTTAAAATTATTCTTAACAAGACTGGGTTTTACACCCAAAAATAACATAAATCAAAAATTATAGAGCTGCTTGTTTCTTAAATGTTCTATAAAATGAATAACGAAAAAATTAATACTTTCCAAGATAATGAGTGTCTTACAATAGATTGATCACCCTGTATAATACATATATCAGTAGATCGGTTAAGTAATAACTTATTTCTACATAGATTTTTTACGGCACTGCAGTAGGTTATTTTTTTTTATTAAAACTACTAAAATATAGTATGATTCATAGCTAAAGCCAAATAATATGATATCAATTATACAGATTTACCCCACTGGCCACTTCCCTCAAAGTGGATTATACTTATATTGGTATTATCTGTTAAAATCATTAAAACCATTGCATGCATCAAACTATTTAGAGTTACCTTTAAATTTAGAAGTTTACATGCATTTATATACAAGAAAAAACAAATTTTAAAGGTGAACCACCAGTTTGAAATGTCAGGAAAAGTAGGTACTTCAATGAACATGTTCTTAAATATACAAAGGAATGTCAACATTTTAATTCAACAGCATTTATTTTGAATATAATTTTTAGAACTCAAGCTCTAATGATTTATGTTCAATAGTAATACTTGATAAAACCGTGTTGTTAAAAAAAAGACATTTTAATATATAGGTGTATTTTATTTTTTTAGCTCAATGTAAGGTTGTAAAAACATTTTACAAATCAAAGTCCAGACAAATGGTATTATAATTTTTACAACTATGTTACATATACAACAAATTTCAAACTAAAAGTTATTTGATTGTTAAAATTGAAAATAAATATTATTATGTAGTTACATATTACTTTATGAATTTGTCAGTGTCTGTGATGTCCCTATACACTCTCATACAGTTGCAAATTTTTGAATATGGTTTTCACCTAATGATTAGGAAGGCCCTAAAGAAGGTATCCATTGATTTTTCGTCCAATTGGTGAAAATTGGAACCTACACTACTTCTATATTCTGAGTTATATCAGTATATTATTTATTGTAAAATAGTTAATAATAAAATAACATCACATATTATTATTATTATTAGTTATAGTTAAGAATATAGAGTATCCCACAAAGATCTCCGTGGGACACTCTGTATAAACATATTGTTTATTTGTAAAATAAAAGGAGCAAAGTCAAAAAGATAATCATTCAGTTCTTTGAACTAAACACACAAACAGACATTGTTTATACTGATTTTTCCAAGGCTTTCGATCGAGTTAATCATCAAATGCTAGTGAAGAAATTATAATGCTTCAGTTTTTCTGAATCTTTACTTCTTTGGTTTCAATAATTTCTCTCTAACCATATACAAATTGTTAAACATCTTAATTTTCAATCTGCTCAGTTCCACGTCCCTTCTAGTGTTCCCCAAGAAGACCACCTGTCCACTTTACTCTTTAATATATTTATCAACTATCTTCCTAATGGGTTTTCCCAAACTTTCCTAAGTTTATGCATTTTTACCATATAAAAAAAACCAATCAACTATCAAAATTATATATCTGGTTCTAAAATAGAACTAATCTCTGATTTTAAAGACCTGGGAACAATCTTTGATAACAAATTTTTCTCTTCACTCAGAAATGATAAAAAATAAAGGTCTGAGAAATGTAGGTTTCATTAAGCATATTTGTGGTTTTTTTCTGATCCTGTTCCACTAAAACTACTTTATTTCCTTTAAGTTCGTTTTAACCTAGAATACTGTCCATTAGTCTGCTTAAATAATACATTTAAGCAAAACATAGTGCTAGAATCAGCTCAAAATAATTTGTTATGCTTTATTTCTTTTAAATTGTATATTTTTAGGTATCACAACTCACAACTCCTGCTATAAAATTGTTTACATAAATTGTTGACTGGCGTTATTGACTGTCTAAAGTTGTTGTCTTTAATTAATTTTAGAATAAATATACTTAATACCAGAAACCCTTTGCCATTTTACCCCTTTTTCTTAAATTAAAATTAAAAAAAATAAAATATTCTATAACAATTTCAAATCTCTACAACTATTTTTCACTGAATTACAATAAAAACCATAATAAAATTTAACAGAAACTGTTATCATGTAAATATTCACGTTTTCCTTGTATTTGTCCAATTATTTTTAAAACTATATAAAAAGTAAAAAAAAAATAAATAAATTTCCAATGTATCAGTTAGACAAGATTTTTACCAGAAATCACCTCTTATATTGATAGTTGGAAATTGAAGCAAGATTCCTGGTATTTAAGTTGTTCATAAAGAGAAAAAAACACATAATAAAACTAATACAAAGTTTTCAGATTTCTATGGCTTTTTAAATGATTTCTTGTTTGTCTTTCAATTAAAACATACACGCCACACAGGTGAACTTTTAAATTCTAAATATTTAAAATTATGATTATTTATAACTTACCATTTCCATTGAAAAATCAGTCATTGGTTCAAGACTTGGGCATTGACCAAAATGATATGAATGACTGTTAACAAAATATTTTGGTGAACAGCTGCTCACCAGCAGCACAAGCACAATATTAAACAATTCCATTGTTTTTTTCTAAAAAATTAAAATTTATAAATTAACAAATATTTTATATGTAATTATTTATTCAAATTATTCAATTTCAAAGTACATTATAATACCATATACAATTATTTATGAAAACAGTACCTATTTAGTTTTTATTTATTTATTAAAAAAAGATCAAATATGTACAATTATATAGAATATACAACAATATAAATTTCAAATGGTCAAAATTAAATTATTTATAGATTACAGAAACTAAATAATAATTTAGAATTAGTAGTCTCCAAATTCTCAGAAATTGATTTTTTTTTCATTAATTTTTTAATTTGTTTGTGTAATTTTCTTACTTATACCAACAGAACACTAAAAAATATTTAAAAATACAAATATTATTATTTAACTAAAAATTTAAACTTAACCTTCATAATTGTGTGAGACCAGACTGAACAAAGTATAATACATAGGTAGACAAAAAAATAGTAAAAAAAAGGTAAATATAAATTGTTTTTATAAGTTATTATTGAATTTTATAATTTTTTATTTTATATTTATATAAATTAAAATAGTAAACAATTTATTCTTTAGTATTTTTCAATTAAATAATTATTTAATATCTACATATCTACATATTAAAACATTCTAAAGTAGAAATCTTTAAATTAATTAACAGGTGAATTTAAAATATCCGTGATATATTGTAATACACATACAAAAATGCAAATAAAATCAATATTATTATGTAAACTATAACTATAGTACCTACCATGTTATATTAAATAATCCTATGCACTAATTAACTATGATTTTCTAATAAATAATACTAATGTTTTATAAACATAATTAAATATAATATTTAACTAAATATATTAGCAATGAAGAAGTAGATATAAAAAAAAACCAAGATAAATATTTAATATTTATGAAAAAAATAAAAACAAATAAATCTTTGTTTCTTACAGTGATAATTATTATATTTACCTATTTATAAATTACTATTATTTTTAATACTCACAAAAAACAGTTTTGGTAAGCTGAAAATTAGTGTTCGTCGTTGTCATATATTTAATATTGTGTTTCACCAAAACATTCCATAAGGGAAGTAATAATACACTGCTGGCTATGTTGAATCATCAGTGTTTTATTGTAGTACTTTTCTCCCACTCTGCTAGAGATCTGATGTTTAGATAATATAGGTATTATAGTGACCTGCACATCTGAGTCACACGGCACATAATTGTTTCTAGTAATAGGAATTAAAAACAACATTATTTATGACAGCACGTTTTTTAAATACTTGTAATTGACTCATAACTATTAAAATACCCGTATAAGAATTTAACTATATGAAAAAAGATAAAAAATCAATATAAAAACAAATCAATTCTATTCAAAAAAATATGTCATGAGAATACAATATGCTCATCCTATTAATTCCTACATGAAAAATATTAAGATATGTTAACACTATTCTGGGGTAACATAACAGCCACAATACAATTTTCTATCATTATTGATTATTATTTAAAAGAAAAATATTTCCTCCCACCTCTCAACATTACTTCCAGATATCACTCCTACATAGGACATTTCTCTTTTCCGCTGTATAGATAGAAATATGTACTTACAAAAATTGTACCTATTAAGTTATTATTAAAACTTGAAACATTTAATAAAATGAATTTGTTCAACAAAATCTTTGGTATAGATCTAGTTTACAACCTAAGCTCATTTTTCAAATTTTTTTTTTTCCAAAATATTTTATTTTTGATGCTTAATCCATTGGTATAATCAAAACTTATTTATCATATTTGCTTGTTTAGTTATTGTACATAAACCTTGAAACATAGCATTTTAGGAATTAATTCAAAATGTGGTCGTTTTTATTATTATTATGATTTGTAGTTAGATATTTTGATAACAAACTTTTTTTTCTTGAAGTCAGAATAAGTTTCTCTGGCTTAGATTTATAGTTACAAATGTTCAAACCCTAGTGACCCAGCCTGGTTTCTAAGTGCACTTAAAATACTTTTCAATTTTCCCTATTACGTACCAAACGTGATTTTGCACAACAAATCGAGGGTAAGTTTTGATAATATCATACATTCTGGAGAAAAAAAAAATTTGAAAATGTTTAATTCTCACTAAGAAACACGCGAAGATGAAAACCCGAACTTCATGAAGTTTAATCCCATAACTTCCAAACAAAGTTCGTAAGACTTTTTTTTTAGATTTTGAATGTACAGTCAAAAACAAACATTTTGAAAAAAAAAAAGAATTTAAAAAATGAGCTTTAGTCGTAAACTAGATTCGTTCCTCAATATGTAAAAAGCATAAAAATATTTCAAAGAAAATTATTCTACATACTTTTAATATGTTAATTTATGTAAAACTTTTACTTTTAAATGGATTAAATTATTTTTCAATCTACCTAGATACCTTTTCCATCAAATAATTCCTTGATTATGAATAAGGCCAACATTTTTATGCATTTTCATATTTTTATTGGCTGGTCAAAAAATGAATCTAGTTTATACTAAAATGTATTTCATGACCTAAAGAGTTATATATATACACAAAATTTTATTTTCCAAATTTTTGCATATTTTGGTGTTAAAGAATGATTTTTAAGTCATATTTCAGGATTTTTTGAATTTTTACAATTTTGTTAATTTTTAAGACATTTTTAACTCGCCTAATTGAGAACCACAAAATAATTGTTTAAAATTTAATAAATATCAGCATTCAGCTAGAATTAAAATTTCTATCATTGAAATTATTATTTTGTTTTCATTATTAAAAACATCAAACAATTTTATTCAGTTATCAGATGAAGGGAAATTCAAGTAAAAAAATATTGCACTTTTTTTTTTATAAAACATTAACAGTATATAAAATAAATAACCAGAATTAGTAATTTTATATAATTTAGTGATATTTATATAATGTAATGGTGATTTGTATGGCATAACTGCATATATATTTATTAGGTTTTATGGCATACCTATTTCTGTTGGACCTAATTATGAATGATTAACTTTTTGTTTTGGGAACATGCAAGTTTCACACCGTTGAGACATTTAAATGAGTGTAAAATTTGAATATTACATTTTCTAAATATACCTTTATTATTAGTAGTTACTAATAAACTTTTTTCATAATGATGGGAGTAAGAGAAAATATTAAATATCAAAATTTTTGTTTAGTACAGTATGTTTCATGCATTTTATACAATATTTTATATTATAAACTAATAATGTATATACCTAATTTGTATTTAAATGATTAAAAGAGTATAATATAATTGTTATTTACTTATTATTACCATAGTCATATAATTTTAAATTTTATCGAAAATTAGCAGATTCAAGTCATTACTGTAAATGATTCAATGCTACTCTCTTAAAACAGTCACTTATTAACAAAACATTCCCTGAAATTAAACTAAAAACAATTAAATTAAATTCAAATCATGTTATTTATCATTAGACTTTCAGATACAAGAATTTGTGCACCTAACTAACTAATTCAACTTTTTTTAACAAAACATCCATTACACAAATTAGTACCTACTCTATTAAATATTTATGTTCTATACAAATAAAAGTATTCATATAGTAAGATAAAGTATTTAAAAAATCACTAGTAGTAACTATTAATTATTATAGAGCTAATTAATAATTTATATTTTAAAGCTTTAGGTTCATTTGTTTTAATTCAAAATAAATATAAAAGACTATCCATTGTAGTTGTTTTTTACATTTTTAATACTTTTCATACAGAATATCACTCACGAGTCAAGAGTAAGCAATTGTTATAGGTGGGTTATATGGTTATCTAATTTATAATATAATGTAAGCAACAATAAACCGTTGCAAACGAAAAATGATTCTGAGCTAAATTTGGTTATATATTTGTTGATGATTTTAAATTGAACATTTTATCATTTTATTGATTTATAACTAAAAATAAATTAAATAAATAAATTTCGTGTTTTTAACACGATCATGTAACTTTAACTTAAACTCTGATAAAAAAAATTATTCAACAACTTAAAATAGCTAATTAATCTAATTATGTTTAAACATATAATTCCTAAACATATATAGTTCTATAAATTATCAACATTTTTTAATAAAATATCTAAAATTATTTTGGTAGTTAAACGTCAATTTATGCGAAAAATAACAAGGTTTACAAATTGTATAATGTACTCGCAAACATATTAAATCTATGAATATGTAGGTACCATGAGATAATATTTCGTAATGCAGTGTACAAAGTACTTGTGACTTGAGTCACTTGTGATTAATCACAATGAATCTATATTCTATAATATAACCGTGATACGTAGTAAATGGTAAACTCAAAAATTTCGTCATGAAAATAGTTTAAATCATTGAGTAATATTATAGTATGGTTTAAATATATACAATATAGTGTATAATATTAAACTATGCCCTATGGGTTATAGGTAAACCAAAATGTCATAATTCTCAGATTTATATTTGTATCAAGGGGAGTCTTTAAATCACCGTTGTTTTGTTTTTTGTCTTAAACACGACACGTTCTTTTTTGATTGCATGAAATAATTTGTACCTGTCGTTCTACCAACAACCAACATTATCACTCACTATCACTAGTAGTTTACTATTCACCAAAAATGCGCGGTAATTATTATCGCACATTTTTCTTAAAATATAATATCATTATTATATTATAATAATTTTGAATATTTATTATTATTTTGCCATCAATATTTTACCGTCTCCACTTTGATGTTTATTTTTATTTTTCTTCTTCTAGTCTGTGGGCACGTTTTCCTAGTAAACTTGCTCTGATTTTTATGTGTAGCAACTTATCTGAAAGTTCAAGTTGTCTAGATTGTATTTTCGACGCCATTTTTTTAATAAAAGCACTTTATTGGGAAAACGTAAAATTTCACGATTTCATTATTTTATAAAACACGAACGATATTTTCTGAGGAAAAATGATTTTATCGCAAATCGCAAAAAAAATTATGGCACTTCAAATTATGGATTACCGAACTGCCCTTGGAATAGTCTTACGTCAAACAATGGTTTATCGTTGCTTACAGAAATAAATGAAATAACCTTATGTATTTTACCTTCCCAGTAGGGAAGTTAGTATTTTCTGTCAAAAATGGCGATGTCATTGAATTGTTACCTAAACAGTATCTATTTTATGAATGTAGTTTACTTGTATTATACGATGAACTTATAATAATAATAAAAACACCAAAATTATTTTACTTAAGAATATAATATTGCTATTTTTAAAAGTTACATTCTGTTAACTACTAGTAGGTACTGATTTTAAAATCAATGGTAAAACCTATATTAAAATTACACACTTGGTATTGTACTTAGTAGTACTAGTTTGTGATTTTATATCATAAGTACAGTTATGTAAATTGTTTAATACAACAAAATATTTGTATATAGTTAATATCTGTCCCTAAACAAAATGTACATTTTACGTTTACTAACATTAGATATTATTTACTTTCACAATATTCATATTGATTTAAACTAGTATTAAAATTGAATATTAAATCAAATTTAATTTCAATTTTAAATTAAATTACTATAAAATGAAAATTTTAATACTAATTAAATTTATTAAAATGAATTCACGAAAATGACGTTACCATGTACAACCAGGACGTACAAAAGTTGAATTTATTCAACTCTGCAGTATCAGCGGTAACGTTTTGGTAGGCACTAAGACGTTATAGATAATATTATCTACAGCTGTAGTAGACATGATCAAAGTGTGTCTACTATGATAATATGAGCCAATCAGAAAAGAGTATTTCACACGGTGAGTTGAGACAACGAAAGTCAACGCTTGTTTTGTCGTCAGAAAAATTTGTGATTATCTTATTCGGCAACACTGATGGCAAGTACATATTTTTGATTAAAAAAGAAAAAAGAAATTGGAGTTGTCGAGTGAGACCTGGCTTTTATCAATCTACCAAAGGTAGAAATTATTTTTGATTCATTATTTTTTTCAAAATACAAAATCGTATGGTTTTGTTTTAAAATTATAAAGATTGTATACATTATAATTTTCTGTTGATATGAGTGTGTGATTTTATGACTACGTTCGAATACGGGCTTCGTTTTTACATTGCACAGTTAATTTGTTTTGTCGTTTAGTTTCCTGTGCGAAAATAGTAAATAGTTGGTAGAGTATGGCCGCCACAAGAAGACTTCAAAAAGTTAGTAAATTATTATGATATTCATAACATATTAAAATTACAATACTGCAATAAATATCTTTTATATTTTATTCTTACTTTCGAAGTTATTCATCACGATACAATTAAAATATTGCTAATATAGTGTAATCTATTTTGTTTAGTCCCTAAACTCAAATTTTATGAAAATGTAACACATGATAAACAATAAATAATTTAGTCTGTATTAGTACTGCTTTATACACAAGTGCATGAAATCTATCTAATTTTTTTATTTATAATTAATTTAAATTTTGAATTTCATAATTTTTATTGAGATTTAATTATGAAATGATATTTTCTTAAAAATAACCTTTTATTTTATATATACTTATATATTTGTTAACAAAAATTTATTCAAACCACCATACTGGACTGTAATTTTATCTTATACAGTTAATTATTAAGTTATTTTACTTTGTCAAATAAAATTCATCATTATTATTTATATAAGTATTTTTCTAAGAAATGTATGTTTACCTAGTATTTGTTAATCCTAATTTATGACGAACAGAACTACCTAAGTAGAACAGTTTAATACAGGACAATTTCACTCTAGGAAAAGCAAACCAAAGTGATATATCTCACCAATGGGTAGATAGAAATTACACATTTCAACATTAAACTTCGTTTAAACTAAAACTTTGTCAATTTATGACATTTTTAATTTAGGTTGCCATTTGAAAATAAATCCAAGTCTTTAGTGGTTGATCAAATATAAAGGTGAAAAGAATGTGCATGAGCATGGCTGTGTAATATTTTACAACAGTTGGGCACCTTAAATAATAAAATTAAAACTATGAAATTAGAAGGCATTCAAAAAATATGGAAATATTTTTAGACAAAAATGCCTTTTTAAATGGTTTTAATATTATTTACTCAAAAAGTAAGTATGTGATTTGGATTTGGTGAATGTCAGATTTACCATTCCACAAAACATAAACTTTTTAACATTTCAAAAAAATTAGGTCATTTGGAAAATTATAAATTTTATGATGTTTCTACTATAACTAAAAAAGTAACTATGAGCTGATATTTTTTATAACATTATCAGATTCGTGTTTAAAAACAAAAAGTTAAAAACCTTTGGGTTGTAAAATAGACTTATTCTATTTTAGTTTCCAAATAAAAGAAAAATTATGTTTTACTTGATTAAATATTACATTATTAAATCTATCTATATAAATTATTTTAGGAACTAGCAGATATTCGTGATTCTGGATTAAAGTCATTCCGTGATATACAAGTTGATGAAACAAATATATTAGCTTGGCAAGGATTAATTTTACCTGTAAGTATAACCAAACAGTAGTATTATTTACACTAATCTAAGTAATATTAATAAAGTTTAACATACATATTTAAGTTATGATTTTGATACAATAGACATCTTTTTAGTACTAATTTGTGTATATAACACCACTATTTTTTTCACACTTATTTTATTTAGCATATGGCATTTAATAGATTTATATAAATTATTACATAATAGAATTTATACAAAACAAAAAGAAGAATAATACTAAAATAGTAATAATGACAACATTGATAATTAGTAATCATAAATAATCATGGAAATTTCTTTTTTAATATTATAAAGAATTATAAGTCCAATGGTAACTTACCCAACCATTCTGTAGCTCAGTATTCTAAGTTGTGAAGATAAATCTATCTGTTTATGAATGAAAATAAGGAGTATTCCTCTATGATACGCATTATGGTTTGATTGGCATTTCCATATTGACAGCTTCTTGATATTCCTAATTCTTATTTACTCATAAGATTCGCGTATTTTCCTGAATTGACTGGAGCGAAATCAGGTCAGGAGTACCTATTGTTTTCTGGGAAGATTGAAACTAGGCAGGTGTTTGTTAGGGTCCCAAATTAAATGGGATAAATATTTTTAGGTGACTCATTTAAATTAATATTTGCAATTGTTTTCCATGCAGGGTTTCTCGGTTTTAATATCATATACTGGAAGGAGTCAACAGATTTGGAGGTTAGAATTTTCTAGGTATTTTTTCTATTCTTTTCTGAGTGCTTCTTCTCTTCTCCTTTTTCACACTGAGTTCAATATTTATCTTTTATAAAGTAATATCTGCTTAGCAAATTGATTCTAATAACACATTGAATATCTTATAAGTTTAGTCTTTAATTATGTATCTTTTTCCTCTCCTTCACCTTCATCTCAACTATTTGGCGGTCAACCACCCTCGTTCTAAATTTCCACTTGACCTAATTTCCCACTTTGCAAACCCTAATTGTCCTCATATCATTCTCAATCATATCCTACCACCTCTTTTTCGGTCTTCTCCTCCCCTCTACCTAAATTTATTTTCATTACAATTCATAATACTTCTGATTCCTCTCTCTTCATAACATGTCCAAACCATCCCAGTCTATTTTTTTCTCATTTTGCCTATTATTGAAGCCATTTGATAGTATATAAGCCTAAGCACTTTTGTAAAACTTAACTTTTTGTCTCATTGAAATCCTTTTTTAACATATAACGCCTGACACTGACTTTATTTAACTATATTTAATGTTTCACTTCCTCATCAAAACTTTGATGCTTAAGACTGAACATCATCACTTTTTGTTGTTAGTGTTACTCCAAACTTATTCTCTGTCTTAATTCTACTTATCTTTAGTCCCTTTTCTTTAAATGCTACTGTACATTCTTCAAGCCTATTGTTAACTTATTTCAGATTTTCTTCTATCAAAGCTATATCATCTGCAAACATCATGCACCATGTACTTCCTCTCACCAATTGTCCCAGCGCACATCCAAGATGGGACAGTCTATCAAAGTCTTATTTAGAACTCCTTATACTGATAAACAACATTTTACATTGACTGTAGATCTAATGTAACTCTATTTGCTACCTATTGCGACAAGTAGAATTCTTGGATAGGAAGTATTTTGATCCCCTTCTACAGAGAGAGTGGTATTTTCAATTATAAGGTAAATTCCTTTACCGTACAGAAAAAATACCATAGCCTACTGAAATTACCCACCAGGGTTTTCCAACAGTAGGAATCAAGGCCCGGGGTTTGGAAAACCATAGCATTATATGCTCCCCTCAATATTAAGTGTAAATATAAATATTATTATTAACATAATAATTTAATTTACTTAGTTCTTCTTAATGTGCTGATTCATTTCACATGTTAGTAATTATCATTGTTATACAAGTTTTGTTTGTCGCACTTTGAAATAATTCTGCAGAGCTTTTATCAAACCATGTTCTGAGGTTGGTTAGCCACAATGTTCATTCTTTCAGATGATTTTCCGCTATCTATTTGTCCATATAGAATACTAATTCTTTTTATTTTCCTATTCTATGTAATACCTCAATATTAGTAATTTTCTTAATCTAAAGTATTCTCAAGATTCTTCTGTACAACCATAGGCCAAATGCTTCTAACTTATTCAAAGTGTTTTTGGTTAGAGTCCAAGTTTTCATGTCATATAATATAGTTGAGAACACGTAACATCATCTCAGGAGTCATACTTTTTTGTATAGAGATAAGTTGTGGCTTACGATTGTTGCACTTATTGAGTTAAATACATGTATGTCTTTTCTAATATTACATTTATTTATTCCCTATTGTCCTATTATTCGTTAAAGTAGTATTGATGTACACTTTCTATTCTAGTTTAATTAATACTTATGTGAGCTTCAGTGTTATTTGTTTTGCTTATGATTAAGGTTCAGTACTTTTTGTTTTTAACATTCACAAAAAAAGCACTTAAAGCAAATATTATTTGACCAAATGGTAGAAGGATTCAAATGTCCTTTTCTAACAACTCTAAATTATTAAATATAATTTTCTAAATAATTATTAAAAATTAATTTTGTTAAAATAAAATTATATGTATTATAACAAAAAAATAACTTTGGTTTAATAATTTGTGTAGCGTTAGAAAATTGTATTTAATAATCTAAAGACGTTAAATAGAGTACATTCAAATACTTCTACCATTTTGTCTGATATTTGCTTGAAGTTTTTTTTTGTTATTTTTAAGTGCAATATGTCCCGAATCCTACTTATAATCATAAATTTTCTATTGTTTATATTTATATCATGTCCGTATATAAGAGTAGTCTTTGTTATTCTGTTCATAAGTAATTGAAGGCCCTCAACAACCTCTTAATCCAAGTTATTTAATCGCGTGCTGTTTATAGATATTCCTTCTTTTACTTCATTAAGAGCTTCTCTAAATATGTATTCTGAGTAAAGATTAAACAAAATGGATAGAAGAATACATCCATGTTTCACATTTAGTTGAATTTCGATCCGTGTCTATCATTTTACCATCACTTTTGAGAAACGCTGTTTGTTTCTAATATAAATCATCAATGATTCTAAGGTCTTTTTCATATATGCTTATTTCTTTTAAAATTCTATTCTTTATATAATGAATAGCATGATTAAAAGCCTTCTAGTAATCAACTAGACAGACAATCACATTACAGTTTACATCTCTGTATCTTTCTTTTGTGCCAACCGTGTATTCAAAAACCCAAACCTAAATTACTAAATTACCAACTTATTACTATTAACTAGAGTAATAATCATATTTTATATATAAAATAATGTAATTGATTAGGTCTTATATTAATTGTTATTGGTATGCTTGTAAAACGTATACAATTTTATAATTTAGTATTTATTACAAATCAAAATAAACAATTTAAAATGGTAATGGTTTATATTGTTTCTAATAATTGTACTATTTTACAGGAAAACCCTCCATATAATAAAGGTGCATTTAGAATAGAAATCAATTTTCCTGCAGAGTATCCATTTAAACCACCTAAAATCAATTTTAAAACTAAAATTTATCATCCTAATATTGATGAAAAGGGCCAGGTTTGTTTGCCAATTATCAGTGCTGAAAATTGGAAACCAGCTACCAAAGCCGATCAAGGTTCGCAAACTTTTTTTTTACAAGTTAATACTAATTTTATTCCAAAATATCTAAATAATCAAAACTTGTTGGCTATTTATTTAGTTATTCAAGCTCTAATAGCTCTAGTCAATGATCCTGAACCTGAACATCCTTTACGTGCAGAGTTAGCAGAAGAGTATTTGAAAGATCGCAAAAAGTTTTTCAAAAATGCTGAAGAGTATGCTAAAAAATTTGGTGAAAAAAGACCGTCTGATTAGAATACACACACTTAATATGTAATAAATCTGTCGTTGATTGGATCAATACCAACCTACATTACACACACAAAAACAACGACAGCAACAACAATCACTAATGACGTGTAATTACACAAATTCGAGCAATTAGTTGAGATAAAAAAAATTGTAACCAATATTTTTCTTATCACAATAAACACTTTATAAATTGAAAAAGTTTTATTTTTATGGATTGGAAATCTTTAGCATTTATATATATTTAAATGTGCTTTTTCTTTTTTTTACGTATTTATTGAATGTAAATTGTTTTCAATTAAAATTGTACTTCAAATATAAAACACGTGTAAAAAGTTAAAATTAAGTATTTTTGTATTTATATTATTTCACATTTAAAATGCATAATGTATAAAATATTAAATTGAAAAGGATACGGATTTCCATAGGTTAATCTGAAACAAAATATCACAGTTATAAGTTATTATATAACACTAAGTTTTACTAATATTTTTATTTTCACCTCATTATCAAAATGAAAATATGTTGTAGCAAGTAACTGATCATCTGAAGAAATATCCATTGTTTTTATTTCATTGAAGTGATCAATTGAATACAAAAACCTACCTTCATTTGTATCATAAACCTACAATTAAGTAATATTTTAGATTTAGAATAAACTTAATTTATAAAATAGATTTATATTAATTATTTAAGTGTATTAAATACATTTAATTTTTTGTCTTTAGAAACTGAGACCAAACATGGTGTTTTATATTGATATTGAATGCAATTAACTTGACTTGTATGTTCACTATATTTCTGTACAACTTTTAATGCTCTTAAATCAAATACTTGCACAGTGCCTTGTTGGGTACCAACAGCTATTGAAAATTCTTCTTGAAGAGCAAGAGTTTCAGCATAATCTAAGTAATTAAAATAATGGAAATTTTATTTTTATGTTAATTTGTAGATAATTTCTATTTTTAACCTGGACTGAGATTAAATTTGGCAACACATTTTCCAGAGCAACAGTCAAAAACTTGGATACGTGAATCTCTAGAACAAGACACAACAACTTTGTTTTCTTTAAAAAACTTTGCTTCGTTAACCCAATTGTGATGAAACATATTACTAGCTAAAAACTTAGTGGTTTGGCAATCCCATATTTTAAAAGTTTTATCATTGGAACAAGATATCAAATAATTATTATTCGTAGAATATGCAATATAACGCACAGACTGGTAATGACCTCTAAATTCGGTTGACATCATGCAGTTTGAAAACTATAAACAAATTTAACTGAAAATTTAAAATGCCGTATAACATAAATAAATTTATTACTTTAAAATTCCATAATTGAATTTTTCCATTATCTGAACATGTAGCAATCTGGTTCCCAGAATAGTTGCTTGATAAATTTGTTAGTTTACTAGTATGTGTATATTTTGACCTGCAAAATTTGGCAATTTTGATGGAATATCACTAATGAAATATAAATTAAAAATCTTACTTAATAGTTTTAATATTAGCCTTGGACCAATCGTGTACAGTTATAATATTCAGATTGTCTAAAGAAGCCAATCGGTTTGTTTGTCCTAAATAAGATACCTTTAAAGGGCATCCTCTTGTTTTCAGATTCAGCCAACATGATGGTTTCAAAGCCAAAGTGTATTTTGTGCAATCCAACTCTAAAATAATGTTGAAAATAGATATTTAATTATTAACTATGTTTAAAATTTCAAAACTATACTTACCATAGGATTGTTTAAAATTTGACTTGTTCCATTTTAAACATTTAATATCATTAATATCCATAGTAATTGAATATGTACGTTCATTTCAGTAATTAATAATTACAAATTTATGGAAATTAAAAAATAACTGATTTTAAATAATTTCGACATTCGAAAGTTAATTGATAATAAGTGATAACAAATACAATCATTAATTACAGATCACAAATTATGTTATACTCTCAAATATATATAAAAATTAGATAAACTACTCAGTATAAAATTATGATGCTCAGCGCCATATATCTCTTGAGTAATATTTAAAAATTCTTTCGTTGCCATATAATATTTTATGGTTATTAAATTTATCTGCGATAATGACATCACAAAAATGATAACATGATGTAAACATTGCCCAAATGGCGATAGGCATCATTATTAAATACAATGTATTTGAAGTCGGCTATCTAGTTTTTATATATATTTGTGGAATGTACATATACCTTAGTATATCTTAATTCGTGGTCTTGAGTGATGACAACTTAATCTCAAACACGGACTAAAATATACCTTAGGTAACTGTGTCGTTCATTACAGGTAGGATATTTTATTATTGATATCACTGATTAAGAAAGAATTAATTTTATTATCAATAAAAACGAAATGTTTTCCCTATGATCGGTACAAGACAATCAACGCCATCTATGAACAATTAGTTATAACAATAATTCTAAATGTTTTTTTTAGAATATATGAAATTTCACTTATCCCGCGGTTTTTTTTTTTTATCACAGACTACCACAAAAAGATATATACATAAACAACTTTATTAATATAAATATAGCGGACTGCTCACTTTATGAGTTGCCTTACGACATAGTTTATCGTTCAATACATTCGTACATAGCTTATAAAATATAGATTAATATAAATAAAATAAATAAATAGATAGCAAAATAGAATTACATTATTACAATATTAATATTTGTTAATTGAGAGTATAAATGATAGTTGATTATATGTAATGTGTCGTGCAACATAGCCAGACATATTTTTGTGAGATCACTTCGCTGCAGATAGTGGTTTTTGAAGAAGTCCAGTAAGAGTTTCGATGCGGTTCTACATGCGTCAAATTATAGCTCAAATACTTCCTATACTCCATCAAATTTTATAATTAAGTGTTAACTAGTTTGTAAAATTTGTTTTTCTTTGCAATAACTTTATTTTGATCACTGTTAGAAACAAGAGAATACTATCGTATATGTACAATAATATAATAAGTATTAATAAAATATGTTAGAACTTCAGTCTTGTAATATTAACATGAAAAATGTAAAAAAAAGTTATTAGTAGGTATCAAAGAAATTGTTAACTGTCAGTAAAAAAGCATCAGGATTATCATAATATTTAGAGAATGATTTTTCCACAGAATATAGAATGTTAAATATAAAATGATTTTGATGAGGCAATGCACTTCTTAATTTCAAATTAATAAAGTACACTGTGCTCTATTGCAATAATAGACAATATTTCCTTTCAATAAATATTGCCGCACGTAAATATCGGAGCAAGATTTCTGGTAGAAATTGTCATTATAGTTTATATACATAAAAAAATATTGAATCTTTGTAAAAGCAATACATTCTTTGCTACACTGAGAATCTAAAAAGTTATATCAAATAATATATTGATTATATCTATTATGTCTACTTCTCGACTAATGACTATACCTAATGTCCATCTAAGTCCCCTTTTTTGGGATAAGGGAGGGGCATTTGCTCCTCGCTTTAGCCTGGTTAATCACAAACTAAGAAAGAATTGCATAGTAACCAAAAGTATACAGTTTTTCTTAGTTCTGTAGTTAAGGCGATTGGTGACGGTGTATATAAGCGGTTAGCACTTGTTGCGGACTGAAAAAGAAGTGGGACATATTTATACTCAAGGCACTTATAATCCATGTTATAAGTGCCTTACTTATACTTATACCCAACTTCTCACCAGTTATTGTAGTTAGGAATGAAATTTGACCACAATAGGAAATTGCTTTGGTTAATGAATTTGAAAACAATTGTGCCACTAAATTAACACACTGCTTTTTATGTCCTGTTATATTTATATGATTGTAATTTTATAAGCAAGTCTCTAATCATTTGTATTTAAATATAACACTTTTTCAATCACTTGCTTTCCAAAAAACTGATTTTTTAATTGTACCCACTTAAAAAATATTTTTTATCATTATACTACTAATGACTTAGGGCACATGATTATATAACATCACATTATTGTTTAATTTACCTATTTACAAAATGGTTTCTTGCTAAGTTAAAAAATAATAACCAACCAAATTGTTTGATGATACACCAGTAGGTATAAGTTTTCATAGATATTTAGTTGAATATTCTAACATTTTTTGGATCAACAGTTTTTCATAATCAGATAAATCAGTGTAATGAGCTAACTCGTACTATAACTTTTAGATGAATTAATATAATTATAAACTTATATAACAAATTAATTTATAGATATTTATTACTATCTAGCCATGTAGGCGTATAATATGTAACCATAAATAAACATACACCATAATCCTTAATTTACAAACCAGAAGAAATTAAAATTTTTTCAGACATAACATTAAGTTCAATCCACAATTTTCGCATATATTGTTCCTTAGGAAAACGATAAAGGACTGGTGGTTTCATTTCTGCAATTTTAGATGTTTGACTGCCACTTTTATAATTTATTATTACGTACACAGGCGTTTTCTGACGTCATTTTTTAAAGTGATAACAATAAATGCGCGTAAAAACTGAATATTGTTGGAGTTACTATCATACCATGTTATTTAGCCATGGGTTAATAGGTTTATGGTGTAACCACATTCTGATTTAAATTTTATCTTTTCGTTGTTAGTATTACCTTATTATTATCCGACAACTGGGTAATATCACATATCCAAGGTTATAAACCTATCTTGCCCATATTTATGATAACGACCCGGTATTATGTATGGGTAATGTGTCAAATGTCAATAAGATAATAAAATTAATATTTATTAGTCACGTTGGACAATGACGTCTTTCAAGGTTCTTCTGTAAAATATTACTGTAATCCTTTAAACAGTTAAAATTTAATCCATAGATTAGTTTTAAGTTTAATATTTGTTATATAAATTTTTATTTTATTATTTAGTCAACATATTACATTTGACTTTAATATTCTAATTTAAAAATGGGTGAGATACGAAGTGTTTTGTTTGTCTGTTTGGGAAATATATGCCGATCTCCGATGGCTGAGGCAGTATTTATAGAAGCAGCTAAACAAAAAGGTGTAGCTAACAAATGGCATGCGGAAAGTGCTGGTACTGCAGGATACCATGTTGGCTGTTCACCAGATGAACGGACAATTAGTGTATTAAGGAAGAACGGTATACAGTTTGAACATTCAGCAAAACAATTGGTAAAAGAAGATTTTTATACATTTAATTTTATTTTTGGAATGGATAAAAGTAATATGGATAATATCAACCGCATAAAACCAAAAGATTCAAAAGCACAAGTACTGCTGTTAGGATCATTTGATCCAGAAGGTGATACCATCATAAGAGATCCATATTACGACAACGACAATCGAGGATTTGAAAAATGTTTTCAGCAATGTATGAGATCGTGTAAATCATTTTTAGATAAAAATAAATAATTATTATAAATATATTATTTGAAATATGTTTAATAATAATAATAATCAATCTGAAAACAATGTTTTGTTAAAACTTATGTAAACTTAAGTATTAATAAACAAAGACAAATAAATAAGTATGCTATGAGTATAATATTTATATAAATTCTAATTTAATAGTTTACTTATTTAAACTGTTGTTTATTTCAGGAATTAATAATGATTTAAGAAAGCTATTCCCATTAGTAATATTGGTAGTAGCGATTACATATTCAATTGTAGCTAAAAATGAAAGATAATTAAAATTAGTTAAACAGGAAAAATAACGAATAATGGTTGGTAACTTACAATCTTCAAGTGATGACAAAAATCTAAGAGCAGATATTTCTGCAAATGTACATCCTCCAATAAAGAACACCAGTACAACTTTTTGAGAGTCGACCAAAAAACTCATATTAGAAGCTGTAAAAATTAAATTATAATAAATTTTAGGTGTACAAATAATTATAAAATAAATTGAATTACTTTGATCAATGTCGGAACTAACATGTTCTATACTAGGTCCAGGTAATAATGGTAGAATATCAGACAATACTTTACTGTCTGGTTTAGAGATTTGTTGAATCAATCTGACACTTAGTGGAGCATAAATTCCATAAACATAGTTAATATCATCTGGATCAACTTCACTCATTTCATAAACATCCAATTTTAATAACCTGCGACAAAGAGCATAGCTCCTCGAATTCGCCTTAAGTAATATATTGTATTTATAATAGAATACACGTTTCAAAAATATATTAACAATCGTTTGCTTACTTGGATTTTTATGAGACCAGCATTTTCTAAAAGAGTCATAGTAATAATATGTTTAAAACCATAGGTTTGAATAATTTCCCTCTTGTAATATTCCAAAACCTTTTGCTTTAATCCAGAATTGACAGCAGATTGCATGCAAATCAATCGCAATACCTAAACAAATTGTCAATTATTATAATTAGAAAAAGAAACAAGAATATTTTATAAATATAGTTACTGTTATTAGATCAAATTTATTAGAAATTAAATCTTCTATCTGAGGTAATACTTTGTCTGAATCAATACCCAAAATTAATTCTTGTTGTAGATTAATTAAATCGCGAAAACTTGATTTGTCAGTCAATTCTTTTATCAATCCGGCAATTGTGGTATCTGATCAAAATAATATTAAATATTACGCAATCACTTTTTTCTATTATTTTTAATTTAAATTAAATAACCGCTAAACAAATATTAATTACAGGATGATTACATGTAGAAAGTTGTTTTTTTAGAGCCAACATGTAAGGAAGTCTTGACACTAACTGTTTCATTTCTTGAACTGTTTTACCGCTACGATTTTCATCATATTCTGAAGTTATATGTTTGGCTCTTACACTTAAGTTCATTAGCACAGCATTAAAATGTTTGTTTCTAGTTAAAAAAAAAAAATGTATTCATTTTATTATTTACTTGATAGTTAATGCCAAAACTAATAATGAAGTGAAATGTTTGAACTTTTTTAGATTTTAAAATATGTTGTTTTTCTGTTTATTATCAGTAATCTACTTTGTTTTGAAGCAAGTAATGTTTATTGTGTTTGATCATTTTGGAAGAAATCCAAAAGAGGAGATTTTTTTTGATGGAAAAGGTTAAAGAGGATTTTTCTTCCACTGTGATGACAGAATATTGGTAGAAAAATGCAAAATTTCGCAAGGCTCACTCAAAAAATTGTTAATGAAAAACAACTTATCCTAAGAATGTTGAAAAAGTTAAAAAAAAACATAGTCAAATTTAGGTTTGACAGAAACCTGTTTGGTTTTTTAATATTTACAAATGTTCTCCAATTCCTGCCACCAATAAGCTTGTCAAGTTGCTCTTCTTTAGAATTAATTATAAAATTGTCAAATACTAAACAAATATTTTCAAAAAATATTAGTCACATCAAAACAAGGTTAGCAATATCAATCCTATAGCTCCTTGGCACACAATACAAACAATTTGAACTTTTTGAATAGACTCCATATTGGAAATCTATCAAACGATTACCTAGTTTCTGCGAAAATCTCATCGCTCGAATTTAGTATGATTTTTTTCTGGGTTAACATATTAACATTTTCTTCTTCAGAGACAAATTTATCAGCTGGTAGTGCTACAGTACCTAAGACAAACATTTTTGGACATTATTCTACAATTTTAATTTAATTAAGGCTGATAAAACAAACTTACAACAATCAATACCAAAAAGTTCATCAATCAGTCCTTCAAATGTTAACTGAGTAACCATTGGTGTCATCAAGTCCACAGAACGGTCAATTAAAACAAGATGATCAATAATTTTATAATTTCTATTAGCTTTTGAATTTTGTTTACGAGGTTCTAAAGATATTTTAGATACTAAATCCCACACTTGTTTGACAACTTGACCTTTACCAGTCATACGACTAAAACGCCCATAAATATCTTCCAGCATAACAATTGCTTGAGCTACACGATATAAGCAAGTTGGATCATTTTCTAATGTTAATTCCTAAAAATGTAATTAAAAATATTAATAATTTAAAAAAATTAATATTGCATATATTTTAAAAAGAACTAATAAAGCATTATTATATTTATTATGATAAATCCAAAAAAAATAGGCTTAAATGGGTTATGTAATTTTTACCATGTAACAATCATTTATTTCCATTGACATAAGATCATTTTCCAGAGGGAATAAAAAACAACGAAATTCTTCAATACAAATCAAATTTCCTAAAACTCCTTTTTTCTGTGAACATAGCATAAAATATGATAATATAAAAATAATATTAGTTTAAAATATAGTTTTTTTTTTTTTCAAAGTTTAAACAAATAAAATAAAGCTAATTTTTATGTATAGACCATTATTCAAAATAATTTAATGTATCTTAAAAATGATACTAATGAATAAATATTTTTTGAAAGATTTGTTTTAACAAATTATAAAATATAATAATAATATATATTATAAGGATAAAGGTTTATAAAAAATTTTTTTTAAATTTATTCTTATGGTGTTAAATTTTAATGTTTTCATAATATAATTTATGATTAGCCTTTGTAATTTATTCATTTTATAATATGAATTTGTTGAATTGATTATTTTGAATAAGAAATAATAATACATAGATAGTAACTTAAGTAAACCATAAAATTAGTTTTATAATTTGAAGTCTTTAATAAATAAATCAATTTATTTCCCAAATCATTAGAAATATGAAAAAAATTATGTATGATTTTGAAAAGTCTAAAAATACTAAAAAGTCTAATTTACAGATATTTTTCAAATATCCAAAGTTTGTTGGCAATTTCAAAAATTTGTTTGAACCTACCAAAATATTATATCGAAATAACTATAATTTATAATTCAGAAGTTATTGAATAAGTTTAACAGTTGTTTAAATTGTGCTACTACATACAAGAAACACTAAATTATTTATTTATCAAGTCTCTCTCTTTTACATACCATGAATAGGTCAGTTATGTATTTTCATAATTTTTTACAACGATAACAAAATTTGTTATTCATCTAGTAATCCCATAATTCACAAATCCATTAAATATTAAAATATTTAAAGTTAGATATATGTTAAATATTAACTGTGTAAACCTGGTTTAAGAAATGGATAGGAATACCAACAGCTATAGAAACTTAAAACCAAAAATAAATGTTCTATTAAAGGATTTGACTATACTTTTTTTTAAATGAAACAAAGACATAGATATTGTATTTAATTTATAATGTATTAACAGCTCGCATATCTTATATTAACTTACTTCTAAACGTTTTTCACATAATAAACTACGAGTAGGAACAAAAAATAAATGATAATCTCTTAGGTTATTATCATCTTTACTTCCCCTAGAAAAAAATGAATATTTAATGATATATACAAATAATTATATGTCAGAATTCTTCCATATAAATTAACTACCTATACAAGTGAATCTATATCAATAAAGCAAATTAAATGTAATAGATATTTACTTATGGATGTTTTCACTTATCATATCCATATGAGTTAAAATTGGTCTCGTAATAAATATAACATTTTTCACCTTTTCTCGGAAATTACTTAACTTGCCACTATTTAAAATAAATACTTCTTTAACATTGTGCTCTTTTAACAGGCTATATGTGGCTATTAAACCAATAGGTCTTGTCAAGCCTTCGTCCAGAATTATAACCTATATATTATTTATAACTTTAATTAAAATACTAATTAAATACAAATTTAATCTAGAATATTTACCTTAGGGCCATCACACTTGTCTAATAAGCATATTAAATCTTTAGCTGCGTTTTCTTGTAGCAGGTTAATATTCACTCTTCCACCAGCTAAGTAATTAGACATATTAGAAAATTAACTAAATTCATAAATAAAATTTGAAAAAATTGTTGTAAATCTCAAATAATATGAATTATGATTATTGATTACCTTTACTTCAAAATGTATTTACATCTGTTATCAAAAGTACGATGGGCAATAAGGCAATTATGATTTTAGATAGAATTACTGAAATGGTAGTACTGTAACCATATGTTTAATATTCATTTTTTCAGAGATACCTAATGTTATACTGAAGAAGTAAAACTGAAAAGGTCGACACTTTGCAAACGATAATTTGTTAGGTTTTAATTATTACAGCAAAACTTTATTTAACAGAAAACTGTAACTTTAGTTATCCAACATGTACAGTTTATCAAAATTGGTCCAGCCTTTGGCTAAACAATCCCTACAAGTAATGGCGAAAAGAACAAATATTGGAGTTAATGGACCACCGTTAGTCAAAATGGCAAAATGGGTAAAAACTATCTGTTTTATTTATATTTAGTACAGTTTAAGCACAAGTTTACTTATTACTATAATAGTAATATTAATAATTCAAATATAATACTTAATCTTCTAATTATTTACAATTTAAATAGCTATGTAATTTTGGAATACTATTTTTTAATTTGCTTAAAATGCATCATTTAAAACAGGTTTAGTAAATATACTTTAACCCTAATTAATTATTTAAAGTATAATTTATAAACAACAAATGTCTACAATCAGCTGATCAATTTTAGAATATTACATTATTGTACATGTGCTTTAACTATATTAGTAATTCTGTGTATGTAATACTATTTTATTCTCGGTCACAATTGCTTCCTAACATTTACCATTTGTTCAGGTTTTTTCTCAATTTTTCACCTTTATATATATATTGTTGTCAAAGCATCACTATCAACTTGAACTCTTCTCGGAATTGTTTTTTCGTTAATAAATGGTTTATTGTTGCTTACAGATATAGATACATTAAATTTTCTTTTGTATTCTACCTTCCCAATTTCCAATTTATTACAGTGGCTGCACCCATCCCCATTATTTTACCTTTCTTTTTTTCTACTTTTATTCTCTACAAAAATTCATTTCTAGACAACAAACTACTTCCTTTTGACTCCCGTTCCACATTGATAATCAATTTAATTATTAATTTCATCATAGACACATTGTCTTAATATAAAACATCAAATGTATTTAAAATATTAAATATATGTATATTTTTTTATTTCTTTAAACCTTATAAATAATTATTGTGGTGTTATATTATTTTACAATCAACAAACAAAAAAAAATGATTGAATTTAGAGTAAAAATATTTATTATGAAATGTATAGAGAATATTATTTTGGAGGGAATCTCATAGTTGTTTTTTAAATTGTGAACTATTAAAAAAGTTGGTTATTTAAAGTTGGTCATAAAAAAAAAAAAAAGTTTTTGGTGCGCTATATATCGAGCTGTATATTTAAAATAATACAAAAATCCTTAATAAGTTATTACCTCACTAAAATTTAAACACGTATATCTTCTTATTCTTCTCTTCTACTAATACTATTCTTTATAAAATATGTAATAAGACCCTTTTCCTTAAACCAGAGACACGCAATTGTGGAAGCGTGGAATGCCTTAATTACCATAACTCTGGATCATACACTTTATCTTCATTCTACCTTCAAACTAACTATATACTTATGTATTGATCAATTTTTTGTATTATATTGCAATTCAATTCAGGTAGAAGACTTCTGTGTATTTTGTTTTAAATGAAGTTCCTACACACAAGTAATATAACCATGCGAGAGAAAAGAAATGTTAATAACAAGAAACTATTAAGAAATTATGTCTGACCAACATCTACATAAATAAGAGTGTAATATTAGTAATAAATAATAATATCTTGATAGTTTAAATATTTAAAAATAAATAATGTTGAGAATCTTATAATATTATGTAAATTATCTATATTTTGAAATTGAAAATGTGGTTTACTACCTGCCTATTTGAAAATCAAAATATGTTGTTTCTTTATAGGTATTTAATGGGAAGAGATGTAATACATTATAAATGCTTTAAATGTATTAATATTCAAAATAATACATTTCATATAATATTTACTCTTTAAATTTAAATTAAATCATTATGCAATTATCCAAGTGTAACTCAAATTATTTGTTGTTGGGTATTTTAAATCTTAAACATTTCAATTAGGAATGTATTTAATAATTTATATCCTACTTAAATTGTATAACATTGTTATTAGGTATACTACTTTATTTACTTAGACAATTATTTACTGGCAGAAAATTATAAAATAGTTCTTGATACAATTTAACCCTAATGGTTTATTTTTTTTTTTTCAGAAACAATTACTTATTGGTGGTGCTGCATCTGGATCTATTTTAATTATTCCTATCTGGGTTTTATATGACTTAAAGAGTTTGCCACGAGCATAATAATTTTAACTATTATTTATGTTACATCTTGATAAAATTAGATATGTAAAATGTGAAATATATTTTCTATAGAATTAAAATAAAATGCTACTGTTTACTAAATGGAAAATTTATATTATTTATGAAAATTTAAAGCCTTATATGTATCATGTTAAGTTTAATTATCGATTCACCAATTTTATTCATTACCCAGTTATTTGCTGGAAATCATACCGCATACTAGATATTTTTAATTTGTCCACTCAAAATCTAATTTCACACAAATATTTATCTAACAATAAAATCCTTGTCATTAGCTAGTTCAACATTTTATGGTTCCTTCTCAACTTGCTTAGCAATCATAAGTATTTATGATTCGATCTACCACACATAGGTTCTTTTAAATCTTTTTCAATTCTTTATATACTTAAAAACCAGGATCCTTGAAATTTTCTACTTATTCCTACACAATATTAAGGTCGATTCTCTCTCTCTTTTTAATTAACTAATAAATATATTATAAAACATATTCATTTTAATGTTATTTTTAAATTTTACTTTCAATTAAATAATGAAAATGAACCTTTTTTGTTTAAAGAATTGTAAACTAGATAGTTAACAGCAGTTGGTACTGAAAATCTAACAATATAAAAAAATAAAATATAAATTTATTATCATATATTTTAATTTTTTTTTTTTCCATAATAAATTTTACTCAAAAATACCTATTCAATATTTATGACTCTAAAATGTTCAACATATGTTTTGTATTATCTAAATAAATAATAAAACCATATGAAATTCATTAAAAATAGTTATGATAATAGATACCAATATCTAATATAATAAACCCAACATTTTAATTAAATATATTATTAATATATTAATATTATTAAATATATTATTAATTTAATAATGATATTAGACAAGCTAACGGTATTACTAATTTATTAATTCCATGACTTGTCATGAATATTATCAAAAATAATACCTAATAAATAACACTATTTTCTCAGACCTTTTAATATATGACCTTTAGTTTACATTCTTTGTTTATCATATAACTAAATTAATTACAAAATATTTTAAAATGATAACAAATATTAATAAATTTAAAAAAACAGCTTATCAAGAAGACCTTCAATATTTAAATCACCAATCACATAACCACAATGTTTAGTCTTTATCATGACATTAATAATTAGCACTTTTAAAGGGAAATTTCTTATCGTAAGTATTCATCCCCAACCAAAACCAAGGTTTATTAGTTACAGCTGGAACAACTGGAAAATAAAATAACGTACTTCCATATTATATTTCCATTAAACAATTAAATAATAATCAATTCAAATTCAAATGTCAATAGGTACGTTTAAAATTCACAGCATGATTTATTGGTTTTACTGCAGGTGCGTTCCTAAGGGCTCCCCCCCGGGAGGCATTAGCTGTGTGATATTCTTTTTTGTTATACAAAATTTCCAAAATTCTTAATTACAAATGCACTGTTCCAGATTCCATAAAGATGATTCCGGATCTTGGAAATACTTTGATTGAAACAAAAATGACACTTCTAATTTATAAATTGTAATAAATATTCTCTCAAGAATGATAGAAAACTAAGTGAAAATAATAATAATAAGTATGTCCGTATTTTTTTTTTATCAATCATTAAGTGGGCCTCAGCCGATCAGTAATACTGACAGTATTATTGATCGTGTGAAGTGAATACCGATGTACTGTCAGTATAGTAAAACGATACTGATGATTGATCGGAATTTCGGATGTCGAATCGTCAATATTTCTTTACTAATGATAATATTGATGATGTGTGGTGATGAATGATATTTCATCAGTATTGATATCGAAGCAATGGAGGACGCGCGTGAATGTATAAGCGCGAACGACAATTCCGTGATTTTATTTCTAATTATAAAAATTTTAATTGTTTATGGGATGTTCGTAGCAAGGAAGCACACGAAAACAATTTTAGAGGAAATAATGAAAAATATTAACTTTATTAAATCATGACCCCTACAATCCAGGCTTTTTGAAGTCCTTTGCAAAGACATGAAAATTGATCGAGTACAGCTTCTTTTGCAGACTAAAATCAGATGGCATTCACGAGGCAAAATTCTTTAACGTTTTTTTGAGCTAAGAGACGAAGTTCGAGTATTTCTTCTTGAAACAAGGTTTGTGGACTTGTTAACTGATTTTTCTTGGCTTTTTCGGATAGCTTACTTGGAATTTATATTGATATTTTCCATGTTGAGGATAAAATCGAAGCAACAATAAAAAAGTTTGAAGTTTGGGCAAAACGTATTGAAAAAAACTCTTTCTGTAATTTTCCGACATTACAAGTCTTTTTGGAATCGCAAGTGAATGTCTATCACAGGAGGTAAGGAGTGAAATATCTGAACACTTGTTAAGCATGGCTAGAACATTTAGAAACTATTTTTATCAACTTGACCCAAACAATGTTTGGATAAGAAAAAATTCCTTTATCTGTAATATTGAAAAAAAAATAATATCTCTCCAAACAGGAGCAAGATGAATTAATTGATCTGGTAAATAACAGAACGATGAAAAACTAATTGATTTTTAGATATCAGTTCAAAATGATCAAAAACAACTGGCCGAGAAAGCTTTAAGATATTTTATCCCCTTTTGCACAACATATAGACGTAGACAAGCTTTTTCTTCCTACTGCTACATGAAAAACAAATATCGTAATAGACTTAATGTTGACGCTGATTTAAAAGTTAAAATATCCAGCTTGCAGTTAAAGATGGACGAGATTATGAACTAAAAAGAAAGGTTTCACTCGTCTCATAAAGTTCGAAAATTAATGCAATAACTAATTTATGTAACTTATAATTAAATTATAAAAGGTAATTTGTATGGTTAGGTAGTAATGTTGTATGTAAAGTCAAGTGTTAAATCAAATAAATCTCTTTGTATTGTATTTTTTGAGAAAATCTGGGTTTATAATGTTTATATTATTACAAAAAGTTACTTATGAAAAATTAAAATGAATCATTCAATTAGTTTTTTTCATTTTTAATCTAACAAAATTGAAAATTAAGTATTCACAAATATGGGATTCCCCGTCCAATTTGAGTTTTAGCTAGAGATTCGTGGCTCAATGCTAATTGGGAACCACTGATCTATACTGACCGTGTGAGTACATTGTCAGTAATGTAAATACTGTCAATATTTATACTACTAGAATTAATGATCGTGTGAGGCCCGCTTTAATATTATTAATAAGATTTAATTATTTCGCCCACCCCCTTTGCCACATAAGTCAAGATCTGGAGATGACTCTGTTTTACTGTGTGCTTTTTTTTTATAGTTGTGAACAACTTTTCTATCAGAAATATAAATTGTATCATTTTTTCTGAAAGCAAATATTATTTAGTTGGGTAGGTCATTCTTTGATTTCTAAGTGGTTTTAAAAATTTGGAAAAAAGTATCGGAATAATAACAAATATTTACGGTTCTCCGCATTGTTAGTTTTATTTATTGTTTTAATTTTTTGTATATTATGTTGTCTACCACAAATATTGCTTTAGTTAAATAGTGCCAAGAAAATGTTTTCGTTATATTTTGGATTTAGACGTTCACAGTCGTTTTCTTGATTTTGCAAATTTAAAAAAAAAAACGTTGAAAGAATGGAAAATTTTACAAAAATAATAATTTTATATTTTAAATTTTGTTATATTGTGGTAATTCAGTTTAAAATATTCCTAAAGAATTAACATAAAACTCGTATTTAAAATTTTTGGACGTGGTGAAATTTTTAAAGTATTTGAGCCGTTTTAATTTTACAAATTTTATTCGTAATTTTTTTATCGGTTATCTGTGGGTAAAATTGTTAAATTAAATAGAAAGACTTGTGCTTGTGAAAGATGTACTTTGTGGTAAAACAAAAAGTTAAGTATACGCAATGAATAGTATTTTTTTTATAAAGAAATTGTAATACCAAATTTTGATGAAAATCGTTCGAGTAAAAATGACGTGAAAAACAAACAAAACAAAATAAATTTTTCAATTTGTTTTGTTTTGATCATAAATGTATATATATATATATATACCTATTGCCGATTTAAGAACGATGGTGAAGTCAGAATTGAGCAGCTGACCTAGTTTTGAAAATCGAAATTATTACGACTTTTTAAAATATGTATAATAAAATTTCGCTCCAAATCGGTTTTCGTATTTTTTTATTTAATGATTTATAGTAGCTTGCAGATATAAATAAAATAACTTTGTACCTTACCTTCCCTAACTAGTAACCATTATAACACTATGAGATTACCGCATAGATAATAAAGAATAATACTTTTATTATCTATAGATTACCATCGTAAAAAATGATAATATACTAAGATTCATTTTATACCACGGTTGTAGATAGTATAGTATCTAGTATCTACTAATAACCGCGGTTGCCAATAAATTATACACCATATTTTAATAACACGTGTTGTTATTTGTTATAATTGGTGTATCTAACTATTTTTAATTTTTGTATAAAAGACATGTAATTATTTAAAGTACTAGGTATGTCGTCAACGACATTAGCACCATCTTTAAAATGGGAATCGTTAAATCTTTCGGATGTTGTATTTAACACGATCAAAAATCATTTCAAATTCAAATGCATGACGCCAATTCAGGTAAGTAATCGTACAAACTTATTATTTAAACCATGGATGGACAGATAAGATACTATAAAATATAATTTAATATTGATTGGCAATATAATTTCATTGTATTATATTTTAGGTATACCAAAGTATTTTAAACCGTAATAATAATACATTTCCACAACTTTTGATATTTTGGTTATGGTTACTAAATAATAGTTACCTTATAGTTTATTATAATATTTTTTAAAATGTGTACTTAGTTACTAGTGTACCTTTATGGAAATACTTCTATCGTGGCACTCTACCTAGTTCTAACTATAGATTGCAAACAATCGATACATTTGTTCTGTTAATTTTGCTAATTTCGTTCAATGTGTTTTGTAACAAATTTTGAATTTTGTTGAACATAATATCTATATATTACCTATTTAATTTTATTTGTTTTACTTGTAGAGTCCTGATTGAAATGTAATTATTTTGTACTTGTAACAGTTAATAAATGCAATTTATTTGTTTAGGTTGAATCTATAAAGAACATTTTAGAAAAAAAAAAAGATGTTGCTGCAGAAGCAGTCACAGGTAGTGGAAAAACTTTGGCATTTTTAGTGCCAATGCTAGAATTGATTTTAGTAAGTTAAACACATTCACTATATTTTTTTTTGGTACCTTTATATCAAGTTTAGCACCTTAACATTTTTAAAATATGTTTTTTGTTAGATATGACGTAATGCAATAGTGGAAAATATTAACTACCACAAAGTTTATTTTAAAACGTTTATATAATTACAAGACAAAAACAATGGCGTAATAATAATTTGCTGCTTATATTTAGTTTTTGATTTATGAGTCTTTTAAATTGCCTGATATTACACACAATGCGCCCTGTCTGGTGTAATAAGCTCATCATTTTTACTGTAGGCCTGGTCTCGAGTCTTTTTTTTCTACCTTGTTACTTATCCCACATTATGCGTATGCCTAAAATCACGAATTTCACAACTATGTCTGTTGTACAAATACTGACTTATTTTTAATTTGTTGATAGCAATAATGAATTCGGCAAAATAACCTAATAGTGATAGAAAAGTGTATTTCATTTTTACAATTGTTTGTTCTGTGTGTTATATATAGTGATATCTACAGTTTTCAAATCGTTATAATTCCTAAAATAATAGTTTTTGAAAAATTCTGACTACACCATATTATTAGTATTAAAAATCCTGTCTATTTTAAAAATATTTTGTTTTTTAAGGTTTTGAAGTGTTCTTCCTTCTACCTTCCCGCAAAGATAATCAAAAATTTTGAACATTTGTGTAAAAAAAAAACAGTTTTTTTCTAATCTATATTTTTTTCTTTTTATTTTATATAAATATATAATTATATTACTTGTAAAATTATTTTGTTTATTAGAAACGCAGTGATCCATTAAAAAAACATGAAGTAGGAGGCCTTATCATATCTCCTACACGAGAATTGGCTACCCAGACGAGCCATGTCTTGGATGAATTTTTAATTAATATTGATAATATAACACAAATGTTAACTTTAGGCGGTAATCCAATAGAAACAGATGTCAAAGCATTTAATAAGAATGGAGCAAATATTTTAGTGGCAACCCCTGGACGTTTGGAAGATTTATTAACAAGAAAAATACCAAATTTCCATTTACACAAATCATTAAAATCATTAGTATGTAGTAAAATATGTAATCTTATTGGAATTATTGAATATTTTTATATTTATAGGAAATGCTGGTGTTGGATGAAGCTGATAAGTTGTTAGAGTTAGGATTTGAAAAATCTATAAATACTGTATTACAATATTTGCCTACTCAAAGAAGAACTGGATTATTTTCAGCTACTCAAACTAAACAAGTTGCAATGTTGGTTAAGGCAGGACTCAGAAATCCTGTAATGGTTATTGTTAAAGAAAAACATTGCTTAAACCCAAAAAGGTAATAATATTTAAATGTTATGTTTGTAAGGCACATTTAATAATTATAAATTATTATTTTCATTGTTTTTTTAGCAAACAAGTTGAATCTGTATCTACACCTTTAGCATTACAAAACTTCTATACACTATGTGACGCTGATAAAAAGTTTGCATACTTAGTAACGTTTTTAAAGAAACATGGATTGAATTTGAAGTATATGTTATTTTTATCGACCTGCGCCTGTGTCGAATATTTTTCAATAATTTTAAGAAGGTAATATAGTATAAGAAAGACACCATTGAATGTCATTGTTATGCGTGCAATAAATATTTTACAGTTTAATACCTGAAATTAATGTATTCAGCTTGCATGGAAAAATGAATAACAAACGGTATAAAATATTTGACTTATTTTGTAAAGCAGATAGAGGTAAATATAAAAATGTTATAAATGTAATTTTTTTTTTTTTAAACATTTTATTTTATTTTAGGTATTTTGCTATGCACAGATGTTATGGCCCGTGGTGTTGATATACCAGAAGTCAATTGGGTGATTCAATATGATCCTCCTAGTAATGCTTCTTCTTTTGTACATCGTGCTGGCCGAACAGCTCGAGTTGGTAAAAATGGCTCATCATTAGTTATGTTGATGCCAAATGAAGATGCATATGTACATTTCATTTATTCAAATCAAAAAGTAAAATGAGAATTTCAAATAAAATATTTAAAAATAAATTCATTATGTTAATATTTTTAGGTAATATTAGACTTAATGCCTCAAATAGAAGTTAACAATCTAGATGAAGTTATAGATAAAGTTAGAAAGCGTCAACTCAAAGATAGAACATTATTTGATAAAGCTAATAAAGCATTTGTTTCTTATATTCAAGCTTATTCCAAACACGAATGTCATTTATTATTACGTATAAAAGGTAAGCTTCTCAGAATTAGATAATCAGAATCGTATTTATTGGTAACCAGTCATATCTATCTTGTGTAGTGGCTCAAGCTTGCTATTAATTTAATCATATCAGTTTTTATTTTAATATTATCTTTACAGTCGACCAAAGTATTATGTAATGATTATTGTGAACATTGAAGGGGAAGGGGTTGGGAGTTATATTCCCACTTCCATGGACTTAAAAATACAGCATTTATGATTTATATTAATTTAATCTTGAAATGTATATAATTTAGACAAGTTCCAAGAAAAAGCTTAATTAAGTGAATAAAAGTTGGCTTTTAAACTTAAAAATATGTTGGTTTAGGTATATAGACTAGTTAAACTAACTTGTAATATTCTACAATGTATTTATAATTATTAATTTTATATCATACCCTGCCATTATAATAATGTTTATTTAGGTTGTCATTCTATTGCTTATACTTCATTATAGTTCAGTTTTAAATATGTATCTATACAATTTAAACAAAAATAATATATTAATGCATCTAAATTATATTATACTTCTAATTATTTGTTAATAGATTTAGAATTTGGTAAACTTGCGACTGGTTTCGGTCTTTTAAGGCTACCAAAAATGCCAGAATTAAAAAACAAGGTTGTTACTGATTTTGTTCCCGTTGATATTGATTTCAATTCTATTAAATATCAGTAAGTATTTACTTGGTATTTTAAAAAAAAAAAAAAAACATGAAACAGTATTCATAATATTTGTATCATTATGTATTGTGTACTAGAAATAATGAAAGGGAAGCATCAAGACAAAAAAAATTACAAAATTACATGGAAACTGGAATTTGGCCAGGTCAAATAAAGCATAAAAAAGGATTAAAACAAACAGTTGCATGGGTTGATGCCAAACAAAAAAAATTAGAAAGAAGAGAAAAACGTAAAAGGAAAAAAGAATTGAAAAAACAAATGGAATTAGAAGGGAAAGCTAAGATGAGGAAAAAACGAGAACAGGCATTCAGTGAAGAAGAACTTAAGGATTTAGCTAAAGATATTGCTTTGATGAAAAAATTGAAAAATAAAAAGGTAATATTTAAATATTTCAAATACACAATCATATTTTTAATATATTCGTATTGTATATTTAATTACAAACTATATCATTTGGCACACATATGTGATTACCATGTTTAACCATTTGGTTAAATGTGGTTTCTAAAATTTAAAATATATTTATTTAGGTATCAGAGATGCTTAATTTATATTGTAAATTCTAAGTATACGTGGACATTTTCCAAATTCAGAACCAAACAAAAATCATTTCTATATTTGAAGTGTAAGGAAATCATACAAAATGTTATCTGTTATTTTTCCTTCGGTTCATTGTGGTTTTGATTCATCTAGAGAAAGAAAACTAAATTCTAAATGATTTGAAATTTCACTGTATCTCTATCAATAATAATATATTTTAAGATTTAATATATTATTAATTTTTAAGTTTGAGTTTAAATTAAAATTTACTTACCAAATGGTTTCCCATTTCATTATTTTTATTCTATAGCATGAGTGGTTAAATATAGGAATGCGAGGATCTTTTTCCTAAACTTATTTTGTTTAAAAATGACATATATCTAAACAATTATATAATATTATGTTTTATTTTTTAAATTTACATTTAAAAAATTAAAAATAAAATTGTATTAGAGTTAGGAAGAATCCAATCAGAATAATAAATAAAACCTAAAATATATAAATTTCAAAATAAAAGCTATTAATTAGTTTTAAATATATACATAAAAAAAATAAAAGATTTTTGACTTCAAAAGACTAAAATAAATAAATAAATAAGCTTAATTATCAAATAAAATAATCAAATTATTATAGTGTTATGCTAAAATGTTTAATTCTTTTTGGAGGGTATGAATTAATACTCTTAATAGTCTTGTTATGTATGGTATGGTAATTAATTTGTATAACATATTTTAATATAATATAATATATAGTACTTTTTAGTATGTAATATGATACAATAATTCATACATGATATAATAAAGTCATAGTATACATTTTTTTTTAAGGTTTATATAATATGTGTAGGTTACCAAATATCTTTAATAATTTCTTGAAAGTTTTTAACACAAAATGGTCTATTTATATGTTGGAAATAGAAAAATGAATGCCAATTGGCAACTTTACAACTAACTTTGAATGTTGAAATTAAATTGTAAATCACAGTTTAAAAGGTCATAAATAAAAAAAACATAGTACAAGTATTCTTGATACTATATTAGATATAATTGATTTGTATAGAAATAATAAAAATATTATAAATCAGTAATTTTTGATTGTTAATATCTAATGAATAAAAATAAATCTATCATTACTTAATATAACTAAACTTTATTGGATTAAAACCCAATCCATTTAGTTACATTTACATTTTAATAGTTTGTATCCTTTTTTTTTTTTTGTTATAATTAAAATTATATAAACGACATTAACAACTAGTATTTTTCTATATATAGCTAAACAAATAATTGTAAATTGTTTAATACTAATTATAACCTATTTGTCAAAACCTTGATTTCAATTTTATGTTTAATATTTGTTAGATGCATACAATAAGTTGTCTTTTCCTTAAATTTTAGATAAACATAAAATGATTAACTTTTTTACATGTTCTAGGTAAATTAATAAAATATGGTAATTTAAATGAAATAAGAAAATAATTTGTGTTTTAATTACAAATTAAATTTGAAGTAATTGAATCTGAAATAATTGTCCTATTACATACTAAGTTACAGATTTAATCAAATATACAATACTTTAGAGATTTAATTGTATAAGTATTGTTAAAATATACACAAATTATTATTTTTTATTACAATATATATTTATATTTTTTCAGATATCTAAGGAACAATTTGATATGGAATTTGGGGGAGAATTGTAATAAGAATTATTTATTTGTTTAATAATACAATCAAAAAATAAAAACCTGATTATTGTAACAAATTTTTGTTGTATTTTATTTTGTCTATACTGGGTATATTAACTTCAACAATTTAGTACTTTATTTAACCATATATAATATGTTTTCTAGTTTCTAGCAAATGTACAATACATAACTAACATATTTTCCTCTATAATAGCTTATGTTATGTTATGTTTAAAATCTAAATATTCTTTCTTAAATAAAAACAAGTATTTTAATATAATTTAATATTTTATTGTATTGTATATATGGAGTTATCTTCAAAGTGGAACTGCTGGGAACAAAAAATTATACACTTGAAAGAAAAATGTGTTTTTAGGTACTACCAGAAAAATTTAAAAATTTAACTTGCTTCTAAATCATATTTAAAGTATTTATTATTATTAAACGATTATTATTTAATTGTATATTCATAAATAACTAGTTTTATTATTATTTTGAGTACAAATATGGTTAATTTAGTTTTATCATATTCTAAGAATGAATTAGTAAGCAAATTGAGGGTTTTAATTAATATTCTAAAGTACAAATCCAAATTTTATTTCTATTTTGCTCAAATGCTCTAATAATAGTTAGATAATATTTTTATCTTTTATATCGGGTGTGAAGACTATTAGTTTCAAAACAAGAAGTGAGTACTAAAATATTGAGTTTTTATTTAGTATTTGTATAATTTTAATAATATATATAATGGAAAACAAATTGTTATAACAGATACCTAACATTTTAAAGAGATTATTCTGTACAATCATTCTATTAGAATAATTTTTTTAAAGATGCAAAATTCAGTTGTTGGTAATAAATAGTGTTAGTTCTTTGGACCACCGGGCTTCATGTACAATTAACTCGCAATCTGGTCCTAATTAAGAGATAAGCAATAATGTTTTTTAAAAGTGCATGGCATATTTAAAAAAATTAAAAAGTAACTTAATAAAACTGTGGGAAATAATTCTGATAAAGGTTACAAATAAGTTACCAAAAGTTTAAAATTAAAATTTGTGGGAAATGTTGTATCCTCCAAATTGAAACAGGCATTTTTATAGTATGCTGGTATTAGTTGCATATTTCAATGTTGATAGTAAAGAAAAAAAATATGTAAATAATTGTTTTTATGTAATCATATTTTGTGTATCATATATGTAGAAGTCAATTTATAAACAAAAGCAATATATTATGTATTATTGTTTAACTGACTTAACTAAATAGTTTATTTTATTAAAAAATAACAAATATTTACAATATACACCTGTCCAAATTATTGTCTTAAATTTTAAAATGATTGAACATACAATATCTCAGACCAAAACTAACACCTCTTACATAACTTCTAATTTTTAATTTTTTAATAAAGTTAGAAGTGAATAAATAACCTTTTGTAGGTACTTTATCTATACCAAACTCAAATTTCATAAACATTTATGTACTTATTTATTTCAAAAATTTATGACTGTAGGCACTTCAATAAAGATTACATAATAACAATTAAATAACAATAATATATGGTGACATAATATAAAAGGAAGAGGAGGGACTATTTATTAAGAATGGAAAGAGCTTAACATGTGATGGATAGGGTGATTAGGTTACCATGGGAAGTAGAGTGAGTTGGAGCAATGAACAAATTTGAATTACGGGTGTTAAAGGAGAGAAAGCTGAAGGAAATCTCAATGATCTCAAGCAAGTCAGGTGCATACAGAAACCCATTAAGGATTACAAAAATAAAATCTTGATCCATTTTAGGGTGACGGAAGCAATGTTTAAGAATGTTTAAATCATTATGTAAGGAAGTATAGTTATGGTATGTGCAAGAAAACTTGAGAACATAGACGTTGTGTGCTTAAAATTTGTTTTGTATGTATTTAAGCTTAAGTAGGGCTTTAAGATGAATGAATGCCAGGTAGGTATGCAAAGAACCGAGTGGTAAGTGAGCAACACCTAAGTTGCAGTAATAAAGCCAATAATTTTTAAAGCTCTACTAATGGTGGTATCGATGTGGAGCTTAAAACTAAGAGTTGATGCTGAGATCTTTAATGTACACGACTTTCTGAAGAGAGAAGCCATTAAGGAGATAAGAGTAATGGACAGGAGTAAGAAATCTAGAAAAGGTTATAGTGTGGCATTTACTGAGATTTCAGGAGAACTTAATGCGAGAGATCCAGGAAAAAAATTTTATAACTTGTATCGAAATCCTCCAATGACTTAATTTGTTGAAAAATCTTGTTATCATTAGCATAGAGTAAGAACTTACTCTGGAAACATACTAAGGGATAAAATTGACTAAAATATAAAACAAAAGTGAACTTAAATGACTACTTTGAGTGACTCCAGAAGTAACATTTGAAATTCCAGCAAAATCAACAAATTGTTTATGGGAGAATTAATGAGAAGACTGGTCAACAGAGTCAAATAAAAAATCTGTAATAATGATATCAACTTACTAGTAGAGTCCAAAGCAATCATGTATGAATAAAGATAAATAATTTGTACTAGAAATAGTGGACATTTCAGCTGAATCCATGTTGTTGAGGAATTAGGATTGGTTTCAGAGAATGTTTAATACACACTTGTAGATTAATAGATCAAAGATTATATATTGTATTTTTTTTTTAAAAAAACTAATAATTGTGTGAATGTACCACTGTTGTTGATAGGAAGTTGGGAAACTAGCATACATATAATTAATTAATTAATATCTGTAAGAAACGAAAAACAATTTAGGAGAAATTCATTTATATATGATTTAATTGTCTGTAATATTAATGGTTTCCTTTAAAATTTATATATTAACTCTTATAAAAAAAATACTGTATTACAGTTTACTTTTCTTTTTACACCATTTAGATCAACTTATAATAAACTTCCTGTTAATTTTTCAAGAATTTCTATTTGGCCAAATAGTGATATTATTCAGTAAACACGTAGTACCTATCAAATAAAAAATAAATAAAAACTCTCAAACATAAAATGTCTATAAATAACTCAAAGGATAGCATGATAAATATTATTACATATAGAAAATGTAAGTATAAGTTATCTGTCAAAATTACAAGTCTATGGATATTTTTAACAGAATTAAAAAAAAAAAACACAAAATTAAAATAATGAAATCATTAGTTCCATTAACTATTTTGTTCTTCCTATGTTTTTTTTGATTTTGTTCAATTATTAAGAAAACAACACAAAATATTTAAAAAAATATTACTTGTTCACCAATAAAATTATAAATGTAACAAATGACAATTTTTGTTGTTGTTTGATTAGCCATATTTTTGGGAGAAAACAAAGCGTACAAATTTAAAATAATTCTTTTTGTTGTCCTTTTCCAGTTATCCCCAATTTTTTTGTAAAATCAACAAATGATCTTTCTAATGCATTAACTAAATAAAATTATCTTAATTGCCAGAATTACAGAAAAGGTACATTAGTATAACATTAGTATATTGGACCAAGTTTTCATTTCGAATGTTTACAAACAAAAAAAAATTAAAATGACCATAGTAAACCAATAGTTCATTCGCTCTGTTCCGAATCAAAAATCAGAAATGGAACAACAAATTAGTTAAATTAAGATTTCACTAATTATATAATCAAGAAATACAAATTACAATAATAGATATAACCGTACTTTTAAATGTTGTACTTCATAGTTTATATATTATTTTATTCTTTCTGTTTATAATAAATAATTGTAAATCACAAATATAGAAATTGAAAAATAATATTGTTATTACAGTGTTAAAATTTAAATTATACTAAAATATAGGCATATTACGATATCAAACCATTTTGCATCCAACGTTAATTTTAGAATTTTATTATTATTTATACAATCACAATAATATTGTGATAATATAATTATTATACTACAAATTGTGTTTTTGTAATTTTTTAATAATCTTTAACGGATATAATTACAAATTTAAATTAAGCATAACAAACAAGCTGGTAGGGGTGTGGTATAACAATATTATTTTCTTTGGAAATTTGGAATAAAAAATCATGTTCGTTGAAAAAAGCGGGCCTGGTAAATAATGGAATAACTTCGTTTCAAGGTTTTAAAAACTCTCATGGAAGAATAAACACGACAGGAGGGGAAAAATTGTTGATGACGTAACGTCAAAACTACGCCATTTCACTTCGTCAGGCCGTCGGCGTTCTCTTTTGGTCGTCGCGCGATAACATAAACAAACATTAATTTCGCATCCCGACTTTTTTTTTATCGGCGAAATCGTACATTACCATTACCTTCGAGGTTTATCCCGCAAATGCCCACAACCGTATCGCTCTTGCCGGCCAAGTATCGTTTCATTTTTATATTGTAAAGTAGATTTCGTGCGGTAACCACTGACAGTAGCGATACTGCCAGAGTGTTCACGACGCACACCTAACTGACAACCTCCGTAAACGTAGCGAATCAAGAATGGGCGAAAGCGATAAATTAAACATCGACAACATCATATCGAGACTGCTGGAAGGTAAGCCGTGAAAAAATAACAACATTGTTATAATTCTCAATTTTGGTGCCTTTTGCCATTGTCGCCCTCATTCAGTCCTTCTATAGATGGTTGCTGATTTATTTTGTTGTATTTCGACAGTGCGTGGTGCTAGACCCGGCAAGAACGTGCAGCTCTCAGAAGGTGAAATCAAAGGCCTGTGTTTGAAATCGAGGGAGATTTTTTTATCCCAACCTATACTGCTAGAACTCGAAGCACCTCTGAAAATATGTGGTGAGTAAAATATTTTATAAGTACAGTTTGTATTTTATTAGTTCTTTATTAAGGTTATGTTATGTCATTAACACATTTTTCTAATATCATTAGAATGTATATAGAATTCATGTTAATGATTTTCTATTGGGGTTTTGTAGTCATTCACAAGTGTGTCTGGGTGTTACTAGGATATTTTAAACTCTAATTTGGTGTTCAAAGTTATCCATTAGTGTGGATTTGTGTCAAACACAAATACATAAATCTAGTGTTTTTCATAACATTCATTGTGATAATATTGGCTGTAAAGCGAACCAAAAAATGTAGTAATACCCAACTCGCATGCACATTATAGTCATGCTGCAACAAAAATGATTACATTAAATAAAAATGCACAACAGTGTGATCTGCTTTAAAGTTAAAAGTTGATTTAAATAAATAATAATAATATCTAATGATAACACTGGACCACAAATATCAATAATTCATTTATTTACATAGAATACGTATATATATATATATATGGAGTGTCTATCTTCATAAATATTTTGTAAAATCTTTATTCTAATGAGATTTTCTGCTTTTAAATAGGTAGGTAGCTTTTGTTATGTAAAAAAGTATCCATTTGCCTATTATCAGGTTTAATATGACTTGTAAACAATTACAATTTTCTCATATTATGCTAATGCCTTTTTTCAAGAAGTTACAAGTCTTACTTTTATACCTACGCACTTACTAATATTATATAGGTAGGTATTCCACAGTACTACATAATATTAATTTATAACAATATAGTATATACTTATGAATGAATGGCTATGAGAAAGAATAATATATAATAATAATCTTGTTTTTATAAAATATATAAGTAATTTTCATCATAATAATCAAAGCAGTATTTTCCAACTGGTGTTCCGTGGAACCCAAAGGTTTAAAATTAAATAAATTAAAAAAAAAAAATGTATTATCTTTCTCTAATTAAAAGTATTTAATATCTGCTTTTTTTTTTTAACAAATTAGACTTATATTATGCCAATTGTATACTGTTATAATAATAAGATACAACTTAATAATATGCTTGAATTCACCATAAAGATTACTTAAAATAACTTATATTTTTATTATTTAACTCTCAAACTCTTCAAGTTATTAATTTGTTTATAATTTTATAATGTGATTAAAACTAAATAAATATTTAAAAAAAGAAGGTAAATTTTAAGTAAATTTCATGACTTATTCAAATATGCTTTCAAAATTTTTTTCTAACATTAATAATAATACGACTGACAAAATATTGATGGTTTTAGTAAAAAAAAAACTTGGTTTTAATTGTTACTCATAAATAGGTTGATGAGAGGAAAAGTCTTATCATTGAAATGTTAAGATATAAGATGTTAAAGTATTTCATATTGTTTACCTTAATTTATATTTTATTGCTAATTGGGTCATATGAATAATAATTTAAATGTTACACAATTTTTTTTTCGAATTCTACTAAATTTGAGACAATTTAGAAAACCAACATCAATTCTCCTAAAAAAAAAAAAATTATGGTCACTTCTCACAATTAAAATTTTTTCTGTTTCTTTTTTATTATCAATAGCAGTCCTGTAATTTTAATTTTCTAAATTCTCTTAATTTCCTTGAAATACAAACTATTGTGTTTCATTTTTCAGTTACGAGTAGTATCATTATAAATAAAATAAATTGGTTTTACAAGAATATTTATAGTATAGTTTTTACCATTATTTTTTTCTAGGGGATATTCATGGTCAATACTATGACTTACTACGTTTATTTGAATATGGAAGTTTTCCACCAGAGTCTAACTACTTATTTTTGGGTGACTATGTGGACCGTGGCAAACAGTCTTTGGAAACAATATGTTTGTTACTGGCATATAAAATAAAATATCCTGAAAATTTTTTCCTTTTACGTGGTAATCACGAATGTGCTAGTATTAACAGAATTTATGGATTTTATGATGAATGTAAGTATTAAATGTATTTATTTTGTGATTTATGTTGTGTAATAATTGCTTTTCTATTATCTTAGGCAAACGGCGATATAATATAAAGCTATGGAAAATATTCACGGATTGTTTTAATTGTTTGCCTGTGGCAGCAATTGTTGATGAAAAGATTTTCTGTTGTCACGGAGGTCTTAGTCCTGATTTGCAATCAATGGAACAAATTAGGCGGATTATGAGACCCACAGATGTACCTGACCAGGGACTATTATGTGATTTGCTTTGGTCTGATCCCGATAAAGTAATAATTTTTATGTAACTAATCAGTAAAAAAAAAATAAAAAAAAAGTATAATAATAAAAAATAAAATGTTATACAGTTTACAATTTACACTTGCTTCTCAACAGAATTCAAATATCTTTTTCTAATTTAAATATGCATTTACTCAAATCTGTTCTGTTCTCTGTCTATAAGTAAAATATATTACTTATTAATTTAATGTTATATTGTTTAATTTATTCTATACTACTTTTAAGGATACCATGGGTTGGGGAGAAAATGATAGAGGTGTATCATTTACATTTGGAGCAGAGGTTGTGACTAAATTTTTGCATAAACATGATTTCGATCTCATTTGCAGAGCTCACCAGGTTTGTAAATAGAGTTAAATTTCACAAATTAGTAATTATTTCTTAAGTTACTAATAATATCTTTCATTTTTAATATAATAGGTTGTAGAAGATGGCTACGAGTTCTTTGCTAAACGACAGCTTGTCACTTTATTTTCAGCACCAAATTACTGTGGTGAATTTGACAATGCTGGTGCAATGATGTCTGTTGATGAAACTCTAATGTGTTCATTCCAGATTTTGAAGGTAATATTGTTATTAAATCAAATTTCAAGTGGTCGGGAATACTGTGCTATTTTTGAATTTTTACATAATTCTCTTCTATACCTTTTTTCAAAGAACTATAAAGATAAATTATATCATTGCTCTATTAGTTAAAAATAAATACATTAAGATTTTATTGTTTATTAATTATAAAATATAAAGTAACATCTAATAATAAGAATATAACTGTTGAATCTATACGGTAATATTTTCAATTCGGGGCGGGGTCACATTAAAAAATTATATCAACATACGCAAATCAAAATATTATGTTGTCTAACAAATATTTATTTCTATCATAGAATAATATCTAATTTCCTCGGTTTTCACCCCAACTCATCAATGACTTCTTCAGAAGTTCAAGACATGGTCTTATATATCAATCATATGGTCAATTTATTTAATTTATCCGGTGTAAATAATTACTTTTCAGTATAAAATGTAATAGGTACATTAATATAGATTAAAAATATTTACTTGTGACATAAAACTGTTAACCTCTTTCATAGTATTTCTCAAATAAGTTTCTACTTTTTATAAATTTAATAAAAACATTCATTCTGGAGTAACTGTTGGTATCAGCGGTGTAAATATATAGTTTTTAATAAAATGTGAATAGTTAGGTAAATCACTGGATTACAATTTTATGGTGCATAAATTCCATTTGGTAATTTATCATTTATATGTTGAAGTTTTAGTTTCCACATTTTAAGTTCTTTAAGAGAAGTAGACATATCGATAGAAGATAAATAGAATGAAACAAAAAGATAGAATGAGACAAAAGATTCTAAATCAGCTTTATAAAAATCTTCGTTGTTGTCAAATAAACAATTAAAACTTAAACAACATAGGTTTTATTTATATAATACAATATATTAATATTCATTGATTATCGACCTTCATGTTTGGGTTTGAACTAATTTCCAACTATAAATGTACTATGATAAACAATTTTTTAATTTTATTCATGTTTATACATTTTTACATAAAGTGAAAAAATACCAAAATTCTTAATATACCATGTGCTACTCAAATTTATTTAGTTTCCAGACCAAAGATCTAATAATATTGAACAAACATAAATATAATTAAAATAAAAATCTGAAAATAATAATAATAGCAATTAAAAAATTATATAACATAAAAAATGAGCTGATACTAGGGACGAGTGTTGCTACTGATGTAAGTGGATAGTTTGAAAGATACAAAAGGTTATATATGTTTTGAAAGGCTATAATATTTACAAATTTTTATTAAAATTTGATTTTAAAACTTTTATAAAAAAAAAAAAGTAATACATTACAATTTTTTTTTTTTTTTTTTTTTGGAACAGTAAGTATTATTTTTATAATGAATTTCCTATACATTTTTCAAGTATTTTTGTTGGGTCAAATAATTGTGTTCTCAAAATACTGACAAAATAAAAATATATATATATTTTTAAAATGTTCTCTGATCTGGTCTTTTTTTCTTTTTTTTTTTTTATTGAAGCAAAATTTCTGGTAGAAAATATAATGATCAAAAATTAAAATAATTTAATTGAGACACCTAATTTCATTTATCTGTGATCAGATATATTTGTATACTCTATTATCATTAAAAATATTTCGGATAACTAAAGTTTTAATAAAATACATCCCTTACCCTATTTCTAAGAATATCACTGCCATAATACCATTTATAACTGATAAGTGTAATATATAATCTATGTCCTTCCATAGCATGGAGGTATACACCCACTGTTGAAGATTTTCGACTACAGTGCTCTCTATAGTACAGTCTGAAATTTGCTACCTGTTTTTTTTTACAGTCTTGCTTATCTGTCTATTATAAAATCAATGGTTTGTGTAAAGAAATCAACATATTTTTTATAGCAATGACTTTTTAAAAAAGAATCTTCTCGACCATTATTGATTCCTATTAAAAAATTAATTTTAAATAAAAATATTTGTAATACTGAAACTATATATGTAAATAAAATGCATTAACTCTGTTAAGTAATATATGTTTTTAAAGTGAGTTGATTTTTAATTAAAATGTATGTTAAAATGTTAGTTAAAAAAAAAATGTGCATACAATTCCAATATTTCATAAAATTGTGTTTCACATTGCTTTGAATACTCAAACTTCATTTATATATTATTTAAATAAAGTAATATAATTTATAATAATTCAATTTTTATTAAACATTTTTAACTTTACAAAAAAATACTCTCAATATATTTTGAATAGGGTTCAGATGTTTATGCTGTTAAAATTTAATATGTATACATTTATGCACTAAAATTCATATAATATGTTTAATTAGAAAACAGAAAATTTAGTTGTAAAAATTATCAAAAGATGTACAAATATTAATTTTACCCTAATTATTTAATTTGTATTATTAGTTTTTTTTTTAATATTTCATATTAATTTTCAATTAAAGTGTGATACAATGGTTCCTTTTAATTTGTTCAAATGTCATGCTTAGTTCATTAAAATAAATAATTAAATAAGTAAATAGTTCATTACTAATTTAAATAAGTTTTTGAAAGGTTTGAAAATCTACCAAAATATGCATTTGTATTTTTAAAATTCTAAAATATGCAAAGTAATGATAATATTATTTGATTCAGTAGACCATGAATCAAATTTGTATCCAGATAAACAGATTTTGGATACATTGGATAAACTGAAAAAAAATAAGATTTCATTACCACCAGTACCTTCATTATGAATATGGTTATTTATTTTGTTTTTAACAGTTGAGACCAGCTGTGCTGTATGGTTTGGAGTAGAAAAAAAAAGTAGAACAGAATGAGTGTAGCAGAGATGACAATGATTTAATGTTTTAAGTGAATGAGAGGAGATAAAATAAATGTGAACATAAGTAGTAGCTTAAGCTAGGCTTCGATAGTAGACAAAATGAGTGAGATGTGTTTTGAGCATATCATGAGAAGGAAATTTAAAGCAAAAATCATTGTAATGATAATAAACAAATTAGGAAATTTGTTAAGAGGTAGACAAAAGAGAGATGGTTGGATGCGAGGATGATGGGTGTATGCAATGAAGGCGTAGTAGTAGAAGCCCCTTTTTTCTATGTATTTATTTTTTTTTTTTTTAACTTAAATATAGTATGGCATAGAATAAGATATAGAATTTGTTCATTAGTTAAGCATTATTTCAGAAAATTATAGAACATTACTTTGTAAAACCGTAAATTAACAAGTAGGAATTTTATATTTTAAGTAGATTTTTGGTAACTGGATAAAAAGAAAATAATGATGAAAATCATTCATTATTATAAATAATTTACATATTTTTTTAACAACAATAAATTGAACTGAAAGTATTATTTTATTTTAGTATAATTACTAAGAGAGAGAAAAAAAGGACATCTTAGGATAATGTGGGGCAGTTACTGTTATAGGTAATTTTGTGTATATCTGTAAGCAATGATACACCATTGCTTACTAAAAAAACGATTCTGAGCGGAATCAGTTGATAGTGATACTTTGTCAACAATATATATGCCCTATTATAGTAAAATAATGAAATAGGCTTTATATATTTTTTTTAATAATATTTGTTCTATATTATACTGATTTCCTAAATTTTTCATATGATAATTGAAAAATGACCTTTATTATAAAGTACCTCCCCACACCGATTTCTTTTCAGAAAAGTTGTCTACAGAAAAATAAACATCTTTGTAAAACCATAAGTTTTTCTTTGCTCTACTCAGAATCTAGAACATTTGAAAAAAATAAAAATCAATAATTATTGCCTTATTAAAAATTTAAAAATTTTTATTTATTTTTAAATGTCAATTTGTATAGAAGGAAAATTAAAATTAAAAATAATACTTTGACTTGTTTTATTTGTTTTAAAGACTGATAGATTCAAATACTGGAGGCGCATAAAATTCTATGATGCTAATGCATCTTTTCCATTGTCTAATTAGTAAGTCTTAATGGGGCAATAATTTAAGACCTTTTCCTTTAGATCTTTCATAGACTTATATTTTTAACAGCACGAACTTTAATATAGTTGAGTCCCAAATTATCTAAGTATGTTATTTCCTATGTTTGATAAATATTTCATTAACATATAGTATTCTAAGTTCTATTTAAATTTTATCTATGTTAGTAGCATGGTAAGGTGGGTTCATTATAAAATTTTCTTTTCGTGTTAGATTTTTATTAAACAGATAATAATTTGTTTGCAAACCACTTGGTTTACCATGTTATTTTTAATAAGCCAATTTACAATAGCATAAAATCGGATTACATATATTTTATGGTTTAGAAATAATTGTGTTGAAAAATATTTGATGTATAATTAAATTATTATTAAATTCTACAATTTGTATTTTAGGTTTTATTTTTTAAATTTGTATAAGTAAATCCATATTTAAAAAACTAAATTTTTAAATCAGATTTGTGTGTATATATGATTTCATAATCCAAATTTGAGTGTTATACTTTCTTTGGTTTTAGAAGTACATTATTGTGAATTTCAAAAATATATATATATATGGATTTTTTATGATACTTCATATATATATATATGAAGTATCATAAAAAATCCATCTAAATTATATTTTTACAATTTTGCATGGAAACATATAATTTAGTTAGAAATCTCCATGTTATTTACTCATTAACCTTCCCACAAACTATTCAAAATATTATTCTAATCAAAAGTACATAATTTAGATAATAATGATAATGTTAAATATCTTGGGATGTTATGCTGTAATGTAAAAGAATAGATAATAATTATACATATAAAGAAAAGGTAAAATAATAAATATACAAGTTAGTTCAGGTTGTTTTTATGACTTATAAATATTTTTGCAAAATATTTGTAATGCCTACTAAATTTTAATATTATTTTACAAATTGTGAATAGTTTAAAAATAGTATTTATTCAGTTACGGTAACATTTATGTCTGTAACAATTATTAATAATAAATATTTATAATAATTAAATATTTAACTTTTTTTTTAAATATATTTTAAACTTTTTTATTTGTTCTAGCCGGCCGACAAACGAAAATACATGTATGGAGGATTGTCATCTGGCAGACCAGTAACACCACCCAGAGGATCTGGTAAACAGGGAAAAAATAAAAAATAACCTATTTTGATTGATGCAATATAATTTACTAAATCTAGGTATGCAACAACAAAGTATAATTAAACAAAACAATTAATGTTATATAATATGAAAAACAAATTGATTTTTTTTTTTTCTGATAGGATAATTTGATATCGAGTAACTAGTTTAAATAATAATGTATTTATATCATTATGTACCTTTTTAAACTCCATCTTAACGTAAAATCTCAAGATATTTTTTAATAACTTGTGAATTGGAGTATTTTTAATAATTTAATTATTGTTATTGATATATTTTATTTGCACTTTTTTTTTTTTTTTTGAAACTCGATAATTTTCTTTCTTTTTTTTTAGATTAAGTCTTACTTTTATTTTATTTTTTTCTAACTTAGTTTTGTTCTTAAAATTAAAACTGCATACATTTATATGAAAAATGACGTTGCCATTTATTCAGATTAGTTGCTCTAATCGAAAAATAAAATTAACATTATTTGTTATTTTTTCAAAAATTTTTAGCTATTATAATTTATTATAATTTAAATGTATTAATAAAACTTTTGTTTTATACATTTTTTTATGAATAGTTCAAAAATCAAAACTCAAGTTATAATATTATTTTATCATGAATGTTTAAATATATGGTTGAATATTTTTTGTTGTGCTTAAGACTATTCCCATAGGCGTGCACACGGGTAGTGCAGGGTATGCAACAGTTGCGACTTAATGTTTGTGATTATTAATTAGATGATATGTGATTATTTTAATAATTAAAATAACAACAAGTTGTTGATTATTATATTATTATTATTTTTATATTGTGAAAGCACAAAAGTGGTTAGTGATAAAAAGCGAACAATATGTGCGCACGCCTACGAAGTTTTGTTATAAGAATACTACAGACATAGTATATAATATTGTACATTAGTGAAAAATTAAACCCAAGAGTTAAAATTCTACTTAGAGAAGAATACTAAAATTTGTAATTTTCAAATAATAACCAATGTAAATATATTGTACACATAATGTGTTAAATGTCTAATTTTGATAAGTTATAGTAGTATTTACCTATAATGTAATTTATTTTTGAAATATCTTTTAATTACTTCGTTGGCTACATAATAAACTCTAACTAGCCTACTTTACAGTTGTAATTTGTGTGTTTGGATTATATTTATTTCAATCATTTTCTTGGATTTTTTTACAGAACGATAAAACTAGAGTTAAAAAATTATATAAAAAAATATAACATTGGTTAAAAAAGACAGCATAAACAACTAAAGGCATTTACACATTGATGACAAGTATAGTTCTAAAAATATTTATGAAACTAGTAATAGTTAAAAAATGAAAATGCTTCATATCAATATAATATTTAAACAAGTTAATATTACATAAAATACAAGTATGTTATGTAGTTACTATGTTATGAACACTCTAGGAGCAAAATAATATATACTGTGGTTATAGTTATTTCTCATTCATTAAATATTTAGAATTTCATCAATTTCTGTGCAACAGTTATAAATTAAGGTACATTAAGTCTTTGGCTTATGATGCTAAACAGTACTTTGTATTACTTGTTATCCTTAAGCTGATTTTGAAATATTTTTTAAGATTGGTGTAATAAGTGGTTTCTTTCACTAAATGCATATAAGGGTCATTCCTACAATATCTTGTAAAATTGTTAGCAATAATAAGTCTGAAAATATCAATAGAAAAACAATTATAGCTAGACATTGCCTTTATGTATATCTATGTACATGCCAAAATGATTAATAAATGTAAGCTTGTTTAGTATGTCTCTTTACAGACCAGACTTGAGTCATGAATAGAACAAAAGAAAGGTATTAAAAAATCTTTAAAGTCCAAGTAAAGAATATTAACTAGACTAAATTAATGACTAATGACAATGGTGAATCCAGAATACTATTAAAATCAATCAAAAAAAGTAGATGGATCCAATATGAGATACACCATATTAATTTAAAATGAGTGATATATACTTCATGGGAGATGTTTTTGAAAAAATAAATGAGAAAAAGGAATTTGTCCCCAAATAAGGAGAAATATCACATGGACACATTATTCTTTAATAATAAATAAATTATGCTTATCTATAAGCAACATAATTTTGCATTTTGTTGAGTATAAAATTGACAAAGACAACATAAGTTCTGTTGCAGCCTTTCAGGATTACCAAGTGCTTACTGCTTAGATTAAAGTTATCTTTAATACTCATTATAAGTAATCTGGTAATTTATATTATATGTTCATAATTAAATATTCAAAAATTTTAATTTCAAGTACTAAAACAAAAACATTTTCAAAATATTATATTTATTATAAAAGCAAGAAAAAAAAAAAAAAAAATACTAGAATTTTGTACACATATGTATACATACTAAATTATATTTCTTTTAAAGTGAAAAATACAAACAAATAATATTTATAAACCTTGTTAAAATTTGTAAATTTATTTACATTTTTTATGTAACCAGTTTATAATTCAATGTTCTCAATTTTTATTTGTTTTGAACAATTAATCAAAAACAAAGTTGCATTGCTTATTTTAAACTTGTTATAAATTTATTTTTTGCAAGGCAAAATTAGCAGAGCAATATATCACTATACAAAATTGTTAACTGCATTAATAAATCACATACATTTCAATGGAACTAATCCTAAAATTTTCATTCCAGAACTAAGTGTATCCTTAGCCTTGTGAAATAATAAAATCCTTTGTTGAGCAATTGCACTACTGGAGTTTTTAACATTTAGAACTTTCAAGGCTTTGTTGATACAATTGCATAATCTAAATAAATAATTAACTAAAATACAAGCTTCTAATTCTTGGTTAGTTTCAGTTAAAATATCTTCAAACCTGAAAAAAGATAATATAATTTTATATTATAATAACTAAATTTTCATAACTAATTTACCTGGATATTTCCAGAAGTAATTCAATTGCTACCGTTTCTGTAAAACATTCTGCAATAACTTCATTTGGCAGTGTTACATTGAAATTCATTTCTTCTAAACTTACTAAACGACAATGGGTATATTGCAATTTTATACCTGTATCTCCATTTACCTTAAATAAAATAAAAAGTATTTTTAATTGTATTCCGATATTATTTATTTATGAACTTTGATTGATTAGAACTTAACCAATTATTAAACAAATCAAAAATACTTGTAATGCTGATTCCCAAGAAAAATTGTAATCCTTTTTGCGTCTTTGTTTTAAATCATTAATAACTATAGCAGAAATTCCTAGTATATCAGCAACTTGATCATCATCTAATGTATTTTTTTTAGTAGCTGAAAAATGTATATTAAGAACACTAAAGAATATCCTACATTAGAATTAATACTAACTTGGTGAATATTTTCTTTTCAATTTCATAGTAGATTTTGCTTGATTTAGAAGTTGATCTAATAATACTCCTTCGCCTTTTCTTGAACTCATACCGTGTATTCTTCCGAATGGTATATGGTGCACATTTATATTTGCATTTATTTGATTAACTAAAGATTTTAATAAGTAAAAATGTTTACTTTGAGTATTATCAACAACATAAAGTAGATCTTCAGAACCATAGTATTTGTGTCGTTTAAGTGCTGCAGCTATATCTCGTGTTATATATAGTGTAGAATGATCATTTTTTAAAATTGTAATTTCTTGATTATTAGAATATACAACAGTAGATCCATCTTCTTTAGATTTCAATAAACCAATTTCATACATTATTTTTAAAACGTCTTGAATTTTTTCTATAGAATAATTTGATTCCCAATCATATTCATCAAAAACTATTCCAAGTCTTTCATAAATAATTTCTAATTCTTTAATAGTTATTGATCTAAATTCAGTCCATAGATGATTGATATGTGATGGAGATTTACCACATTCTAAATCATTAAATATAGATTTGGCTTTCTGATGAACATTAGAGTCCTGTTTTGCCATTTTATTGGCTAGAATATAGGCATTATGTAAAGACTCTATTGTCATATTGTTATTAGAAATATAGTGTTTTGTTTGCTCTAGTCCTAGAAGTGTATATCCAAACTGAGGTCCCCAATCACCCAAGTAGTTAACACGTACAACTTGACCATCAAGTAAATTTGTTAAATTAGAAATGAAGTTTCCAACAATAGTTGAGCGTAAATGTCCAACATGAAATGGTTTTGCTATATTTGGAGAACTACAATAATTGTGAAATAATTTATACATTACATTATAATAAACTCCTTAAAATAAAAAGCATTTAAAATATACATGTTGAATGTGGTATAATATAACTTACCCATTACCTGAATTCAATAATGCGAGGTTTTGAACTCTGTAGATGAGGTTGTGGAATTTTATCAATTTCATTTTTAAGAATATTGTTTATAAAATCAGATTTATTTAAATGTATCAATACATGTTGTGTATTTAGTTCAGAAATCATCATATTTTTATTTTTTGTATTTAATAGTGAACCTTGATTTTTTTTTGAGTATTTTTTAAGAATATCAAGAGGCATATGAAAACCAATTTCATTCTTAGAATTCCCTATGCCTACTTTTAGGTTATCCATCAGGTCATTGATTATATCAGGAGAATTATTATTTATTGCACAGGCCACCTATAAAATAATTAATTATATATTATTATTAATCAACAAAATATCCATCTTAATTATATATATGAATGCAGTTTTATTTCTTCTTCTTCGCCTTCATCCCAACTCTTAAGGGTCGGCCACCCTCGTTCTAAACTTTCAACTGACCAGATATCCCATTTTGCATACACTAACCGTCTACATATTCTTAATGCCATTCAACAATATATTTTTCAGTCTTTCTCATAATCTATTTTCAACTGTGTTTATTATCATTACAATGCTTACTGCTTCAATTTTCTTACCCCATGACATGCTCAAACCATCCATTTTCTCTCATTTTATTTACTATTGAAGCCAAGCCCAACGACAGGTAGATATACTGTGTTAGTATTTGAGGATAGTATTCTGATCCCCTCCCACAGGAAGCTTTTTCTTTGATTTTCAAAAAAAAATGTATAAACAAACATGTTTTGTCGGTATTAATATTAAAAACAATTAATATCACATAATTTAATAAAAATATCTTTTATAAAAAATATATTGAATACGCTCTTTCAAAATTTAAATTTAACACTAAAAATTTATAGTTTTTCTGCAAGTTGTATAAATCCTAAAACGGTTAGTGTTATTGTATGATAGATCATTTAATAAAGCCAAATTGAGCATTCATTAAATAAATGACCGAGTAGATATGCCATTGATGTTGTCCATTTATGTAATTAATATGGTGATTATTTATGTTTTTAAATGGTAAGAATGATATTTAATTTCTAATTTAAATGTATATTATTGTTTACCTTTTTTGCTATATTTTGTTTATATAGACGATAATTTGATTTCGAAAATATTGTAGTGCGAACCATGATTATTATTTTATATTATTTTGAGTGACAGCAAAAAGATACTACCAGAATATTACAAAAACCATTCGTTTATTATGGCGATAAATTTAAATATGATAAGACTATTCAGAAAGTAATCCAATAAAAAATATTGAAGTCTAGAAAAGTCGAACCGGATAAATGAAATGTTTTATCAATTAAACTCATGAATACATGATATCTCATGTTTTCTCTGATAAACACCATAAGCATGTATTATTTTTCCATCATAAATATCACGATTTAAGATACACCTATGAGAGGGGGGCTATAAAACAGCTGAACATGGAATTATCAGAAAAATATTTCCGCCGAAAATAAAACAACCGAACGTATTTCGTCCTAATCGTCTGAAATCCTACTAATTATCAACTTATACATTTCTTATCATTGTTTTTTATCTGAAAATATTGAATTATAAAACTTTGAAGTTAGAACAAAATTTGAAAGAATGTAGTGCAAATTTTGAGTTATAATTTCTACATAATTTTGAACAAACAATAATTAATAAAATGACATTTTGAATATAATCTATAATAAAAATATGTATTATTTAATTAAGTTTTAAATTATTATTATTTATTAATCAAGTGTAGGTAAACATCCATTTACACGTGTTGGATTTTTTGGATGTTTTTCATTTTAAAATAATTTGTACCGAATTTCTCTCCTTTGTATTTATTTCTTAACATGCGTTATTGTTTTTTGTAAGAACTCTTATCTCTTTATTACAATCGGCTGTTATATTTTTTCGGATAAAATACTATTGCCTCGGCTGATTTGAATACTTATCTATGGGTCTAAATAATGTCTACTTACGGTGTATATTAATCACATACACAGGTGTATCTTAATTCTTAAATCGTGATAAATACTCAAGAGATATCAATTTAGAATGTTCGTTCGTAGTCACATATTTTGGGCGGGGATTACATGACCCTGACCTCTGCGCAAGCGCAAATGATTCAAATTCGCGCCTGCGAATTTGTAACCATTAGGCAATTATGAGTTTACAACTTCCCAATTTTAATTTACAATATACAAATAAATAAAATTAATATTAGAAATTTAATTATATTATAAATATAATATGATTGATTTAATATTATTTTAATTTACTATAAAAGATTATCGTAATTTTAAAATAAATAAATACGTTCTTGTAACTAGTATGACATGGCAGCGATCTACCGGCAAACAAATTTATTGAACTGTGAATCCGTGATAACCAGAATCTGGTTTTTTTTCATCGTCATTATCAGCAGTATAGTTGACGTTCTCGAGTACTGTCTCCCGTAATACCTTGTAATGGTAAAAGATTAAATAGGTGCAATTTACTTAATATTTAATAGACAGTAACTTGCGACCCGAGTGAAAAAAACTACCTAAATTCACGTTAAAATATATATTTGTATACACAATATACCGACTTCGAATTTGATAAATAATAAAACAATGGCTGGTCAAACAATACAAGATAGACTACTGGCGGCCAGGCACAGCTTAGCTGGACAGGGTTTAGCGAAGTCTGTGTGTAAGGCGACTACCGAGGAATTAATTGGACCAAAAAAGAAACATTTGGATTGTGAGTATTATAATTTTATTTGGAGTATTACCTATACTAAATGTATTATTTTATATTGTGAGATTAATATTATTGCCTTTTTAATTTAATTTAACTAAATATTTAACATTAGGTATTTTGATGACTGATAATTATAGTAGTTAATCTCATAAAAGTGCAATTAATTACCTATCATAAATTATGACTTTAAACATTCAATAATAATGTTTAAATTATATATTATGGCATATAACAATCAGACATAATTCTTATTTAATATTTTAAAATTTGTTATGCAGGTCACAGGTATAATAAAATGTATCATTATTGTATGATAGTACCTATTATATATATATTTAGATATTATTTTTTTTTAATAGGTACCTAATTTATTTTATGAGGTAGATATTCATATTTGGACTAAATGAAAAAACTAAATTATAAATTAGTATCTAACTGATTTTGTAATTTAGGTAACTTAATCATTGATAAGTCACAGACAAAATAAAATATTTTTATTTCAAACAGTCATGAGTCATGACTGACACTGTCTGAAGTGTCAATTTTTCAATAGTCACTGTTGAACAATTTTTTTGTTTGATGATTAGGTACTATTTATTATTTAAAATTGGTCTATTTATTGAGTAATTGAACAAAATTGTAAAACCACTGAAAAGCCCAGAGGTAAATAACTAATAGAAATCAGTATACAAATGTTGGGTAGTCGTGGAAATCTTCGTAATAGAAAAATAACAGTATTATTGAATTTAGTTTACATCCCTTTTTACTTCATATTTATCAGTGATTTACCCACTGAGAAAGCTACCATGTCTGTTAGACAACAACTAATAGTTAATGCAATAATTATAATTACCTATAATTTACACTTTTATACAAATTATGTTTGTTTAATCTGATATTATAATATTATATGACCCTAAATTATATTAATTCATATTAGTACCTAAGTTAATAGTAACCTAAAATATTTGGTTTTTAGAAAATTTGTTTTGATAATAATGTTACAGTCAAGATACAATGTTAAGTTTATAATGCGTGTTGAAGATTAATAATATTATATTCAAAATGAAGTAATCTATTGCAATTAATGGATTGTGTTTTAATTTAAAACACAACCCATGGATTAAATTTTAAATTAAACCTCATTTTTTTAGAGTTTATTTTGTTATGTATAAGTTTGATTAGGTTTATTTTAAAAAAATGTTTCACTCATTAAATTGAATATTATTCAATAATATATTATATAAATAAAGTAATATAATTTATTATGATACAATTTTTATTTTAAAATAAATATATTTATTAAACATTTTTAATTCTACAAAGAACTACTCTCAATGTATTATGAATGATTATGATTCGGATGTTTATGCTCTTAAAATAACTGTAATATGTATGCATGTTTGCACTAAAATTCATATAATATGCATTTTTAGTTGGAAAACCACCAAAATATGCGCAAAAAAAATTATTTTACCCTAAATATTTAATTTGTAATATTAGTTTTATAACTAATCATAAAAACATTAATTACATAATAAATCTTAATTTATAAAATTATACATAACAAATATTAGTGCATATGTTGTTTTTTTTACATAGCCCAGTATTATTATAGTATTAATCAAGCTTACTTACTTCGCCTTATATGTATATTGTATATAATATTTAAAAAATTAAACAATTAACAAACTTTATTTGCGGAAAAATATCTTAGTATTTTGAATAACCTATACTTCACAAGGCAAAGAGTTGTGTTGGAACCTTAAAAAGATTTACATTCTGAATTGTGTAAGTATCAAATTTGTATAATTTTTCCTACAATATTACATTAATTATAATGCAATTATCTTTCAAAAATGTATTCTATAATGATATATAAGAATATTAAATATTCAGCTGAAATAATATTTAACACCTTTTGAAATTTTTAAATAAATATGTTTGTATGTAATGTATACAAAATTAATAGATCTACCCCTAGCGATCTCCCATTTCGAGGTCTCAGAGCCCTATTTGACCCTCTCAAAAATGTTGAGCTGTCCGTTTTTTAAACGTCTAAATTAGTTTAAAATCCAACATTCTAAACTTTTAGAGTAAATAAAATAAATGGAATATCTTTTATTTATCTTATCTTTTTATTCTTGTTTATTTTATCTGCGATTTTTAACTGAATTACCAGGTTGACAGATATAATTAGGTTTGTACGAGCATGAATTTATTTAATGAGAAAAACAAATACACCTACAAAGAAATTTTTTTTAGGTTAATATTATACAAATTCGTATTGATTTACTGTATGCGGTCCGCAAGTAATTTTTTTTAAAAAATATAAATTGGGCCCTTTAAGAATCCAAGTGGTAACCGTTGATCTACACACATACCTATCTGTACAAATATTACTGTTTTCGATTTTTTTTTTTTTTACGCTTATAAAAATTATGTGGAATGGCCTCTCAAAGCATAATATACACATGGTTTAATTATTTTATTGACATGCGGCATGAAACCTTTTAAAAAATTGTACGTTTTCTAAAAAAAAAAAATAAAGTTTTCATCATTGTAAAATTAAAATTGCAATAAACATTGTTCACTTTGTGTTAGACTTATTTAAGTTTAATTAATTTAAAGATTATCAAATAAAACAAAATATTCGTTTGATATTATACGAGTATTCATTATACAATTTTCTATTAAAATAGAAAACATGCCTATATTAATTTTTTTAATTTTGATGTATGACTAGATTTATTTAGGAAATGGATAATATCAAAAAAAAAGTGTTCTTTGAAAACAGTAAATTTAGTACTGTTGTCTACTACCGTCGTTGGTGGAAATCATTTATATTTTAAATCTATTACATTTTTAGTTAATATTAAAGTACTATTTGAATTACCAAAGCATTTTTGATATATGCATAGCTACGTTGCCCGTTAACGGCAAATGTTATTATGTTCTTACTAATAAACTAATTAAAATTAATTTAATACATTTTAAATTATTACTAACGATTAGAAATACATTTAATTTATAATTAGGTATCCCTAAAGTGGGATTTTCCTTACATCTTCTTTAAATAGAACATTTTATTTTATTTTTCTGAATTGGCGTAGGCGCGTAATCTACCCAATACCCGTATTAGCTTCTGTAAATTGTATTAGGTAGTATATTATATTTTTTTGAAGCTTGAATTATTATTTTTACTATGCTTATTTTTATTAAAACGGGGATTAAAATTAAAACTAAAATAATAATAATAATAATAAATAACCGTAATAAAAATAGCCTTTTATCCATAACTAGAATACAATTATCAACTATATTAATATATTTTAAAAATAAAATAGGTATTGCTTTTCTTTTACTACTTATTTTTATTTTCTTATTATCTATATCATTTTTATATTATTAATAGTATTATAAAATCAATGCTTTTAATATTTTGATATCATAATCAATGTTTCTTACTACCCTCTTTATCATCAATATTTATTAGACGAAGACAATCCTGTTTAAATATTATATTATTTTATTGAGATAAGGGTGCAACGTATGCCTGTTGGCTGTTTTCAGCTGTTATACTCAAGTAAATTTAAACTAGGTCATCGATTGTGAAGGGGAGACGGTGGAAATGTTTGACCTTAGAAATATTGAGTTTCTCATTTCTGTCGGGGAAAATTTCCATAGGTCTTAAAACGAATTTCGAATAAAAATATTTTAAAATTTTTATTTTTATTATAAATTATATTGGAACATTGTAATGATCATTGATATATTGATCCTAAATTATGACCCTTTTAAATCTAACTTTTTATCCAAACTTAATCGTTGCAATTAATATATTTGTTTGTGTACGAGGTTACCAATAATCCATAATATGGATTATGTTTTAATTTAAATTATTAGATGTATGGTTATCTGTAATATATTAATATCATATAGGGTATCCGCCTATGATGAAAACCATTTACGCATGACATGTTTCCAGTCAAAGTATGATATGATAACAATTGGACACGACATGATTTATTTTGTTATATTATTAATAATTATTATTTTGAATTGAAAACTATCATAATTAGGTATTGATAAAAAATATCGTGTTTTTTTTTTTTTTTTTGTGTAATTCTACAAATTAAAATATTTGTGTCGTCTACAACACAGATATAACACTCCTCCAATATAATATTATATATCCTTGCTAAATACTGTTGTATAAACCAAATGGTGGAATATTATACAAAATTCAGATTTCAATAATAACTAGAGTTTTGTTAGATAATATTATAATAACTAATATGTAATTAATATTAAAAACGCATAATCTAATTAAATTGTTTGTCTACTTAACATTAATATAAATAGACACATATAGACCTATTTAATATTTATTTTATTATGCTAGCAACTTTTCTATCAGATTCTTACTCTGATCATCAATTGTAAGGATTGTTTCTGAAATCAAATTTCGTTTTGTCATTTTGTCATCAGGGATAGTCGTTTTATTTTGATTTTCTTCATTTTCCAATGGGGAAATTTACCTAATAACAGTTTCTAGTACTTCAATTGAAAAACAATCACAAAAACCTAAATATTTTACCAAATATTACTCCTATATCATACTTTTCTAAACGTGGTTAAATTTTAAATTATTCCATTGATTTTTAAACTATTTAAAGCCATTGGAATTGTCGAGGTTTTAGTTAATTAATTAGTTTCATGTGAATGCAATTATTTTGGCCCAGGTTAGATGCTCAAAAATTTTACCTAATATTCATCATAGGTTGTACCTACATTAGGATAAAAAAAATAATTGTGGGTAATGTCATTTTTTGTGTACATAAATATATTTAACTGATCTTTACCCAGAATCGTTTTTGTTTAACAATGATTTATCAAATCTTTTTTTGAGGCCCTTAAAAATTTTAAATTTGCAAACTTGCACGTTTTAACTATTTACCTAAAATGTGTTTATTTCCAGTTTGAAATATTGCTGTTCATGCTATCACAAATATAAATATTCATTTAAATATAGCAATTTTATAATAATAACAAAACAAAACAAAACATACTTTGCTCATGGATGCAGCCACTGTTGTTGGCGAGAAAAGTTGGGCAGGTAGGATATATAGGGGAGGGAAATTAATTTGTATCTGTAAGCAATGATAAACCATTTGCTTTGCCAATATATATATATATATATATACATCATATGGTAAAATAATTAAATAGTCATTATATATTTTCTTTAATAATATTTTTTTAACATTTTACTGGTTTTCCCGTTTTTCATATTTGCTGACCACGTTTATACATATGTACTTAAATATTTTGTGTTCACTGGGTACCGCATTACCATTATGCTGTCGCGTGAAATCTTGACATATTAATCATATTAATACAAATCAATCTTTATTTTTAGAAATTGATATTTTTTTTTCACAAATTTCCTAAGCCAAAAATAAAAAGTTTTAAATTTTTTATATTATATTTTGACTTCCGGATCCCCTTCCAAACTTTTTCTACCTGGGATAAGTGCCCTTAAAACCCTCCATCAAATACAGCCCCGCCTATAACCAATGGGCAACAGTGTAATGATGTATTAAACAGCCGTTATATAATGGGTTTTTATTAGGTACTTATAATAATTTAAAGATTAATTTGGACGAATATTATATGTTTATATATTTTATATTAAATAATTAAATTGTATAAATAGTAAATTTACAGTAAGTATGAAGTACTTAAAAATATGTTGAGATTATTTTTTTATCTTCTGTTGTTAAATCATTAATTATAAAAATAAAAATCCCTTAAAACAAATTAGTTTTAAGAAATTGGTATGCTGATGGTAAATCATAAATCAGCTGAAGTATAAGTCAGAATTATATTATTATTTTAAAATTACAATGGTCTATTATATTTTTTTTTATTTTATACATTTTTAAGAATGCTTGAAAAAGGAAAGGAAGGAATGTCGGGTCCTAAAATAAAATTTCTCATAGTTTAATTTTTAGGTAGGTACTTTTTTCTACTGCTTACAAAAGTGTTTTTTAAGATGAAAAAAAAATATAATTTTAGTTGATTACTTATTATTATTACCCTGATTTAAGTTTCAACATAAAGTCATACCATGTGTAGGTTACTAATCAGGGTTGGAACGTATTATACATGTGTATAAAACTATAAGTTTATAACTTTTTTTCTTTTTACTACAACTAAACAGAAATTATCAGGTAAAATAATTGTCAATTGAATTTTATATCTTTTATTAATTACCTAAGAGATATGTGATAATTTGCTTTATTAATTACTAAGTTTATCTTTATTCTTTATTATTAATTACACTAATATTTATAATAACGAAAAAGAAATTTGTTTTGTTTTTATTTTATTCTAAATTTAAGAAAATTCATTAAATTGATGTAATTTGTTAATTTGTTATATTAAGTTATAAGTTTATTATTATTTATTATTTTTAAAACTAATAGAATATTAATATTAACATTATAATTATAATATATATACCCTGTGGTTTTTTCCAATAATGTATTGTTTTAATATTCTGAGGTAGATAATGTCATTACATTATTTAGTATTATCAATTTATAAATTATTTTATATTTTTAAATTGTTTGTGAAGTAGTATTCACTGTGTCAATGTATATAATAAGAAGTTCCTGTTTTATTAAATATATTTGTATATTTTTTTTTTACAGACTTGATACATTGTACGAATGAACCTAATGTTTCAATTCCTCAATTAGCCAATCTATTAATTGAGCGATCACAAAATGCTAGCTGGGTTGTAGTGTTTAAATCCTTGATCACTGTTCATCATTTAATGTGCTATGGAAATGAGGTAGCATAAAAGACAATTTTTTTTTATCATTTATAATACATTTATTAAATATTATATATTTTTAGAGATTTACACAATATTTGGCGTCCAGTAATAGTTCCTTTCAACTTAGTAATTTTTTGGATAAAAGCAGTTTACAGGGTAAATATTTATAGTTAATATTAATTTGATTAAGTTTAGGATATTTTTTTATAAAATACTAATATTTTATTGAAAAAAAAATAGTATTAAAAATACTCTTGTTTTATTTTTATGCTTGGTACATTTAGGACCTGCCGGAGTGCGATCTGGTAAGAATAAAAATTTAAGAAATAAGTTAATTAAAATTTTTAAGTAGTTTTATGTGTGCATATATCATATAATTTTTTAAAAAGTATTATTTTAATAAGCAAATAATTTTGGTTTTTTAGGATATGATATGTCACCATTTATACGACGTTATTCAAAATACTTAAATGAAAAAGCCTTATCTTATCGTACAGTAGCATTTGATTTTTGCAAAGTGAAAAGAAGGTAAGATAAATAGATTCTTAGTTATTCTGTTTTAATTTATTTATTTATTTAAATATTATATGAGATAGGACCCAATTGCATGAATATATTATTATACATTATACATAGCATTTGGAAAGAATTTTAAAACAAAAAATATTTAATTATATAAAAACAAAACAAAATACAATTAATATTATACATATAAGTATAAATGGATTAGCGGGAAGATGATTTTAAATGCCTAAAAAGAAATGTTTAAATATTAAAAATAATATTTTCTACTTACTATTATATTTAATTATTTATTTGAATTTTTAATAATAAAAACTAAAAAATATTTATAGCACACCAGTTATTGTCATAGTATATTAGTAGATCATTTAATTTAAAAAGCAATTCTTAGTGTCCAAAGTTAAAGTTTTAGTTAACATTTATTTTCATTTATTTTTTTTTTTTATCAATCTCAAAAATGTATATTAACTTATGTTAAAAATACTTTTTTCCACTAGAATTTAAAATAAATTCTAAAAAATAATTTAAAGTTGAATTAATTGGTTTTTTTTACAATGATTTTTCTAGCAAAGAAGATGGAGTTTTGCGTACCATGAACTCAGATAAGTTGTTAAAAACATTACCAGTTTTACAGTCCCAACTTGATGCATTACTTGAATTTGATTGTACTGCTGCTGATCTCACAAATCCTGTAATAAACACTGCATTTATGTTGCTGTTCCGTGATTTAATTCGGTTGTTCGCTGGATATAACGATAGTATCATTAATCTTTTAGGTATTTATAATTTTTAATTAAAATAAAAACAGTGTTGGGCATTTAATCACTTTAGTTTTAAATAATATATTTTAAATATAGAAATGAATATAAAATTGCTTGGCAAATTAATTCAAAAAATTGCCTTATGGAACAAATACATGCAGCTAGATGTGGCCATGTGGAAGGGAAATAAAATTGTTTGTTGGTTTGGTACTCTACATAGTATGAGTTTACTAAATTAATTAAATATTTTATTTAGTTAAATTTTTGTATTTTGATTTTATCAGAATCATTTTTAAATATCACTCCCGAAAAAAAATATTCCGATAAAGATTTTGTTTATTTACTATTTTAGAATATTTTGTGTATAATTTTGAAACATTTTTACTATATCCTTGAAAACTAGTCTGAACTCCACATAATAATTTAGTTACAACTATAACTGACCTAACAGTGGTTACAATATAAAAATACATAAATAGGTATATATAAATATACCTGTATAATTAGCTAGTAATAAAATTAATTTTTGACGAAATTAGTTTTTTAGATAGTTTTTATATTTATTGCGCATACAATATGAAGGTAATTATGTTCTAGTACGAAATTATTATGTAATAATAAATGCATTACATATCCAAATGTACAATCCATGCTCATCACTGTTAAATTAGCTGAATTTATGTAATATTATTTTATATGAATAAAACATTAATATATTCATTATTTGCAGAAAAGTATTTTGATATGAATAAAAAACAGTGTCGAGATGCTTTGGACTTATATAAAAAGTTTCTTATTCGAATGGATCGTGTAGGAGAATTTCTTAAAGTGGCAGAAAATGTTGGAATTGATAAGGGTGAAATACCTGATCTCACAAAAGTAACCTCATTTAAATTTATAAACTTTTATGTATTCTATTAGTATTAATATTATGCAAATATTAATACTATTTACTAATTTTTAGGCACCGAGTAGTTTATTAGATGCATTAGAACAACATTTAGCATCTATTGAAGGCAAAAAATCTGCAGCAAATACTCCTACTCAAGCTACAAGGTATAAATAAATATTTTTTCTATTATTATTTATTTATTACAAGTATGTAATATGATAAAAATATTGAGTTCTTGCAAGTATATTTCAATGGGGTATTTAATTAAACATAAATTATTTCATAATTTTTATTTTATATACCTTTAACTAAATGTATTTTATTTAAAAAAAATTTTTTTGATGTTCATTAATTAATTTTTTTATCATATTATATACATAAATGAGTTAATTCTGTATTCACCCAAAGTGTATAATTTTATTGGTTGTAGTTCAATATATAACCTACTATTCAAATTTTACCTACCTAAAAAATTTAAATTTTAAGTTGAATATATTTTTCAAAGATCCTTATTTGAATTTAAAAAAACACTGTGGTAATGATTTAGTTGACGCTCCCCCCAAGAAAGTATACTACCGTCATTCAGGTTTAATTAACGTCTGCTGCTTATAACTCATATCTTTTATCTAATAGTTTGTTATAAAATTTATCATACTGTATTTATAGATTATACATCTCGCTGTTATACCTATTTTGTAATATCATTAAATTTACATTATTCTTAAAATATCCAATAAGTGAATTTTGTATATAGTTGTCATACCTTTTTTATCTGCAGAATATTATTTTTGTTTTAAATGTATATTCTATAAATGCAGTATATAAATTGTATAATAAATAATTAGAATATCAAAAATACGAGATATAAGTAGCAGGCATTAACTAAACCTGAGTGGTGGAAGAATACTTTCTTAGCAGGCGTCAACTAGACCATTACCAACACCAATTCTATTATTTTCGTTAAAATTATTCAACTGTTGAATTTACCATTTTAATTAGTTTAGATGAAATATTACTTTCTTATAAAACTGTTGGTTTGGCAACCATTTTTACAATTTGTTAAACTGTTGGAATTTGGTTTTTTACATTAATGTTTAAGTAATTTTAAATTTCCATTATATCTGATGTCATTATTAATTTTGAAAATTTTTTTTATCTGAGTGAGTTAATTGTCTATTTTCTAGTAGTTCAATATCGACAGTAGGTCATATGTTGGACCGCAACTATTTTATTAATGATATCACAGAAAATTTTTTTAATCTCAATACCTCATTTTTTTTTTCTAATAAAATTATTAATCTTAGTAAATCATTGTAATTAGGAATGGGCTAGTTTCTGTTCTCTGTTTTTTGGTATTAAATTTTAGTATTATTTTTTATGGTAAAACACATTATTAGTGTAATAACACTGATAATCAGTATATAATTTAACAGTATGTTGTGATTTGTTATCCTATGATTTGCATAATTTTCTATTATTTCTACACACAAAAAATAAGAACCAATATTGATATTGAAAATTGAAAGAAAAATGTTTTAATCCAGACAAAAACCAGTACCAATGTTTTTCTGAAATTGCCCCATCCCTAATTATAATATATTCTGTGTCCCATAAAATAATTTTCAGTAAATTACAGTATAGGAATATCACATGTATACAATGTATAAATTATAATTTTAAATAATAAATTTAGACAATTTATTACATATTATTATTTCAATGTTTAAAAAATATTCTTTTAAAAAAATGTATACACGAATTTGATATAAAATAGAGAAATATTTTCTCTTACTAAACTATTAATTAACTTATTATTACTTCCTGATTAATGATAATTTTAAAATAAAATAAAATATATGATCCTGTCTGTTATTATAAGTCATAATCCTTTAATGTATTTGATTTTATTTTATGTGAGCGTTTTTTTTTTTTTTTTTTTTTTAGTTTTATCTAATTTGTATAAATTCTACCTAATTATTTCTAAAATATTAAACTATTATTTAGAAAATGAATGTTGGAATGTGATTTAGTAGTTATTTAACCCAATAGTTAAATTTATTTTTAATTGAATGTTTATATCTTAAATTATTTCTTTAAATTGTTAAATAATATTTTAATGCAATTTATAGGATGCTTAATAAAATTCAAACTAAAAATGAAACAATATATAATTTCTTATCACTTCACACTATTAATTTAATGTCATTGGATTTATGAGTGTTGATTTAGTTTCCTATATTGTAGTTTACTATTTTTACTATCATTTTTTTTAAAAATTCCTACTTGTAACTAATATCTCTGAATTTTTTAATTATATTACAATTTAATTTTATACATTTGAAAATCTAAATATTTTTTTTAAATTTTAAATCTTTTAGTAAACATTTTTAAACTATTCAAAAAAATAATTTATTAGCCTTTTTAAGTTACAAAGAGTTCTCTCTTATAATAATTTAAATCTTAGAATTGTACCTATGTTGAACATGTTTGCATTTTAGTACCTAATTTTTTTTTTTTTTTTGTATTGATTTATTTGTTGGTATTTGAATACAAAGTGTATTATAGTTTCTCTACTATTAAAATCAATATTTTTACTAAAATAATTTATTTGCATTTACTCAAAATATTTTAATACATACATATTAGCTATATATTTAATGTTGCATTGTTTATTTAAAATATTATCTTGATTATTAATTTTGAATAATTCAATTTAATCATTAATAATAAGAAAAATTAGTTTCAAAAAATAAAATAATCACATATTTTTTTTATTCACACAATTTATGTAGACTCTAGAAAGTTTCAACATATTAATATCTATAATGTCTATAATAAAAATAATTATATGTAATTGTTATTTATCAATATGGTCTTGCATATTTACATTATAAAATTCAATAGTAACTAATGAGCAGGGCATGGGTTTTATAGTATTTGCTAATTATTATTATAAGTTACAGATAAAAATAACAGAATGAACTTAAATTTGTTTTATGCATCCGAAAATCTAAATATGAAATTGTATATTGCTATTTCTTGTAGGTATATTTAAAGTATTTTAGATTTTTGATATTTAATACTATATTTTGCCAATATGAATAATATAATGATTTATTTTGTATTTTTCATAAATAGTAGAAAAAATCGGTCATCGACTAAACCCATAAGAAAAATACCTAATTTTCTGTTTCATGTTATAATCTATTTTTAAGTAGCCCAGCATATTGACCCATTAAACAACATATATTTATGATTTCTTATCAATTGTATTTATATATTTAAAAAAGTAAAAAGTAACAAATGATATTGTTTGCAATTTTCATGTTTTTATGAAATATTTATAGCGCTTATTTCTGTTATTTTCAGTGCTATAAAATCTGAGCCCTGCTAATAAGTAATAACTAGAGCCCGGATTTCAATGCAAAATGCGTCTATTTTTTTTTTTTGATCTAAGACAATGCTTTTCATGTACATAATTTGATTCATTTTATGGGAACTTTAAAGCTGAACCATTCCTTTTTCTGCATATTTCGACGGTTTTTCATCTTTAGGGCAGTTTTTAGCGTTATTAAGTCATTTTGTTAGTTTTAATGTATATTTGTTCATGAAAGAATACTAATATAAAAATATTGAAACATTGAAAAATTTAAAAATATTATCTTAAAATAAATTGTTTTCTTGATATATAAGTTATTTTCATTTAATAGGTTTATTGGGTTTTCCATACAAATTGTTAATCATTCAATTTATTTTGATTCAATTTTTATATTTAGAATGAATAATACCGCCCCAAAGATATGCGTGTCAACATCATCTCCGCGTCGTATTAATTTAATTTTTCATATTTCAGTTTTTTTAAATTAAATAATAATTATACCTAATTATTTTACCAAATTGTATATTAAAAAAATGATATGGTATTTTTCAGTAATTTTTGTGGTAAATTACATTTATTAAGGGCATTTTTGGCTATTTTTTAGAGCATATTTGTTTGGTTTTAAGAGCATTTAAATCCGGACCCCAGTATTAACTTTATAATGTAAACTGGGTGTATTCTTCTGGCTTTATTAAATTATTTGATTATATTACTGTTTACATAGTAATATGAAAAATTATAAAAAAAAAAAAACGATCTTAATTAATTGATTTTTTTCAATTTAAATTTTTATTATTTTTTCAACCATTTCATTGTGTAAATAAAATATAATAAATAAATAATTGATCACATATATTTTTTTAAAATAATTCGACTTTTTTTAGAAAGATATTTCTAATTTATGTATTTCAATATATAATTAATTAATATGAAGCTTGAATAGTAAAAATAATTAGTTTACCTGTACAGTTTGATTGTAGCCTAGTATGTTATTTAACTATGACTAAATTGTTTCTTTAGCTAGTTTAACTATCTATAGAATTAAGTAAAAGTAGAATTTTCAGTTGTTTTTATTTTATGTTAGTATTTTTCTTTTTTTATTTGAATTTTGTATTTTATTTGTTTTATTTTCCATTTCCTGTCCTTTCCTTGACATAATCGTATAGCACTCATCGGACAGATGTAAAGACTGGTGTATCTGCCCTTTCTTCCACTAGCAGCTCTTTTGGAACAATTGCCCAACAAGCGGATGGAGTTGAGGAATCATTAAAACAAGCAGTGTTGGCTGAAGAAGAAGCTGTTCTCAACCAATTCAAGGTATTTTATAATTTTTAAACGTAAATGATTTAATGTAAATCACATTCAATGACATTTATTGGATTTCTAGGCTAAAGTTAACAGTCCAGTTAATGGTGCAATTTCTTCAGTCAATAATCCATTTTTAGTTTCCTCTGAGCCTATTGTAGACTTATTTTCGAGCCCAACTCCAGCTACACAAGTATTGTCATTTAGTTTGTAATTAGTGTGCTTTTATTATTTAATTAAATGGAATTAACTTTGTTTTAGGCGTCTGCAAGAGCTTCAGATGATTTGCTTCAATTAAGTAATCCATTTGCTGATATGTTTTCCACTCCAATGCCAGGATCACAAACAAACGCTCCAATTGATAATATGTCTACTCCTCTTGCAAATAACTGGATGAGCAATGGATTTAATACAAATACTAGCAATGCATTTGTTGACGATAAATCATTTACATCTGTTTTTGGACAACCTGAATCTAATCAATCTTGTCCTACTCCCAGTGCTACAGGTAAATAAAAAAATCTAATGTTTAAATAACAATGAATAGCAGAATATTATTTGTACAAAATTCCCTGAGTGTATATGTGATTTCAAGCTGCGTGTTCTGGGACATCTTTTATCTCCTCAGACGTTTTTTCTGATTCAAATATTTTTGAATCAAGTCCACCATGTGTTGAAAAACCACAATCCAGAAAATCTAGTGGGACATCAATTCCTCCACCTAGACCTCCTCCGCCTTCTACTTCTCTCCCGCCATCTTCTACATTGGATCCTAATCCTGTTTTGGATTTGGCAGCGGATACTTTTCTTACACAATGTGCCCCTCAATCTATATATGGATCTTCTGGAAAAACTGGTTTGGCCGCACTTGCTTCAGGTATACAATACAATATGATATTGTATTCAAGCATATAATTTCGGCATTCTGTGTTGTGTGAATTATGATTTTCTTAATTCCGGCTGGGTAGTTAATTGTTGAAGCAGGCGCTCAACTGCTGGTCCGTAGCAAATTAGTTTTTTTTTGTTTACAAGTGTAATTAATGCTTTTATACGATGTTGACCGAATCATATACAAAGAATATGCACACAGTATAGGCTTAATATATTGTATGGTTAGTATTTAAGTTTTCTCTTCAGTGGTTTTTACAATTTTAATATTTATTTAATGCTATACATAATACGAGTGGCATGGGCATTACTGTAATTATTATTTTTTTTAGCTATTTATATAATTTTTCAGTACTCTGCTGACATTATCATATTTCATTTGCTTCAATGATTTATATTTTTGGTTGATTAGGTTAATAAAAATTGAATTTATGGTATTATTTTAGGTTCAACTGATTCGGCTAATAAAAAGGTATTAACTGGAGATTTAGATAGCAGTTTAGCATCTTTAGCAGAAAATCTTACTATCAATAAAGCTACACAACCACCACCGTAAGTAGCAATTGTATAGCTATAATAAAAATTAATAATTTATGACAAAAAATAATTTAAGTTTTTTTTAAAGTGTACAATGGAATTCTCCTAAAAATGCCCCAAAACCGGGAAATAATCAACCGGGAATGGGTTGGAGCCCTCAACCTATGGCTGCTACTACTGGTGCAAATTATAGGCCAATGGTAAGTACTAAATTATGGTTATTTTTTTTTCAGCAGAATATAAATTTAATATTAAGTATTAAAGCATAATAGACATCACGGGAAAACATTTTTTTTTATTATTATTATTGAGTTGTATCTGTATAATATATTTTCGCTTGTATCTTAGAATTTTCTTTTGTAAATAGCTTCTAAAAAATTAAATTATTTGTGTGTTTATACAATTTATTTTGCATGTTTTAGTTATATATACACTTTACTATTTTTTTTTTTTTTTTTTTTGCTTGCTGTATATTGGATTATAGGGTCAAGGAATGATGTCCAACCCTTCACCATTTGTATCAACATATGGTCCAATGGTAAGTCACATTCACTTGTAAAGCTGCTTCAAAACAAATTGGCATTGAATTAATATAATATGAAAACCTGTTTCACTGTAAACTTAATTTTAAACCAAGACTTTACAGGTGTGGTTATATTAAGCTAACAATTTTTACTTCATATTCTTACTTATTTAAATTTATAGAAACATAAATACTTTACTTGTTATATTTTCAAAACATATATTGGGATAAACTTATATAAACTCTAGTTTTATAGGTCTTCAGTTTGAGTTGGTCGAATACTAAAAACAAACTTGATACAATATAATACAACTTTTTAGACTATTTAATTTATATAAAGTACTTAAAATTATTTATAACTTTAATTTATTAGATTTTCTATTTACAGAAGTAGTTTTATTTGTAAATATAACATGTGTTATACATTTCAACCTTTAAAGTATAAAAACTTTTTATTCAATTTCAAATAACAGAGAGAATAACTAAAAATCCAAACTCTATATCTAATAGTTCTACTTGGAAAAATATTTCTATGTTAGGAATAAAATAATAATTTGCTATTTGTTTTTTGTATCATAAATTTATACATATATTTTGAACCTTTAATTTAAGAAAAAATACACATAACATAAATGAAATTTAGCAAGATAATAGTTACGGTTGTATCTTGTATTTGAGATTCTGTCCAATCTTATTTCCTGCATTACATAGTATTCAAATATTTGTTTGATAGCATTTTGCTATTATTGCATGCTTCATAAGACACATTAATTCCATTAATTAGTTTTAATTTTAAGCTATTTGTGTTAATATCAGTGGCATTTATACAAAGAGGTGAAGTTTGTCTTGACTTCTCCTTCTAATTTTAGATATTTTTAATATTATTTTTGAGCAATTGTGTTTTTATTCCTTTATTTTTTTATTTGTATTGAAACAAAATATGTTAAATGTATTTTTCTGGATATTTTGCCTATTCAATATTTTGAGATGTATCAAACATTTTAAACCCTCCCCTTTTATTTAACTTCAGATATGCCACTGATTAATATATTAAAGTGCTATTTTATTAGAATGTTGTATTCTATATAATTTAAGCAATTTGAAAAAATGATCATTTTTCTCAATAAGTACATTTAGGTTATAATATTTGTATTTAAAAATTAGCTAGCTTTATTGTTATTACCATTTTTGTGTAATTATGTTTGTTGTGTAAATAAACTATATGTATTACTATATGTATATCTTTGACATCATGCAAAAAGTGACTGAAGTTAAAAAATTATGTTTAAATACCTTATTTCATCCACTAAATATTTATGGAAAAAGTATCAAAGTGATATTATAAATAATTTATTAACATTTCAGCACATAATTATTGATTAAAATCAAAATTTAAAAAAAAAAAAAAAAATGATTAGTCAATTATTGAATGTATTAAGGTTCTCACACCGAATTTCGATATATATCGAATAGTACTAGTTATTTTATTTGTCTATATTTTATAAAGATCATTTCTCAGATATCAACCATATCTGAAAAATATCACAGTAATGTGTGTGAACTTTAATAATAATTATTATAAAATTTAAAATGTATTGTTAAAACATTAAAATATATTATACAGAGAGAAACAACTTTATTTTAGATTTTTGTATTATTATTTATTTTTACTGTTGTAAAAAAATCCATGTGATACTACAATTTATTTTATATCTTAGTATTTAATAATATTTTTATTAAATTAAAAAACACCCCATTCATAAATGTAATATATCTTTAAGTATTGATCCTCATGACAGTGACTCAGCATTCAAAAAAATTAGTTTTTTGCTATCTTATCCGACCACTTCAGTTATATATTTTATTTAAGATAAAAGTAGTAATCAATTAATTCATCAAGAGATCATAAAAATAATAATATATATTTAATTATTAATCAAAGCCTTACGTATAACCCTTTGTTGTTAAAATTTCAAACGTATTCATAATACATTGTTATAATTTTAAAAAAACTGACACAATTTATTGAATTTTTTTTAAAACAAAAATAATAATCAAGTATATTAATTACATTCGTTTTATTTATATCTATTATAAAAAAAAAATTTTCATATTCACATATCCTAAATTAAAATATTTAAAAATATTCCCCTTATATCTGCTAATTTTTAATATATTAATAAATGTTATTCTACTGTGTTAACATTTTTATTATTTTATTAATCCACAATTTTCAATTATTATAAAATCAATATTATTATAAATTATACATAATTTGGAAGAAAAAGTTAATTAATTGCAATAATAAGAATTATTATTTGTATTTTTTTTTTCTTACGTAAATTTGTGTTATATCTAAAGGGTGTACAACCCAGCTGTATTGGTGGTAGTGCAGTAGGTGGTGGTAATCTGGGAATGACTGCTCCTCCCGGTACTCAAACTTCTCAACCACAACCTGTCTTAGATCCTTTTGGTTTATAAGGTAAACTACTTTTTTATTCTATATATGCTTTGCAAATAAATTGTATAAAATACAATTAATTAATTTATGATTGTTATTTGATCTAGGAAATTAACTGGGACTGAAAACGTGCAATGTCCAAAATTTATGTTGTACACTTATTAGTTATATCCTTCATTAAGGATGAACAAAAAAAATTATCATCAATTGTAACAACATTTGTGCCATAATTTCAAACTTTAAATTGGCAAAATAAAATTGCAGGTATTACTGTTATATGATTAAAAATTTACTGTTTATATCTACTAATATTTTAAAAGTATGAAAATATAATAATGTCCCCAAGTAAGTTCTACCTATTTTAGTCTAAATTATTATAAATTTAGCGTAAAGTATTATACATAGATTATTACTTAAAAAATATTTAAACTCTATATAGACAAAAAAATGTGTGTTCTATGAAAAAGAGATTGTTCCTTTAGGAGTACAGTGACAATATTGGTTTATGATCTTGTTAAGTTTCCAACTTAATATTTAAGTGCAATATAAAATAAAATTTGATTTAAATAATTATATATCCTATTCATTTACCTCATGAATATTCATTATTTAAAAAATAATCTTTACAACATGTATAATATTATTATTAATTAATATTTATTATTTTGTGTAATATATAGTGTTAAATATTTAATAGACAATATTCATATTTACAAGATTGTATTAATAATAAATAAATTAAAAACTATTTAGTTGCACAACTATTTAATGCAAAACTATCAGAAATATACTTATTAGATAATCAAACTAATATATTTTAGGTTATATAAAAAATTATATAACAATAATATATTTATTATTTAGTTAGATAAAAATATTATGCACAATATTGGTATAATATATCTAATATTTATATTATTGGAATTTATAAATTATAATCAATAAATAAACTCTTGTACAGAGTTTAAATAAGAACATAATATTATATATATTGTATTAGTTTACGCTGTTTTATTCATTTCAAAATTGTGTCTAATTTATTCATCTATAAATGCAATTACAAATCAGTTACCTAATTTATTATTTGCGTATTTTAAACACATTAAATATACATATAATTTAAAAAATATGATATTTGGATATAATTTTGAATGAATATATTAGAAGTTATGATATAGTTACTATAATATTAGATAAGAATATTATGTAATAACACAGTGAATTTTATTTTATTAGTCAAAAATAACATTTTTACCCTTTGCATTTATATAGAAATATAGTTGTTATATTAAAATTATATTTATCTTAAAAACTATGTATTATTTAATGATTTTATAAAACTTAAATATATTGGGTATAAAAAGGATATTAAGTCCGTTATTCATAAATTATTCATCACTGTGATGTTTCAATTATTGTTGACATTTCTACTTGACAAGAATATTAGATACTTATACTATTCATCATATATATTTTAGTTATAATATTTGTTTTCATTGTTTGTATGTATCCTCTCACTTTTATGTTACCTTCCATTTAGAAATTCAGTCCATTTTTATAAATTTTTTTTATATATATACATATATATATATTATTATGAATTAATTGTGATGTTATTTTAACAAAATTCTTATTAGTATATTGTATTTATTGACATCACCTTCAGTGAATTTTTTTTATTTGCATGTGATATAATTTATGTCCTTTTGTATATTTATGTACCTTCACCTATTTATTGTATGTAAAATGGCTTTGGATTTGTTAAAGTTAATGTTAATTTTTACTACAATGTTAATTTATATTATATTAAACATTCCAGAATAAAGTTAATATTACATTATATTATCATTATATTAAATTATTATTGTAAATTAGTGTATTGGCAAGTAGATACACAAAATACATTATTATTATTATTATTATTATTATTATTATATGAGCCTTTAATTAAAAAAATACATAATTTATTGTATAGTTACTAAAGACACCTATATTTATTTTATAAACCTCTAGAATCTTTTAAAACACGCATAATTAAATAGTGACAATTTATTTGTGATATGTTATATTAGGTTTATATTATACCAATTATAATTTTTGACTATACTCCAATATACACCTATATAAGTAACTTCTTTATATTGATTCATGGACCTCATCGTGTATTGTACTTTTGATAATGATATTTTTTAAAAAAGAAACCATTAATATAGTTTTCAAAAGTGAAATTCGGCCAGTTTTTACAGTAGGCACAGTAATTTATTTACACATTATTTTCAAATTTGAAAATTTAAAATCCATTATCGTAAATATTAAAATTATTTTTAATCTTTAATATTTCGTACTTACCTGAAAAAATGAAAATAAATCAATAACTTCAAAACAAAAAAAAAACTGTGATACGCAGGTATTATTTATTAATTTATATTTTATACTCATCGATTATCACCACTACGGCAGGTAGGTACATACAAATAAACCAATAAATACTCATCTGATTTAACGGTCCTTGTCTGCAAGTAATACTTGGCCATCTTTAAGAAATTTAAATTATATTATAATCATATGAATGACAGTATAGGACGCACACTAGTGTTGCCAAATTTCAAATTGTGTATTATAGGACAATTTTGAATATCTTATTTTATTTCATTGGTAGCCTAATAAAAATGTAATGTCAGTAGAATAGGTCGTTATATAACTAAGTATAACTTAAAAATTAATAATCTACATATTATTTATACAGGTCCTTTACATTAGCACCCCCAATATGGAACTTATTAAAAAAATTGCACCAATAATTGTTATTTTATTTGTATCACAAATTCCGAATTTGTACACCACTTGGAACCCGTGAAAATCGATATTTACTGCACAGCGGGCCAGAAATAGTTCAAAACTGAACAAAAATAAATAATTTAATGTTCATAAAATAGATAATCTATTATTATACTTTGATAGTAATGAGGTATACTTAAGAAGTCTATTATACGTTATCATAAAATTAACAATTAATATACCGGATAACAAGCTACAAATGTACGTATTATTAACTTGTTGATATCATTCATACTCTATATTACTAGTTTATTTCCCAATATACATTTAGATACTGAATTTGAAATGGCATCAACACTTCATTGAATACATTAATTATCAGTGGCGGGTTGAACAGGATTAAAGATGCAGCTGCGTCACGAAAAAAAGGATACGTGAGTTTTGAATGTTGATATTTATTGTTGAGTAGATACAAGATACTCAATCATATTAATTATATTATACATTCATTTTTATATTATATGTTGATATAAAAAGGAGGTGTTGAAAAGTTCACGCCGCCACTGTCGATTGTTAAATAATAGTAATTAATTTTTATTTTTTCTAAAAATATTTTTGAAATATTCTATTTTATTTATTAATATTAGTTAACGTTATTGAAGTCTTTCTTTTATTATTAATCTATTCAAAATGACTGGTGCGCACTGGGGTTTAAAATTCAATTTAAATATTTAATAACATTATTGGGTTTATTTTTAAAAAAAAAATTGTCTGCTTATAGCTGCCTATTAAGAAATTATCAATATAATAAATAAATTATATTTCACTACCTATATAAAATGTATCAGTCATATTTTTGTTTTATATTAGGTTAAATTTTGGGATAAAAACTACTTTATATTACGCTCGGGAAAATACTCTATCCAGTGAAAATCCCATAAAAATTGATTCAGCCGTTTCAGAGATAAGCCCAGACAGACAGACAAATACTTAATTGTATTTGTATGTGTATAAATTGTATAAAAAAAACACAAATGGAAACAATAATTAATAATTAAATAATTTTTGATTTTTAAATACACACCTACTTCTAAGACTTTTATAAATCTAAATCAAGTGAAATAGGTACGCAAAAAAATATGTTTTTCCCATTATGAACTTATTCTGGCTCACTGTGCAGTGGTGCTAATTGTAACGTTACACCAGCACCTCACTTTTTGTATAATAGTGAGCCTTTTGATATAGATATGATTTGGTAGATTTTGAATCTATCAATTGACTCAAAATTGTACCAACAATTACTATTATACTCGTACAAATTTGTACACGTTCAAATGCTCAGTTATTATTTATTATACATTATTAAATAGTAAAAATTGTAAACTCTACATCTGTTGAATATGCTACGTTTGTGTGTTGTACATTGTACTTAAAGCTGTGTGTCATATTATATTTCCTAGATAATCTCTTTCAATGCCGTAAAATTTTACAACTTTTAGGTGGTATACTTTCTTATCTACCAGTAAAAGTTTCTTAGTACCATCTTTTAACTTTGTTATAATTGATCGCACAACATTTTGTTATAATTTAAAATAAAGCAATAAACCATAAAATAACAATTTACTAAATCTACTGGATTACGAGGTTAAGGCCGCTTCAAGCCAAATACGCTAGCTCGGTACACTACACATGCCGGGGGAACGCTCTTACTTGTCTAGCGCGGGATAGCTTGGCCATGCTCGTTGCTTTTCGAAAATTGTCGGTAGGTTGTATCAAAGGAAACGAACCGCGTTTTGTACAGCGTTCCCACTGGCGTGCGATGTTACGAGCCTACTCATAGGGAATATCTCTATGGAGGGAGCTAGAATCGGCTTGGATAAGCTCGTGGCTTGCTAAGTCACGCGCCGTGAGAATAATGTAGACATTTAGACTCGTGTTATTCCGAGCATAGTGGTACAGCTTGGTACAACAAACGCGTTACGTGAAGCTCGCCAAGCCACGCCCCATGGAACCCCAGACACGTATTTAGGGGGGGGACGAGTGTACCTTGTTGCCCGGGGCGTCAAATTTTTTGGTTCATTTAGGGGGCAGCAAATTTGTATTGATAAATTATTGTGCATTAATTTTAAAGAAAAAATAATACGTTTACATAATTTTAATTATTATTTTAACCTTCTAAACAATTATTACAGGTCAAAAATGTATATTGTTTTCATCAATTTGTCGGATAATAATATTAACA